GCCATGGCCATACCGGGATGGTGGGGTAAGCCACCCCTTCAAAATATGAGCAGCTTCAAAATAATTGAAAATAGTTCTACCATTACCATGCTAATTCATCTATATCACTGTCAAATAGCTCCTCCTCACTCCCATCATCAATTAGATCAATTATAGATGTTGTAACTTGTGGAGTTGTTGATAATTTCGACTTTTGTGATGTAGCTGTTGTTGCTGCTTCTGCTTCTGCTACTTGCGACTGCAACTCCTCAGTTGTGATGTGGAATTGACCCTTCAAAACTGCTCTCTTGCCCTTATTTTGTACTCTGCGCTTCTGAATAATTGAGCGCAAGTTATCTGTCTCCCTTTGTTGTAGTATGTGGCATGTATTGAGCCGCTCTGTCTCATCTGCTAACTTATGAATATATCGCTTTATAGGAGTGTTGAGAATGCCACGACTTATTGTAGAAGAGAGTAAGTTACTGTATTTGCTTTGTGAAGTGTTGGAAAATCAGGTGGACTGACTGCTGTTCAGAAATACTTTCTCAAAAATGTCATGCTCTCTGTTGGAGTCTTTGGCTGCACTATTAACATAGGTCGTGGTCAGACCGGCTACATGGCCAGACCGGCTATTTCAATTTTACAGGTAAATTCACAAACAAATTCACATCACGTGATATATAATTCAAACTTGTAATAATTACTTTAATTGACTTGCTAGAGCTTAATGTTATTAAACTTAGATAATTTATATACTTATATGTTATAATTAAAAATGCTAGCATGTAAGCTAGCCTTATTAGGTAGTTATTAACAATTTTAGATTTGCCATAACGTAGGTCATGGCGTAACGGGGGTAATGGCGTAACGGGGGTAGTGGGGTCGGAACCACCCCATCAAACCACTACCACCTTTAAAAAATTGAAATTGTTCAATTACTACTAGGCTAATTCATCTAAATCACTGTCATATATCTCTTCTTCACCCTCTCTGTCTATTTCCTCAATTGTAGCTTCCTCTATAAGTCGTGGTGTTGTTCTAGGCCTCTGTGAAGCTGTTGCTGTTGCTGCTTCTGCTTCTGCTACTTGCGACCGGAGTTCTTCTGTAACTTACCGGGTTATGGGACGAGAGCTCAGCACCAAATCTCAGAAACCCAAGGATGCCGAAGCCATGAAAGAGAATGTCTGAGGCATCTGGCGCAAGTGGTCCAAGTAAGTCGACAACGTCCCCCTCAAAGCTCCCATCACTTACTCGAGATAAGGTTCTGTGCTTTTCAGGGTGTAGACGACGTGCGAGGAGCTATTCAGCAATGCGATAAACTGAAGACCATGTTGTTCCTATGCTTCATCTGCGAGAATTATAAAGTTAAGGCGTTTAACTCTGTCCACCAGTATCTGCTGCAGTTCAAACAACTCTATAATCGGGTCAATGGGCGTCACATGGATACAAACGATGCAAAAGAGGTGTTTAAGGTATGCTTTATATTTAATGTTACTTATGGAAGACATGACACTGACACCGTTCTTGTAGTATCTAGATACGACCTTGGCAGACGAATTCGAACTCAGACGGACGATGAAGGCCAAACCAGTGTTGGGAGCAGACGATATCCTTCTCCTCCTCACTCATCTCTGGGCTCGGGATACCTCCGTATTTCCGACTGAGGACCAACGGTTAACGACCGCAACAATAATGCTCCTTTCTATCTATACTGGTTGTCGACCTGCCGAGCTGGTTGATGCCTTAAAGCGTGCAGGCGGAAAGACGACCTCTCGCAAACGCCCACATATAGAAGTCTGGGATGCCGTTAATGACTTGGATGAAGATGAGTGTGTAGATGAGGGAGAGGGATTAGATGAGCCAAATTATCAAGGGCGAGCGCCATGGGATAATAAAAGCGATACTGAATATGACGATGATTACTTTGACCCTGACACTGTGGAACGGAAATATAAGAGTTTATGTTACGAGGACATCCGTCTCTGGATTGTTCGGAACCCTACACAGGGAGAACGAGACCTCCTAGGCATGGAGATCACTTTCTCCCATCACAAAGGTGCTGATAGGAAACCGAAACCGTATGTCCCTCCACAATGCCTCTCCCTTATCCCAACTAACTTCACGACTTTAGCACGACTTTCCTCTTTCATGAAGAAGCCCTTCCCATACTTTGCCCTATCAGCCATGTCTTGACTCATGCAATAAAGGATGATGCAATTGAGGTCGAAGGCTATTCACACGCAGAGCCTTTATTTACAAGTCATCTGCAGCATCCTACAAAAGCTGTCTTGATTCATTGGAAGCCGGAGATGCTTAAAAGGCCTATATTTCGTCAGGCGGTGCGCTCGTGCGATTTGTTCTGTACGTCGGAGTGGAAGGCTTTACGCTACTCGACCTACGCTTACTACCTTGATCGTCTCGGCTGGGCGACTGGTTTTGAGCAGAAGTTAACCAGCTACTGTTTTCGCAGAGGCACAGGAAACGCTGTTGACGGTAAACTTCTCATGGACCATAGCTTGCTTTAACTGACGATTGCGTAGGGGCTGCGACGACAGCAGTTCGCGACCAGATTCTAAGGCACAATCCTCAGACTGGCGTCTTTTGCGGATCATACAACAATGAGAAAGTCAGGTTTATCGTTCAAGATGCAGTCCTAGACCAGCCTACCGATTCTGGCTTCCTCCGGGCCTTCACGCACATGAGTCTCACTTGTGATCCCCGAGCGCCTCAGACAGTACCTGACGATGTTCGCAATGACCTCCCGCCCAATCCAGAGCTGGTGCAGCTGAAGCTTGAACAGCAAGAGCTTCGCTTGGAGCTGAAGCGTTTGTATGGACACGCATTTGTTCAGGGTTCAATTGGAACGGAAGCTGGTGAAGAATATCGTCAATTAAATTGACAGATTGCTACAGTAACCAAGACGTTTGAGCGAGAGCTCAAGAGGGAGTACCGCCGAGACTACTTCTACCGTATCCACAACGAAGAACTTGAGAAGATCATTAAGAAGGTCAAAGTCGTGACACCGACTTATGTTGAGCCTGTCGTCAAGCACCAGCTGCCGGAACGGGCCCAGCTTCAAGAAATCATGTGCGACCTTTCTAAGGATCTGAATGCACGTGATATAGTCATACGACGGATTCATGCCATCGACACAATGGTCGCACTATCTCGTCGCCAAGAAGTCCAGTGTCATAAGTCACGGCTGAGCAAATCGTCCTCGGGGTCTCCTCTTGGAGGGTCCCCCGAGGTGAAGGAAGAATCACCTGTTCCTGAAACATTTCCTGTGAAGTGCAAGACAACTCAGTGCATATTCTGCATTGGCGACGATCGACAGAGTTACGACAGACGGATGCGCACCTTCTCTAAACCCGACAAGATGATGGACCACGTTGAGAGGCATTTGGAGAAGAATACTACAGGGACATTTGAATGCAGGCATCCAGTTTGCAAGGCCGAAGGGCTACTTCTTGGCAACATTATCCTTTTCAAGAATCACGTGGAGATGGTGCACGAGATTAAACTTAGAGAAGAAAAATATATATCTTGAACAACATAGCCCTTGTGACATTCTCCGTTCCGAGACCCTGGTAACCTTTGCCTTCTGTCTTCATTCTGCAAGTATGTTGTAGGTGTAAATACTATGACACCCTTCTAGAGGAATACACCTGATGCAGCTCCTACATATTGAATTGATCTTTCAGGTGATACGCAACCTTCGATCTGAAGCGAACCGATGAGGAAGCCATGAACGTGCCGGCGAAACAAGGTTTGGACACGGCAAATCTACCACGCCACCAAGGAGAAAATAAATCTATTGTATAAAAAAGACAAAAAAACATACAACAGTGGGTATTCGCTGGTGGTCACCCCCCAACTACTAATCCACCGATCTCAAGCTTTCACTTGCTTTTTACTCAGAACGGTGCCATCTGGCCTAGTGGGTGAGCGTCGCCGCCCTCAGGATATTGAGGCCCTCACGATGTTGCTGCTTGCCAAGGTCGTCCCGCCCCCAATATGTGATGGAGACCAACTCGACGCGCAAGAGGTGGGTCAAGAATTGAGACGTGTTGCACCGCGATATTGAATGCGCGATGGGTGAGCTGGTGAGCTGGTGAGGAGGCTGAGGAGGCTGAGGAGGGTGAGCCGTCGAAATGGTATAAAGAGGCAGACTCCCACCACCTTGGTTTTCCGCTGTTTACCATCTACAATTTTATTCTCTTTTAAGGACTATCTACCTGCTACAATGGGAAGGAGAACGCTCTCTCAAGAAGATCGATATACTCTGGCACAGAAGCGAGGCTATTCTGCACAGAGTACATCTGATCGACAGACTCTGTTAAGCCAAACTGAACAACGGTCTCTAGCTGGCGCTACCAAAGACAAGCACGAGAGTGTAGAGATTCTATAGAAAGAGTACGTGAAACCTATCACTGTGTATAGGTGTACTAATGGAGATAATTAGGTTTCTTAGTGTAAAGGGACTGGAGATAGAGGCAACTCTACAACACGACAGTGCTATATTCAAAGACTTTATTGAATACTATGCGTCATCATGATATGGCCGAATTAGCGAGCTCCTAACAGTTCATAGTATTCGAAACACAAAAACATATGACAAAGACTACGCGTTAAAGATTGTTAAGGTAGAATGCCTTGTGTAGATGCCTTGTCAGCGTTTCTCGGCGAAACCTCGTCTACTGAGAACATTGAGACGTTGCGAAGTATGGACCATCGATGTGACAAGAACGCTTCAAGAAAGCTTCTACGTAAAGAACAAGAGGAGTTTGACTAAAGACCTGAAATCAGAGAGCTCGATATGCGCATAAAGGAGGCAACAGCAAATATGCCTGATACATCTGACAGACACTCAGCCTAGTACAAGGAGCGACAGAAGTTATATACAGACAAACAAACGCTGCTCCGACTAGCAAGGGAATCATACAAAGAGAAATGGTTCTCAATTGTGTCTCTCTTTGTAAGGTTAGATGCTTAATACGTACACAGCAACGCCACAATACATGCTAACCTCCATGGGTATCTCCAATTGTTCCGATGCTATCATTAGAATTGTCCATTTGCACATCACGCAATTTCGGGGCCAATTTCTTCAGGTCTTCAATCAGCTCTGGCATCAACTCCCTGGACCTCCCCAACGCCACCTCCAACCCTTCAATCCGTCCATTCTTTTCTTTAATCTTTTCAACAGTATTGTCTCTATCTCGCGTCAATCCTTCCCGATCTTGTTGCATTGTGAGCATGGCCCTATCCCTGACCTGCTGTAGCTCTCCTTGCTGGGCTTCTGGCGTCATTTGAATTAGCTCGTTGTACCTGTTCTCCAAAGCTTTGATTTCGGCTTCCTTCTTATCGAGCTTCTCTTCATAGCCTTGCAGAGTCTTGATATCTCGGGGAATGGACGACTTGAAATCTTCGATATTTTGAAAATAAGTGGGAAGATTTGCTAGCAACTCTTTAACAGAGATATGTGCGATGTTGAGTTGATTCAGTACAAAAGGAATTGTCTGTGGCGCAGTATCTTGCTCTTTGAAAGCTTCTTGTGCCATCAATAATCTTTTTTTGTTTTGCTGCTCAAGCAACATCAACTGCATCTGGTAGTCCTGCAATGCGTGGTGTCCAACATGATTATCTAGGCCATTGTGGTTCATCCTAACGACTGGACAATCTGGCTGTCTAGCAAGGGCTAGTCCGACGGCGAATATGTTAGGATAGTTAGTGATGGGGCCCTTGTGTTTCCATTGATAAGGGTTTGCGAATCCTGTATACTAACAGACTTGTGGGCAATGGTGCCAGACAGCTCTTCTTCTTGGTGAGACTGGCCAACTATCATTAACCTTTTCCTATTTTGATGCTTCGGATCGCCAGCTGGAATAGGCTCAAAGATACTTCAAGGCTGGCCTTCGATCGTTGAGTATTGTCGGGATCGGAATTCTTGATCTGATTATCAAGCTGATCGAGGATCAGCTTGATAATCAGATCAAGAATTCCGTGGCTTGAGAAGGTGAAGAAGTGCTTTGAAAAAGGGCAGTGTGACCGAGTGTCACGGAACCATATCCCAGTTGTCATTGATCAGTCCCAGCTCGACGATGTCCTCCACGCTTCACAGGTCTCGGCTGAGATGCTGCTGACTAATGGCGCCGACCCTCATCCAGAGCTCAGATTTCCATCAGGATTCCAACTCCGCTGCCTCCATGAGCGACACCGAGTTCTGGCAGCGCGAGAGGTCCTACCTCTGCAGGAGAGATGGTGGACGGTGGATATTTACCTCGCAGGTATGAAGTTGTTGTATGAGTGATGTGGCCGTTGCTGACAAGCCCTTACAGATATCGACGACGAGCTCAAGAAGGCCTTGATCGAGGAGCACTCAAACGAGCAGCCGCCGTCAGATGGCGAGATCTATTGTAAGATCCAAAAATATCAGCTAAATCGGGATCGGTACTCGGAAATGCGATGGTGGGCTCGTCTGTCGGCCCATGGGACGAGGTGTCTCGAGCAGGTCTCCCGTCATGGCGATTTTAAAGCAGCCTTCGACGACCTGTTGGGTATCCCCGGCCTCTGGGGCGGGATGCGAATTAGTACGTTGAATAAAATGATGAGCATGAGTTGTGACGACGTGAGTCTGCCGTGATTGACATATCTAGCTTGCTCATTACTGAAACCGTTTGAAACAGGAGGTCTTGACCTATCTCACGCACATCAAGGATGTTTGGTCCCAGCTCCTCCGTCACAACAAAGAAGCGATGCTGATGGTTGACCAAGCCACAGTAAAGGCCGTGGAGCTCATGGCCCCCAAGTCGTCGAAGCGGGATGCCCAGGCGCTGCACGGCCAATTGGTGAGCGGACAGATATTTTCCGGCTTTAACCTGGAGAGCCGTGAGATCATCTGGAGTGGTTTGCGTACCATCAGCGGCCTAATACCATCCCTCTACACCTTCTTTGAGGATCTCAAGTATCTGGAAGCATGCGTAGGCAGCATGAGGCACTTAATTAAGCCGTCTCCAAAACAGACGATGCGCAGCGCCTTAAACAACATTTTTTTTGGAACGGACCAACTCGTCATCCAAGAGGCCCACTCCACATATTCTACACAGTTGGGGAAGAAATCGAAGAATTGGCAGCTTACCTATCCCCAGTTATGGTTGTACACTATGCGGGACTATCCTGATTTGCCTGCCCCTCGGGAGGTGAAGACAAAGAAGAAGAAGAAGCTTCTAGCGAAAGCCAGGACTCCAAATGCCAATGAAGCTAAACTGTCTGACTTTGCAGTTCTTGCTGACAAGTTGCAGTTTAAAAGCGATGAGATAACGGCGTTAATGCTACGGTCCTCGGACAGAGAGATTGCACGTGATGCATTACTAAGAGCGCGAAATCAGGATCGCTATGATTACGGTGATGGAGACATTGAATCTCATATCGACAAGATCTTGGGATTATTTGCAACCGCCAGACCTCAGAATACCGAGCGGTCGTGTCCCGTTCTCGTCAGCGACGGTCCAGACACGGCCGGCCCCCGATGTGGGTTTCCAGACGAGGAGGCTCATGCGAGAGATAGAAGGTTTCTCTACATAAGCAATCTCCAGTCAGACCAAGAAGAGCAAGGCGAGAGCATCACTTCGTTTTTTGTGCGTAGGTCAGTGTACTTTGCATTCTTTGGTAGGCTGCCGAAGATAATCACACACTGCCGTTCTAGCCCTGCACCACCGCCCAATGCTGGTGTGGAACGGGCAGCATCTTCTCCATTTCTCGAAACGCAAGTATCAGAGGTAGATCTCGAGACAGATGGCGAGCGGCTCAGACAGAACACATTAGATGGCGAGAGACTTCACCAAGAACAATCTGAACGGGACAGCCAGGAACGGCTGAATGGTGATGGAAATGATGCACAAGAGGCGGATGACTCATTCCAAGTGCCAGAGAGGGATCAGAGGCGGGACACGCAAATTGACATTGAGAGAATTATAGCGAGGGGACTCGCCAGCATCCCTGAAGTTACTGAGGATCCAGCAGAACACTCTAGAGAGCAGAACCTGGACACACAGCTGCAGGTAGTGCCTCCTTCCCCTTCCAAGATCCGCATTGAATTCAAAATTCTTGAGGGAAGGGTATTGAGGACCGATCGAAGTCTTTTGGTGGACCCTTCTGAACCATCCGAGGTGGACCGGATGGCGAAAAAGTACACGAGAAAGGGAATCAGGCCGTTTGATACCTTATATAACTTGCTAGTCCCAGGACAATGCTTCCAAGCAGTGACTAGTAATGGGACGAATACTGTGCTTTTGATCAAGGACGATGGTCTCCACATTGATAGCCAGCTAGTTGTGTTTAAACCGACGTCTGATGCAGATCCTTTTGCAGGCAGTAGGCCAAAGAGGAGTCGGCATTGAAATCAAAACAGTACTCTTCACTATGACTTTTCATTTTTATGGCCGATGCTTTGCATCTTTTGAGAGCGTATAGAAACAATCGATGAAGTAAATTGAATCTTCCCACTGTCATGTCTTTCTATAATGTGACAGCGAAGACATTACTTGGCTGGCTGGTATCACGCGGGGCGGTTCTTCGTGGCGTGCATTCAATCTGAAATGTGGATGGAGAAAATCATTTATTCAAAGATATGCGCATCTATAGAAGACTAAAGCAAAACATTTGTCATCTTAGGGCTCCCAAACACCCAAACCCATTGTAAAATACGGTAGCAAGAAGTACTATAACAGGAACTGGCGGAAAGCGAACTCGTTGTTCACCTCTCCCATGGATCTCTCGACGTAGGCTCAAGTTCTCGTCTATGGAATCCTTGACATAAAGTCACATCTTCAGTTACGAGGAAGTGAGACAGCATACAGAGAGGGTTTAGGACCACTGCAGTGCTTGAACAGCGAGTTATAAATACGTGCTTGACACTATTAGTAGCAGATAATGCAGCAGGCAGTGAGACTCACATCAGACAGTTCATAAGGAGACGCCCATGAGGTGGCCGTCATAAAGTGGACTGCTTCAGCTGACCAAGGCTGCACTGGAGCTGCACTGCGCTCATGCATCATACACAGCATAAGCGTCTTCAAACAGTCCATGTTTTCTGAAGTTTGGCCATCGCTACTCGGAAAATCCATAGGATCTAGATGGACTTGGTTAGTCTGGGGATTCACCTCGGGTTGGCTTGTTGCTCACCGATCTTCACCTCCCCCATCGGAGAAATCAAAACATTTCGTGCCAATATACGGGGGTGGGGGAGTTTCCTTGACCAGATAAATTGTATGCCCGCCAGAACCTATTGAATTAGTATTAACCTAGGATGAAGGATTAGGGCTCAACTCGCTTGGCTGATAATATATGCTATCTCAGGTTCCAAGGGGCGGATGCCGCGTTGTAGAAGGGTCTCGAGAGAAAATCCAACATATTCGGTAATAGCAAAGATTTGATGATTAAAGAAATACTCTTCATAAATACCAACAAAATTCTGATGCCTGATAGGGAGGAGACAGAAGGATGGTGGTTCTGGAGGGGAGGAGACTGATCTGACAGAGTCGGCAGGGGAACTACAAACCATGCCTTCTGCATGTGTATCTACTGGAGATGTCCTTCCAGATTCAACCTTTCGAAAGACACGAATTACTCGCACTGTGGATCTATCATCGCAGAGAACTAGAGAGTCCCCCGTGTGAAGTTCGATAAACTTTTCGTAAAAGTCCCATGGGCTGCAGTCAAATGATGGAATAACCCTCTCTCCTGCAGACCATAATTCTCTTCCAGTCCTCAGCGATGGATGAGGCTGTTCTGGAAATAAAACTTGATGCTCCCCAGCAGGAGATGGCATGGTTTCTGAAGTATCAGAACGCTGCATCTCTTGTCCTTCTCTCATACTGCGTAGCGAAGAGAAATGGGAGGAAGAAAGAAATGCGAATTGCTGACGAGGATTAGAAGATAGAAGCAGGCTTGTAAGATAATGTATCTCGTGGAGGCCTTTGGGTGGGGGGGTGAGCAACTGTGAATAGAAGCTACCAGAACAACGGTGACTCATACTGCAACATATCCTAGGTTCGCACTTTGGGATGCTTAAGCTTCTAGGGGTTGCGAAATCCTACACAAAGCCACAATCGGTCGTGCAACTTCAAGATGACGTAGCGGGGCCAGTACGTACCGGTACGTACGTACTCACGGGTGCCATCACCACTATACTTGTGGGTCATTGGATTGTCCCTGGTCCTCACAGTGTCCCGCGCGATCGACAGGGGTTAACTAACCCTCTACTCGTGCCGTTCCTATTGAACCTCCACCCAATAATCTTCCACCCATTTATCCTCCATCTAATAATCTTCCACCCATTGAACCTCCACCCAATAACCTTCCACCCATTTGATTCTCCACCCCATCGGTTACGATTTTTGGCCATGAGGCACCGCGAACATGGCAGTCTCTTCACATTTGAACAACAAATGCAAGAGACAGCAGAATTAAGTTTAATGAAATGATCTGTCCTGATTCAGGCGAGGATTCAGAGCCTGACTTATGAACAACGGCATATATGAATTGAATTCGCTTATACATCTTCTGCACTATCTAAAGCCAACCATAGCAACATATTTGATTTACGTGCATGAACTTGCAATGTTGGCCCAGTGTTCATCAGACCACTTGGTGGGGAGAGGTTATCGATGCCATCGGTCATTTGGTGAGAGCCTCATCCCGTCTACTTGGCACCATGGCAATATTCGTATCTGCGCCCCTCTACTCTCTACTTCCCACTTGCTCTGGATCTTCTGGATTGCGTTTCCGTTGGCATTTCGTGTCGGCGTCATGTGGCAACATATTTATAGGCATTGGAAAAGAATTCATCTTGCCACCATTTAGTAAAATGTCATCGAAGTCAGAAGAGAACCTACAATTTCTTTCTTGGATGGTGGAAAACATGGGTTGCCAGGAGATACGTAAGTATAATAGCGCCCCTTCTGGTAGATGATCAAGGCAACATCCGCGCCGTATAGTTCCGCGTACTCATATGCCTTGTTGGTCAAAGTACTTCTCCTTCTAGATGCATTCTGGCTTTGGCGTTTCCGTACGTTGCTCATGTTGCGATAGAGTATATTAGACACAGAACAGAGGAGCTTATGCTGTCTCTTGTGATTTTGAAAGCTATAGTCAGAAAAGGATAGTCGTAGACTGTCGCTGGCATTTCATGGCAAACTACGACTACGCGAAGATGTCAGAGATCGTATATCTCCAGAAACGGTAATCCTGGCGTCCCAAACTTGAGGGGCACCACCCGATGGTCTTAACCGACGGTATCGATCGCCTGTCACCATCCGATCGTCTTCATGCAGTCCCATAGTAAGAGAATGATTTGTTGGATTTTATCTATGTACTCGGGTATCTTGGAACTTGTCAATTCCTACTCACGAGAGATACGATATTGCAGATCATCGTATGGGAGGCTGCACATTTCGGATCACCACACGCGACGGATGGCAAATCGTTCCATCTTGCCATCTTCAGACCCCTGTGACGGTAAAGTGGATCATTTCACCACCCTGAGTGGTGAAATGCCACTCCACCTCAGGACCACCTCACCAGGAGGTCGATGTGGACCACTGCACCTCGAGACCATCCGTCACAACGGATGGAATCTAACAACCACCACCTTGGCTCATTCCGTGGTAATAATAACAAACTGCCATATCTCCGATTGATATCCGCTTCCGAGAAAACAATTTCAGATAATCCGTCATGTCATGGAAGGGGGGGTCAGGTGATACCCAGTGGCCGGAGCTGAACCAAGGCGACTTCAAGACGATATCAACTACGTGCTTGGAAAACCACCATCGAATGACCCAAGTCCCAAGACAAACGGCCTTTCCGGGGAATTTTGATGTCATAAAATTGAAAAGCCTGGGTTTGCTGGAGATTCCGCGAGTGGAACGAGAGAGGAGGGATGCTTCTAAATATATTCCTCAAAAACTACAGCTCGAAATGACGACTATGGACTCAGAGAGACAGACGAAAGTTCCCCAGAAGCGACCGCTTATAAACTACTGGGTTAAAGACCCTTGGGATACATATAGCAGTCTCCGCACTCTGGACAGAGGGGGAATCGTTACAGCAGCATGTACACGAAAAGCTCCTGTCCAGATGGTTGTGATAAAGGAATTACGATCGGTTCTCTGCACTACCGAGCTAAAATGGACTTTCCACCACAACTTACTAGCTTTTCTGGAAATGTATCAGATTGAGGAGAAAATGCTCGCAGTCATGGAATATACAGTCGCCACGTTGCAACAGGTCATGGCAGTCCCATTGCCACTGGAAGAGATTCACATCTCTGCCGTATGCTGTCAGGTAATGTTGCATTTCGAATCTTGATCATCTGCTAAGCGTCATAGCTATTTGAGGGGATCTGGCACTTGTCGAAGAACGGGGTAGTACACAGCAATCTCAATACTTCCAAGGTTTTGTTTACTCTAGACGGTTGTGTTAAAATAGGTATGCCACCATGCCAGCGTTGCGATAAGGACTAACTATGCAGCTTTTTTGGACGATTATGAGGCCTCTGCATTAACCCACACCCGTCCATTAGGCGTCATTGCAATAGAAATGATGCAAAACGGAATACCTCCTGGGCCAGGCAACTCGCTCATCCTCAGGCATCCAGACCTGTGGTCAGCGCAAGCTGCAAAATTCTTGTCGGTGGCATCTTGGGGAAGTCTACAAGACCTAAAGAACGTAAGACACCCAGGATCTGTCACTGGCCTATGCTGAATTATTAATAAGAACAAATTTCTAACATGTTCATCACCGACGGTTATGATTCCACATGTAGAGTATGCCCGGTGGGGAACAGTCGAGTGGGTAGCCACTTCACTTATAGGGGAGAAAGCGGGCGGGAATCAATCCCAACTGGCACAAGATACACCTGTGAGACGAAAAGAAACGGAAAAGCCAAGATCATGTGATGATTTGATAGCAGAGTATATGAGTTGATTATGTTAAAATCTAGATGACAATTTGAAGACAATAACAAGCAAAACAAAACATAACTCGATGTCAACCACCTTGCAATTATGCGAGACAGTGTCCGACTTGTCTTTTTCGTGAAAGATACAACTCTGCGTTCACATCAAAGTGCCATCTGCTTTACCTCTGTCGGTGATGCTGTAAATTACCATGGCCAGACAAGCTTTGCAGTTTTTATCAAGTCTGAGCGAAACATAAAGAAGAGATTGAAATCATTATCGGATTGAGAACCTGTACGGCTTATTAGTCTTTAATGTAAGAGAACTGTCCATGCTAACTTACCGCAAGAAGTCCATGCCATTTCTGTAGCACGAATATTGTGGCCGATGATTCAGGAACGAGACGAGAAAATTCGCAAGCAAAAGCGACGTTTTCTTCTTCTGACCACTCCTCAAACAAAACATGACCACGCCAGATAGGGGTATGTTCTTCTGCGAATATTGTAGTGCACGAAAGCAGAGCGTGATGTTCCTCTGGTAGGTGGGACAGTATAAAAAAAGCCACAATTTGAGCATCAGGTATTCCAGAGAGTAGTCGCTCCATCTGCTGCAAGGGGACTACCTTGATCCCGTTGAGTCCCCTCTTTTCATTTTGAATGGTTATAAAATCAATTCCAGGCAAATTTCCCTCGCTCTCATGACTTGGTTGTATTTCTAACATATACCTAGCAGCAAGCTTCCAGATGTCAGATTCGCTGTCATCGTCAAGCATCAGTTGGAACGACTGCATCGTTAACAAAGAGATGGCAACGGACTTCCACATGTAACGCTGACTTCTAAACGATAGAAGACACAGAGGTTCTCTTGCGTAAAGGTTTACTTATCAGAGGAGGCAGGGGATCAGACACAAAGGCTTCAAGTAACACGTTACTAGTATATAACAAATACTGTATTGAGTTGAGCACGAAGCTCCTATCTAAGAACTAACTATCTACTTATATAGTGGCGTCGTGCCTAGTGGACTCCTGGGAACTCACTCGAGTCCTCGGAGTCCTGGACTCTTAGGATTCTTCTCATCATCCTGCGAGTCCGTCACGTGCCTAGTGGACTCCTGGGAACTCACTCGAGTCCTCGGAGTCCTGGACTCTTAGGACTCTTCTCATCATCCTGCGAGTCCGTCACGTGATACTTTCGGAACTACTATTCCCCGCTGCCCCTCCAGGTACCAGGGCCGGTCTCATGCGACCTCCCTCCTTCCTGTCCTGTAGTTGGCCAGCCTTCTTGTTCTGTCGTAACACCACATGGCAACTGCGTGCTCGTTCTCTGGCTCTTCGGTAGCTGGCATAGTCAACAAAGAGCTGGCGGCACACTCCAATTTGTCAACTTCAGCTTTTTCTCCCTCGGGCTTTGAGTTGATCGCATCTGGTCGAGACTGGTGCTTCCCTAACTCATCGTTCGGATTGATTTGATCATGTCGATGGCCTGGCACGTCCATAGCTCTGGATTCGAGAGCGGAGTCAGGAATCGGACTCTGATCGACGTTATCACGCCATTCCTCACATCTTAACTTTGCACACACTTGGCATTTTCCATCCCGAGACATCTGCTGCCCACACGGCGTACATATACTGCAGTCGTCGCATCTGCCCATGTGGAGTATTCTCGCTCCACAGGATGTACATCGCTCGGATATCAAGATTTCTTTCATAACCCGTCGACCCTCCCTTATACCCTTCTCCGTCGCTCTCTCCCTTTCAAGTTTCATTTTAGCAAACAGATCCTCCACCTTGAACGGATTCACGGTAAGGATTTCGTCATCCACTTCATCAGGCTCCATTATTGTCGAATTGGCAGGCTCGATCTCATCTGTTGGTTTTGCCATAGTGGTCGAATCAATACGCTCAGGCCCGTCACCAGCCGTCATTTTGGAATGCTTCTGCCTCTGTAACTCATCATCTGTCACCGTAATCGTTGATTTTCGTTTCCTTAACCCTGGTGGTTTAAGGTTTGCTTGGGAAAGGCTCATAGCTGTTATAGCAATTAACATCGTGTCAACTTAAAGGTGAAGGATACTTGCTGGGTGTGAATGGAGACAGACGAATGCTCCAGGATGAAAGAGGCAAGGAAAGAAGATGAAGAAATTCAGAAAGGTAAATGGGAGGATGAAGAGAAGTTGGGGTAGAAGGTTCTGATTTATAACAGGTGCGAAGAAGGAACCATGTCAGTGCGCCAACATACCAACTGCGTCCGGAGTTTAATATAACTTCTGTATTAAAGCACTGAAAGGACCGAAAAGGAAGGAGGGCAACAAGCCAATTCAAGACAAATGTCACATCCCCTCTAGAGTACGGACTTGGATAGTGATAAGAGCATATATCACTCAGCCATCCTGACAAATCGGACGCATTGCTTGAGTTTCCCACATTGCGACTGCTATAAATATTAACAAGACATATCCACGAACTCTTCATAGTTCATATCTCAATACAATGGGGCTTATTTGGGCCTGTAGGTGGTGTTCGATAACTTTTACATCTGTCGACAAGATCAAGTCTCACTTGGATGCTCAGATCCAGCAGCCAGATGAGCTTCACAAATCTTATAAGAACGATATCATTGACTTGCGACATGCCCAAGAGAGGAGGCTAGAGATCCATTCCCATTTTTCTCTATCTCAAAGCGCCGCTCGACCTCTCGTCAACCTTTTCGTCAACCTTGACTGATTCTGGTACGTTTGGTATTCCATCATTGGCTCACGAGGGCTAATAATTTTGACAGCCGCCTCCCACATTCGGATTTATATACGCCATCCTCCTCCTCACTCTGCCTTGCGGTCTTTTGATATTCAACTAAGTCACGGACTGGAACGATTGACGGGGAGGGAAAGTAAAGGGAATAAATATGTAAAGGGCCAAAGATACCTATTTTAAATATCAGATCTCATCTACTTTATCAAACGTTTCGCTATAAGGCGGCTCTCAATGTGTTTTTCGTTCGTTGCCGAGTCGAACGTTGGGACCTTCGATCCGATGCTGGCCAGCAGATAGGGCCGTGTCTTTATATCAGAAGTAATGGAGGCATGCTGCATGAATGCGAACTGGATCTCTTTGGCCACATCCGCCTTCTGGGACTACTTTTTGTCTTTGTCTCGATCGATGCAGTGCCCTCTCCTTGCACTTTCATGTACGCTAGAAGATTGAATATTGGTAGTTTGGAGTCCGCGACGATGAACGAAGCAAGAGATGTTTGTTTGTATTACGTACATGTATAAAGCTTGAAACTATGCTAAAACAAAAGAGAAGTCTGCAACAGCAGGAATGTTCGACACTCGCCATCGCTGAAAGGCCGCTTGCAACATAACGCCAATGTATCACTTTACCAGAAGTGAACGAGAATCAGCACAGGAAGTGGTGGCATATGCCTTGGATGTTATCCTTCTTGAACCGATGCAACACAGCCAATTCCTTGCCACGGAAAGCAGTGTTGGGTTGCCCTTATCTCCATTGTCGCCGCCGTATGTACGTGATGTATGGTCGAGATCGGCGATAAATGATAACCGCGTAGCCCTCCCTTCGCTGAGATCATTCAATGACGGAACAAAAGGCAGTAGGGTTATACGCTCAGGTTGACCTTCTCCATCAGGTGTACATATCTCGAATTTCGATGATACGGCTGTCTTAGACCGACGGTCATGTGTAACGTAGTAATAAGGCTTCCATGGACCGCGTTGAGTATCTGTGAAGGTCATGACGATGAAATGCCTGATCAGAGACCAAATCCAATAGAAGCTGCGTGCAGGGTGCACAATGCCAATGCGTCAACGACCGTGGACCGGTGAGAGTAAACAGAGTTGCGCATGAACCATGTAACATATGAGTGAGGCGAAAAGTGGCAGATGCCTTCACCCACAAAGGCTCACCGAGGAGTGGCGGTATGCAGGATAGGTACCAACGACGATAGACAAGGCTTGCATGTAGTATCAAACGAGCGTGCACTCGGTGAGAGAAAAGAACAACGGTGAAACGTGAGCGAGTATGGTTGAACTTGAATGAGATGAAGTTGGCACACACTGGTAGCCTCAGCTTCTTCTTATACATTGAACTAGATCCCCACGCTTGAATAGAGAGAGCACGACAATTTAAAACCTTCAGGTCGAACTAGAGCCAGATCGATCGGTCTCACTTGAGAAACGATAGACGATACGTGTGCTGTTCCTATCGTTTTACGGAGTTTTGAAGAGACAGATCCGAATGAAGGGAATGGTATTACCATAAGCCCGGCTTTAACACGACATCGCGGATAGAGAGGACGTACGTACGTGGTCAGGGCTAACATGCGAACGCCCATCGGACTATGAAACCGTATTTCGGGCTTTTAGTGGCGAGTATGATAACCCTTGCCTTCGTGCTTTGTCGAGCTATACCCAAAGGGGGGCCCTCAATGAGGGCCCCTCTTTAGGTCTAGCGTTGGTTTCCAAATCGGGATCATCTCTCCGTCAAAACTCCGCCTCCTCAACCTGGCCTCTCAACACCTCTGCCTACTCGACCGGAGATGACTTCTCGAGCGCGAATTGACCAATTTGATGGCACCGATTCTGAGTACATTGCTTACTTAGAATCGAAAGTGTTCGAGTTATCTATAATCCGTTGCCCTTCGCCGCGGCGTTCAAAGGCGCGCCAATTGACCGCGACTCGTTCTCCTCCGCCGCAGCGTTCACGGGTGCACCAGTTGACCACGAACCACTCTCCTCCGCCTTCTCCGCCTTCAGAGGTGCGCGGGTTGACTACGGATCGTTCTCCTCCGAGTCCGTCGCGTTCAGAGGTGCGCGACGAAGCAACTGATAGTTCTGATGGCGATGGGGCTCTTTTTAATACCCTCGAATTCATCGTGTATAATCCGTCACAGGATTCTTTTCATAATCCGGCAAAGAAGAGGCAACGAATACAAACAAGATGGGAGCACGAAATGGATGACATGCTCAGCGACATTCCAAACACCAAAGACTGGTCGCCAAAGAGGGAAAGCGTTGGCCTCGCATCCTCAGCTAAGATTCTAGTGGCGTTGGACGTCATTATACACGGCAGAGGTCCACAAATGGATCTTAACGCCGGCCAGAAAGATCTATCAGTTGTTTGCTACGATCGTTCAAATGCTATTCTACAGCTTCTAAACACCTTCGCCATCACTACGGCAGCACTGCAAATTGAGACGACATTTACGAGACAGATATATCGCTTCCGCGTTTTCGTGTTCGTCTCTTTGTGTTGTGTCGCACTACATCATGGCGTGGAAAAGAGATTTGTTGAGGAGGCCATGCAGAAATGCGTTAGCGATTCATGTGGAAAGAACCTTACGCGACTCCGAAACGGGGCGCTATGGGTCAATCGGATGATGAGTACGTTAGCAGCAGATGGTCGTGGCCATCGAGCGTACGAGCTTTTTGTTCTTTGTGAGTATCAAGAATCGATGGGCATCGTAGTTGTGGCACAATCTAATCTGGAGAGTAGGTGGTCGATCAATAGCCTGCTACGGTCGTTTTGCGCAGGCTGGAGAATCTGGATTTTCTTACTTCAGTAGCCGTGTCCCAATCTGCAAGCCAGGACTCGAGATACAAGCTTCCCTACCTTTCTGGGTTCCATTCATCATCAAGTCGATAGCTGGTGAGGTCTACAGGTAGAACTCCACGCAAGATTGCTAGATGAAGGCATTTTAACGTCTCCAGTCTCTCAGATATATGTGTTGCTCTCGGCGACGGTGCAGATTCACAGATAGACCATTATCCACGATATCTCCGAAATTACCACAGTAGGCGAATACCACCACCTCCGAATGTCCACCCTGAAATTACAGCAACTTCAACAGGACATTCTAGTAGTAAGAATATCCCAATGTCAAGTTGCCCTGCGGGATTGCTGACTAGTTTAGCTGACGGCCTCGCTGGATGTGGAGGTGGTGGGGAGGAGGAAACTCGCACTAACTCCAATTCGATACTCTCTCTGTTGACAGCCGCAGAGTACAGTCATGGCTACTTGCCGGTATTGGTGCCAGAGCAGCAACCGCTTTTGGACAGAGATTTGGTGAATGGAACGCCAAACTCGGCTCCGTTGCAACCAGTCATGACAGGAGGCCCTGCCTTATACACTATGGAACGACCTATGGAAAAAAGGCGCAGGTCAATCTTACCACAGGTCGAGCACCAACAAAGCACCAGCAGTCAAGCTCCCAGCAATAGGCGGATGAGAGGTAATTCTGCCGAACAAGAAGAACAATTCCGTCAAAGTCTCCCAGAGACCAACTTAGCTTCTACCGACGCTTCTCTACTAGACGTGATAAATTCATCAGAAGGCCCGAATTCATCTGCAGGTAATGCACAGTCCATCGAAAATCAGAAAATGAACCAAGCCAGTGCACCAACCACTACACCAGGTACGTTAAACTCGTCAAGACTTTAAATCTCAGCAGAAGGTGACCGAACACAGGCCCCCTAGACCCTCAGCAATTTGAACCCAGTAGAGTCTCAGAAGGTGCAGGTATTGCCTCTATGGCCATGGATTCGAGTGGCTTCTCCAATCTACCTTGGCCGTCTTCAGATCTAACCTATAACAAAAATATTGCCAATGACGATTCGGCATTTCCCTTCGATTTCGACTCCAGCCATTACCTCTCGAACTTCTCCTTCAACTACAGTGACGCCCATTTACTTTCGAACATCACATTTCAGTACGACCCATATGATATGACCAGCATCCCCTTTCCAACGTCCTCCAACACCTAATCACACTATAACGAACATGAGGTCTATTTTCGGACTAATATAGACTCCGGTGGTGATGTAGGTACTTTGACCTGGTATCAAAGGACAGTTCGATACGGCTGGCTTAGTGCCTTCATCGACTCGGATCGGAATAATGTATGCAGGACCTTTGTCGCTGTAAAATGGTGCGGATTTGGGACCGGGAATCCTCACGACCGAAACCCCCTGATAGAGTTAGCAATACTCTAGAAACTCAACTTAATGAAATACCTTGTTTGTGACTAGATCTAACTCCTCAAGCAAAGGTTTTATAGTCTTGTACATCTGGGGATCAACACAGAGATGAAAATCCTCCGCGTGTGGTGTGAACATAACCGGTGGCGCTTCGGTAGACAGCCAGTCTTGTATTGCTTTCAATGACCTTTGTGCCTGTTCTCCAAGCTGGCGCTGCTGTAGATGCACCTTATCCGAGGTAGTTACGGACATCTTAGTTCTGAGATGCGAGCGTGTTTGATGGCAAAGCCGATCGTTTTTGGGCCGACCGCGAAAGATACAACAAAGGCTTTGCGCCAGAATCTTGGTAGCTCGTACGGTAGCGGAAAATTGGGAATATTAAAGACTGTCCTTGGTGGTTTGTCTTCGCAGAAGATAGAGTGCCTGACGCTGGGTTGGGTAGAGGTACATTTCTTGCCTTTAAAATCGTACGACCGCCCTTTCGCGATAACTTCACGTTGCGGGGCACGGTTTACTAGTGTCAAGGTCACGTGAAGATGAATGACTCTAGCATAATCGGCACGGGTCAGTAACTTCGTGATGAAACTCGCAACGGAACATATTATTCTGTGGCAAAGAGGCTGGATGAGTGGAGGACTTTTTTTTAGACGTTGCATGAACTCATCTATGGGGGGTTGAAAATGGCAGGAATATGACGATTGGATGGTGATAGGTTTCGGCCATAACTGAACAAGTTGGGCAGTAGCGCATAACTCACCAGTGAACCGTTTTTGCTGTGGATGCCAAGTCGAGGTAATGGATTACGTGGCAAAGTTTGTGATGGTGTCTTGCAAATCACCCTTGTGTAGTTTTCTAGTGTGGCAACATACTTTATGGATGAATTCTTCTCTCGTGTGTAGACACTTCGTCCAACGTGGATGTGGTCAATCACAACCAATTCAGGCATCTACTGGAGCGAAATCGCAGTGTTTGGAGCGGTGCTATCGACTGGAGCGAGCGCCTGTCCTCGAGTACGTTGATTGGATGATGTGATAGAGAGCTACTGTAAGGCAACGACCGGAGCCACCAGCGACTGCCTGGCTGGGATACCATTTTCATATAGCCAACAATAGATATACGACCTATCAAACTCATCATGTGTTATCTTTCCAGTTACACCTGCCAGAATGTATGCCGAGATCGTAAACGTCGGTTTTCTGATTGGTCAATATAATGTCCTCGTGAGAGAGATGAGTACCTTCGAGTACTTGAGCAGCAAGTGAAGTCTGCAAAGGAAGGCTGGTTATAAAGGAAGTTCTTTGGACAGACGTGATAAGAATTCTGTGGCCTTATATACTTATTATATGGTCACGTAGCAAGAAGAGCCTAGCTGCGTGTGTCTTCGTATCAGTTATAACGAAGTAGCTTAGGCAACACCGTCACACAATTGGATAAGTATCATACCATCATATTCCAAGGCGGCGGTTGCATTAATCCAACTTGCAACTCAGTTACCTACACACCAGGCCGCGAGTGCGACAAAAAGCCGGCCAGGGGCATTAGAGACTGTCCTCACTACGAGCTACGACATGCGGGATCGACCAGAAGGAAGGGAAAGTGCGCTCAGCATGCCTAGGTAAGTAACTTAGCAGGTAAGTAAAATACTCAGAGATGGATTTAACGTGGCGAATAGATACTACGCCCTCCCCTCAGGAAGTTGCAAACGTTCGCTACCCGCAACCTGTGGTATAGCTGTCTTGAGAGAAAGTTTGAGAATGGTTGTTGGATTCTGGTCACCTTCTCATATTTGTAGGCATGGTCATAGCAGCACACTCATTTATGAAATCTACCAATGAAGTATTTGATAGTATTAAATCGCATCAAAACAATTCTTCAAATCCCATGAGCACATGCTTTGCAGAAGAGAACTCACATCTCCAACAGCCCAAAATAACGGAACCGCAGAAAATGCCGTCAACGAAAGGAAAGTCTCCTTTAGCATATAGATTCTCTATCAGATCATCATTCAAGCCGCGATATGGAGTCTCGCCGACCCCAAGCTCGTAGAGTGTAGAGCCAAGCGCAAATAGATCTGACAAAAATGTGTTTGGGTCATCGGGGTTCCTCGGCAAGAAATGGCTCGCGCCCTCCATTCCTAATGCCTCCTGCCCAGGGTATCCAGATGCTCCAAAGTCACCGAGGCGGACATTCAAATCTGAGTCCAAGAAGAATTGCCTAAGGGCAAGATCCGCGTGGACGATACCCTTCTCATGGACAAGCGCCACAGCTTCAATGATCTGACGGGCCCACCGGATCCGAGAAGCATCCGAGATAGATTCCTTGTACGTTTGAATGTAATTCATGAGGGTCCCATGTGGATAAAATTCAAGATCGACATGGTCCAAGGTTTTGCCGATGGATAAACACCTTACGATACAGGGATTTTCTCCCAGTAAGGCGTATATTGTCGCTTCATTTCTGATGGCCTGAAGGTTCCCTGGAAGGGTAAAGGCATCATCAGTGCGAGGCAGCTTTCTAACCAACGTGTCACTGACGTGGTGGACGACGCTGAAGATGCCGACAGCGATGAGGTTTTGCTGGGTTGGATTCATATTTGTTAAGATGGTAGACGATGTGACAAGAGGCAACGGTTGTTTTGCTTTTGTTTTTAAGTAGAGTGAAGAAAATAGATGGCCCATGGCTGTGAAGCGGAGCGAGCGAGGCGAACTGGAGGTACTGACTTCGACCAGTCCGTACCGACGGCGGCTGCGTTAGGAGCACAGGGTCGACGATGGATTGAGGTAAGAGTGGTAGATGGCTCTTCACCATTCAACGGCCGAGGACCGCGTTAAGAGAGCTTTTGAAGACAGCCAGCGAGGAGTGCTTGGTCTTTTATTCAGCTCGAATTAACGGCTGGTTCGTGCACACGCCTTCCTAGAAATGTGAGGTTGGATTTGGCCGACTTTTCTGTTGTCACTCGACGCGTCATACCAGCTACGCTCAACAACAACTCAAAAACGGAAAACAACTGGAATGAGACATACGGATGGGTCGGCTTTTTTTGTCTGCTCGACGCGTCATATCATCTCGCAACGATCGACAGCGGCCAAGCAGCGTTTGGAATAAATGGAGGAAATAGAATGGACGGCGTCTAAACTGGAACTTCAGGATATCCATTCAACACCATACCTAATACGGATTAGTTCACAAACTGACTAGTTCGCTCCTTCCGCGAGGTGTCCTCTGTCGCGCTTTCGATTACTTTGGTTTCCATACGCGATAATACCTCACAGCTTCTTGAGTGGTACGATCCGTCGAAGGGCTCCAGCGCTCCAGCAATGTCTGCAAGATCTGCTTGTCGGCATTACCCTTATAAATAAATGCGTGCTCGTCCAGTTGAGGCGCAGGTGCTCAAGTGGACTGACACTGCGGCATAGCTACGGAGTAGAAGGGTAGGAATTCCGTTTCCGCCATAGAACGACAGAGAAGAGCTAACTCTTTTGTTCAGTCCTCGAATATGTCTTCAGAGCTTGAGGCACTGCGGAATCAACTTCGCGCAGCACAGCGGCGTGAGCAAGAAGCAGAACGACTCCGCGAAGAAGAGCAACGACTCCGCGAAGAAGCAGAACGTCTCCGCGAATATGAACGACAGCGCTACGAACAGAGGACCGGAAAGACAACGCTGCCCGAGTTCCTCGATGCATGCCATAATCACCTTTGCCTAGGTCTGACCATCCAACCAGATACCACACAGTCCACGCAAGGCGATGCCGCAAACGCAGACAACAAACCGCGGCCTGATCGAATCTTGCCATGGCCAGAATTTGATGCGGAGCAGGCACGGACGTGGCAAGATTTGATGGATTCAGAATTCGTCCTTGAACGACATTTTACCTCCCTACATACACTAGAAGAGTCAGGGGAAGCCGTTCGCCGGCGCCAGATGGGTTCGGAGCTAGATCTTAATAGCTTTGCTCGATTCACCGTGGAGGATCTGGTATCCCAGATCATCGAGCGGTTCTCTAAAGACAGCGTATTATGCCATCGTTTTGGTATCAAAGGCGCAGTCAAGTTTGAAAACCACAGCAACACACTCAGTCCTGATCGAACAACAGAGCAAATGCAATCTCTTAGCATTTCTGACAACCCGCGACGGTCGGAACGCCTTCGAGCCCATGCAAACAAACCGGGACGGGCTGACTCTCCTAAGCCATCGAAATCTGCCATGAAATCTTCCCGTCCTCGTGCAGATCAGTTCTGCGTTTACAATACCAGTGGTGAGGGAGAGACAGAGCACCGGGTGGCCGCACTGACGATCGAATACAAAGCTCCCCATAAGTTGACATTGGGGCATATTTATGAAGGTCTTGCCGAGATGAACCTGGATGAGGTTGTGGAGGAAGGCGAGAATGAAAGTGTGGCAATTCGCTGTCGTCGTTTGGTCGCCGCTGTGATCACGCAAGGCTTCTCATATATGGTGAAGGCTGGGGTGGAATATGGTGAGATCTACACTGGTGAAGCAACGATATTCTTGCGCATTCCTGACGATCCCTCAACCGTGTACTACTCTCTATCTGTTCCAAAAGGAGATGTCGGCGCGTCCACTGGCTGGGACGAGCGTGGAAACCTTTCAGTATCCACTGTGCACTGCATGGAGGCGTTTTAAGCGCGCGAAGAGTAAAGGCTACAGCCTGACCAACCGCGGTCAGATGTAATCGATTTGCGTCAGCTCAAGGCATGGAATGTCGTCGTTAAAGAGGTCGAGGATGCTGTCGCCGATGACGAAGTCCCGTCTTCGGAGTATCGCCCTTCACCCAGAGTCAATGAGGATATTATACGGTCACCAATCCAATTTCGACCTCGCAAGAAGAATCAATTTGTGGGAACTTGTGCTTCAGTGACGTCTTCTTTCAGCAGCGATGATGACAACCATCATCCCGACACACCAAGCCGTCCCCAACCGCCTTCAAGCAGCGGAAACCCTATTACTTCCGCCAACCCACCATCACAATCTACTGAACGTGGTGGGAAAAGGGGGGCTTACAGCAAGGCTCATCGCCAGAAGGATCTAGGTCGGTTTTGTACGCCAAACTGCCTAATGGGTATGGTAGATGGGGGAGAACTCGATTGGCGGTGTCCGAATGTCAAGGAACATGGAAAGAGTCGTCATCAACTCGACCGTAATACATTCATGCGACATATCCGCGAGTTATTGCGCAATCAGCTTGACTATTGTGTGGAAATGAACATTCATGGAGCTGGAGGAGCTTTTTTCAAGGTGAAGTTACCTGGATTTGGGTACACCGTTGCTGCGAAAGGCACCGGGATTGAGTGTGTTAAAGATCTGATGCATGAATCGACAATTTACCGTCGTCTCCTTCCTGTTCAGGGGAAGTGCGTACCTGTGCACCTAGGGGATACGAAAGTGGACAGCATATTATACTACGCAGGAGCCGTTCGTATTGTCTATATGATGTTTCTAAGCTTTGGAGGATTCCAATTACGATCGCCAATCTCACAAACTCACGCTGACGACGCCATCTGTGGTCTTCATGCCATACATCAGCGGGGAGTATTGCAGGGCGATTCGGAAGCCCGTAACATTCTCGTACACCCGGATCGACTAGGAATTACCTGGATTGACTTTGAACGAGCTGAGTTTATACGTCCACGAGCGGTATTAGGAAGTTTATCTCCAAATCGGAAACGGAAAGGTAGCTGGTCTCACGAGGTAGGGAAGTGTCAGTATGGAAAGGACAGCAGGAGGACACCTGCATCAGAGATACGTCAAGCTAAGACGGAGCTAGCGAGATTGGTGGTGAAGCAGGAAGTAGTCAATTTTACAAATGCCGACCTCACTCGGCCCGGAACGCGTATGAGGAGCGGAAGAAGTCTGATAGCAGGATGAACTCGCTCCGGAAGTCGTGACTGATGAGCCTCGTCACCGGCGTTTCCGTACGAGACAGTGCTGACTCAGCTCACGAGTTCAATAGACACAAATCACGAGTGACACAGGAGCCCCACCTCTCATTCAACAATTTCGACGTCGATTCCGGATGTGAATAGCGGCGAGATCCGGTGGATACTCGCCGGGCGCAGCCTTCGTGGAGTGGACAACGGTGGGGAGCTTTGATATGCGCTTCGATCGTTGTGATCAAACGAGGGTTACGAGTCCGGGGAACGCCGCCTTGTTTCACGTGATGAACAGGGACACAGGTTGTCTTTGGCTGTCTGCAGTCTCGGGCCATGTGGCCTGGCTTGTCGCAGTTAAAACAGAGTCGTTCCTTGAATTGTCTGTCTTTCTTAGGGTCACGGGGTCGTCCAGGTTTGAACGTGGCATCGAGTTCCATTGGGTCCGACCAACGGTTGTCTCGCGGGTGTTGATCCCGTCGTCTGCCCTCGTTTCCCCGGTAGGGGTAACTTTTCTTGGGCTTGTCATAGGTCCGACGTTCCTTCTGGAATTCGTATAGTCGATTGTCGATTCGGACCGTATGTTCGATTAGCGCTACCATGTCCGTTGGTTGTTGTTCCAAACGGGCAAGTTCCATACGTATATGGCTCTTCAGCCCACGTCGGTAGTGGCTGATGAGTGCGCTGGCGTCCCATCCTGTCTCTGGAATTCTGTGGAGTACGTGAGGGCGCTGCCAGTCTGCTTAAGTGCAAACAGATGGTCTTCCGCGGTCTTAATCTCATCGATGTCTCCGAACATGCGTCGGATTTCCTTACAGAATCCTTTCCAGCTGCCAAACATAGTCTGCGTAGTTGCCATGCTTCCATTGGTACTTTCATATTTGAAATAATCCTTGAGGAATGGTTCGACCCATCGCAGGGCTTCCCCCCTAAGGTAGGACGCAGTCCACAGGGCATAGCTCTCCTGGGTGGGAAACTTCTCGTCATTGAAGTGCTGGTACAGTTCGACCTGTAGCAAAAACACCTCAAGTTCCTTTCGGTTGCCGGAGTAAGTGTCGGGCAACTTGACGCGTAGAGTTTCCTTGAGTTCGTTGACGGTGGGTGCGTCAGGCATCTCTTCATTCTCAGGCTTAGACCTCTGAGACGAAGTTGGCGTGGTGGGGGTTTTCCCCTTCGAACTGACGACAGACATGTTGCTTTGTGTATGAGCCAGTGCCTCGTAGAAGTGGTGCTCAAAGTGTAACGCTGACTTCTAAACGATAGAAGACACAGAGGTTCTCTTGCGTAAAGGTTTACTTATCAGAGGAGGCAGGGGATCAGACACAAAGGCTTCAAGTAACACGTTACTAGTATATAACAAATATTGTATTGAGTTGAGCACGAAGCTCCTATCTAAGGAAATACTATCTACTTATATAGTGGCGTCGTGCCTAGTGGACTCCTGGGAACTCACTGTAATGGTGGGTGCACCAGATATGAGAATCTAGCCACCCAAGGAAGGGATGAATTTACTAAGACAACACACTGTCTTAGGAAACAGAGCCAAAGGGTTGTAGCTTAGACTATTCCACAACGCAGCAATCAGGTGTATGATGTGGTGAAGTGGTTTAGACAAGTTGCAACAAATGTTGAGTCTGAGAACTCAGGGGTAAGTCAGAGGTTAGCACCTCACTGACTTTTCAAAAACAGAGAATAACAAGATCAATGCTTGGAAGCTTGGAAAAGACATAGAAGTATGTGCTAGTCGATTTACTGTATTGCCTGCTTGCCCTTTCTTAAGGAAAGGGCAATCCTATTTATGCCAAAGGAGTGTAGTTCTCTTATTTTCCATGACTTTCCATGACTAACCAGGCTTGGTAAATGTATTAGAAATCAAGTGCGACCCACAACTAGCTTGCTAATCATGTAGTGAACGTAAGAGAATCCCATAGAACCATCTCTTGGGTTCCTAGCCTATAGGAAGTGAAAAGGAGGTCCAAGGTCAGAGTACCTATAGACAAATTATGTCATAACTTAACCAATCTTGTGGGTAACTAAGGAGCGATGACGTGTAATGAATCATAGAGGGTTGTAGAAGCTTCTAGAGCTATCGTTCATGTTCCTAGGCCTCTAGTTGGTAGAGATATGCCATGTGGTAGTATTGGCCCACCCCCTTAAGGAGGAGATTTTCTTAATAACTTGTTCAATGAGTGTCCAAATGATATGCCGTGATGTATGTAGCATAAACAGATGTAGTAGAAGAGTTTGCAGCAATCGTTGAGTAGTATTGCTTCTGTTGTTGGTGTGATAAGCCAAGATATGTATGGTGACTTGTAGGTTTGAGGAGGAGATTTCTAAGTTTGCTCTTGAGTTTGGTAGCAAACTGAGTGCAACGAATGTCAGTATGACACTCACTCGAGTCCTCGGAGTCCTGGACTCTTAGGATTCTTCTCATCATCCTGTGAGTCCATCACGTGACTCGAGTCCTCGGAGTCCTGGACTCAGGATTCTTCTCATCATCCTGCGAGTCCGTCACGTGATACTTTCGGAACTACTATTCCCCGCTGCCCCTCCAGGTACCAGGGCCGGTCTCATGCGACCTCCCTCCTTCCTGTCCTGTAGTTGGCCAGCCTTCTTGTTCCGTCGTATCACGCCGCTTTCGCCGTCTTGGAGGCCGCACGTCCTCGTCATCCTCATTATCCTCACTGTCCTTATGATATGATTTGACGCTGTGTTCGCGGTCTTGTGAGAGAGGGGCCACAGCTATGCTCTCGTCTTCCATGCGTTGATGCTGAAGGCTCTCCTATATTTGCTGGTAGTAGCTAATCGCCTCTATGCCGTCCTGGATCATCCGCAAGAGCCACGTCGGAGAAGCCAGGGAAGTGTCGGTGTAAGTCGTGCCATTGCATGTCGGCTGCGCTGAAGGTGAGGAAAACCGGCGACATCCCAGGCGAGAGAAAGCGGGCTTGCGCCTGTAAGCTACTGCTCTTGTTCCTCCAGAACGGGCGCGTACCGGTCAAATCAGAACCCTGACGCACAATCTGAGAGAGGAGGGCGTCGTCCGCCAGCAGGGCCTCCGCGAGCTCGTCACGAGCGAGGTCCTTTAGACCAGACGCCTTGGAGACATAGAAACGGGCCGAGCTGTTCGCCCTCCGACGCATGAGGAGGTTGAAGACGAAGAAGCGCCAGCGGGGATGGCGGCTGAACCTCCCGTCGTGGAAACAGAGTAGGTGTCGCGCGTAGTCGTCGAGACGCACCGTCCGTAGCCGGGAGGCATTGAAGTCAGCCCGGCCCGTCGGATAGAGAGTGGGGAAGGCCATGGCAAAGATCCTGTCTCGGCCGGACGCCTCATCGATGGGCGTCTGTCGGATCGAGGGGGCGGGGAGGCCGAGAGGTTCGGGCTCGCGGCCGGCGATCTCCTGGAGGATGCGATCCACCTCCGTCGTCGCGACATCGAGATTCGGGACCATGGACTGAGAGTTCGGAGGGGGGAGGTCGGGCGAGACGGGTTGTCCTGGCACGGGGGGCTCATCCGCGCCCGCATCGTCGACGACGGCTGGGAAGGAGGAGGATATATCGCCATCAACAGGCAGGGTGCTGATCCGGTCAGGGGAGATGGTGATGTATCGGTAGTCCGGGTGGTGCGCCTTCAGAAACCGCAGCCAGGTGATGATACGCCCCTTGCGGAGTGGGAAATCCGTCCGGAACTGGCGCTGATACCTTAGATCAGACCGCACGACCTGATCCGAGGGCCGTAGGACAACGATATCTAATTCGGAAGGCAGGTTAGGCAGCATATCAACAGTCTTCACAGTGTTCTGCATGAAACTTACACAGTGTCCCGAGTAGTGGTACTGGTGGCCACGGTAGCGACAGACCATCATCTGCACATGAGACCGGGCGATCGTCATCTCCTCCACCTGTGTCAGCTCTGGCAGATAGGCCGGAAGCTCTCCCGGGTCCATCTCGTTCTCAGCAGACATGAGAAAGGGTGTCCTGTTGCCCTTATCCCGTAGGAAGCAGGCGTGGCAGATCCCGCCCTTCAGGTCCATAGAGAACCACCGCTCCTTACAACGGCCGCAGGTCTGCATCCCAACCCTGCCCATTACTGTATGAAAATCCTGTATGAGTCCCCATTGTTCGGCCGAGAGAAAGCCCTGGGGTTGAGGTTGTGTGGGCACAGGTGGCTCTGGACGTGTTTCGGCTGGAGGAGGCAGCACGGATGGTCCGGGACGTGATTCGAGGGGAGCCAAAGCTTCTACACGCGTATCATTAGCGGGCATCGAAGGCTCTGGGAGCACAGGAGCGTTCTGAGGACGTAGCTGGCGCGAGGCCTTCCGTTTCTTCTTATACCGTTTCTTCTTATACCTCTCTTGTGCAGCTCGGCACCCAATGCAGCTTGCGAATACCCTACCAGCCAGGCCGGCAGATGGATCTCTCAGGAACGAAGAGATAGGGCGCTTCTGGGCGCACCCAGAACAGTATTTAGCTTCCATTGCGGCCGTGGTAGTCAAGAATTGTCGTGCTATGGGTCAGAAGCTGGTGAAGGCAGGCACAACGCACAGACAGCAGATCATGTGACAGAACTTTTTAGATCACGTGATACAAACTGCACCCCAAGCTCACACGCAGGGGGGTCGGAGTCCAAAAAAAGCTAAAGCTTTAATTAGCTGTTGATATTACCGTGTCCACATTAATCCCGAACCCCAAAATCTAAGTAATTGCGTGAAAAACAGTTCCCCTCCCTCCGTGTGTGTGCATTAACCCAAACTGCCCCTTACTCCACGCCATTAAACATAGCAATAACTCCAGCAACTACTACCTGCGTGGCAATCAAACACCCCTCTTTTGTTAACTTAAGTCGACTAGTTCCCTTTCCGTGTTTCCTTGTGAGGTTTGTAGTCCTTCACCTCGTCAAACCACTGGCTCTCCTCATTATATTTGTACGGGTGGAAGTCCACACCGTAAGGCTTTGGTTCAATAACAAATAACATGCCAAGGGGGACATCGAGATCAGCGATGTCGTTTCGGGTGAGGTCCATGAAGTAAGCCATGAGGACTCGAGCAATGGAGCGATGTCCAATGATGAGGACATGGTCGGTAATTCTCTCAATCTCTCTCACCATATCCCGAAGTCGACTTATAACCTGAAGGTAGCCTTCTCCGCCTACCCCAGGATAGATGTAATGAAGCTTATCCTGCTTCCGTTTGTTGAACTCTAGCGGGAAATTGTGTTCTATCTCCTCATATGTGAGTCGTTCAAAATCACCCGCGTTCAGCTCATTGAGCATTTCCCAGTTCTTCACATCATAATCGTCATCGGCCTCGAAATCTTCTGCTGTTTGAATGCATCTCTTCAGCATGGATGTCCAGATGCAGAAATTCTTTTCGTCGAGCTCGCCCAGACGGCTCTCGGGATACGGAGGTGTATTGTCTCCGGGTTGTGGTGGAAAACTGGAAGACAAAATCTTGTCTTTTTGCTCTACCAGCCAATCCTTTCGTTTCTGGGTCATGAAGTTGTACAGCACAGCACCATAAGCGCGGCCCTCTGGCGTAATGTCAGAATTTCCACCGAGTTTTCCTTCCCTATTATCATATGATTCTCCATGGCGGGTAATCCAGATCTGTCTCGGGGAAAGATTGAACGTGGTTAGGTATGAGGCTATCCCCCCACTTAGAAACCCCTTCAATTGATGGTGTATGACTTTGCGTCCAACATCAATCATCTGGTACGGATTAGCGGCGTTCTTTACCAAGTTTTAATTGAACGAATCCTTACCTTAATATATTGGATGCCATTTTTTTCTTCGTACTCGCCGAGCGGGACATATGCGCTTTCATAGGCCGCAACTCGTTTTCTAAAATCTTCCAAGGACGTCACTGGGTCCTTGCCTTTATAGTCTGGGCCAGATAGCTTCAGGCGCATATTTGCTTCTAGGAGCTAAAGTAGTATGGTTAGCATAAGCTTTACAATTAGACTCGATGTCCCTACCCCTTGATCTTCGCAGATACTTTCGATGAATAGTATGCCAAGTTTAGAATCGCGTTCCTTGACACGATTGAACAACAACTTTCGCCGCTCAAGTGTGCTATTCGTTGCATCTAAAATGCCAGCCGATCCGCCTTGAAGTAAAAGATAATCAAGCAGCTCGTCGAGTGTCGAGATGGCTACCTGCTCTCGCACTTGGGACGCTCTTGCATTAGAGGGGTCAAAGAACTCTGCACTCTGGTCAAAGGGCTCCATCGGTGCTTTGGGTTCTTCATGATCTCGAGAAGCCGATTCTTGGTTTTGGCTAGGTTCGACTCCATTGAGAAGTATATGTGCAGCCTGTGTGGGTCCGTCCATTGTGCCCGAGACCGTGGCAGTCCCTGGGACAGCATCCGTGTTTGTTAGTGCTTTTGTTCGGGCTTGAATCTGGGCTGTAAGGTTTGATGATCCTGGCTGGGCACTAGCTGCCACTCGTCGTCGATTGCCAACGTTGAAGATTTGACTGTTGTGTTGCTGCCATGAAAGATACCGTTGTATTTTCTTGGTGATATACGATTTCCCTCTTGCTGGCAGACCAACCATGATAATCACCAATTTGGATGCCACATCTCGCTCTGCAATACGACCATCAGGAGAAACCCTAGACCGTGTCATCCCAGGAATATTAAGCGTTGTTGCAGGTGGCCGTGTCCGAGGTGTGCTCGAACCCGAGTTTTGCCTAATTGGCATGCTGCGACATTGTTAGTTAGGTAAATTCGAACAAACCCTGGAAGACTATGGACCTTCTGGATGGGAACTCACAGATGAGGGCTACCGGGTGCTGTCGATGGAGTGCTACCAACAGAAGCATCGCTTGGGGTGTGACTCCCAGCATCCTGCGAGCCGCAGCCATGGCCGTTTGAAATTGTCTGATGGACACGTCCATGGGGAATAGGTATCGGCGGGACTAGTCCATGGGGAATAGTTGGTGGTGGTACCAGCCCATGGGTTATGGATGGTGACGGCACTAGGCCATTGGGGATAGATGGCGACGGTACCAGGCCATGGGACGTTGGCCTGATTTCGCGCGTCTCTTTGTTGGAGTGGTTATCATTGGACGTGTCCACGGCGACTACATTACTCATGATTGCAGCTTTTCCGATGGACGAGAGTTGGGACTGTCGCCTCAGACTGTCTATGACGGAATTAGTGAACGGCATACCTAGACACCATGATAAACCCATACCTGCAATTTCATTGTCAATAACTGCCCCGGGAGTGGAGTGAGGCATCAGGCGAAGGATATAGTGGGCGTGCCGCCGCCTGCAAGTGGACTGCGAGGCAGCGAGAGACTGAGGTCCTCAATAGCGGGTTTCGGGATAATTATCGACTCCAGCGGGTTGAAGATGCAATGCGGACCTGGCTGGACAGGTGAGGCAGAGGCTGAGGCTGAGGCTGTAAAGACTTTGGGAGAGACGCGGCGAAGGGCGACTGGTGAGTGCTTGGAGTTCTTGGCTAAGGATTTCCGGAGTAATGAAATTCAGCTGGTGAGGCTGGCAGGCTCAGACTGAGACGGTATATAGAGAATAGTTGTGATGGGACGAAGAGTCGATTTGGCCTTGGGGGTTGGGATGCGTTAGGTTGGATGTTGTTGGGATTAGTACAGCAAGGACCAAAAAGGATAGTTGGAGTCAGAATTGGAGTACGGGAGTACTGAAGTACATTAAATGACATGCTTGACCGGGGAGGAGATGCAAGGAATTTGGCGATTTTAGCTAGTGCGATTGGCGACACACTAGGGCGGTTCAGGCTCCCGATGGGGAAATGGGCACGAACTGGGTGCAGGCAGGGTACATGCACACAAAGGGACGCGGTACGGGATGTGTTTGTACTCCCCGAAGCCACCAAGATGTTAGTTGTTAGTTGTTAGTTGTTAGTTGTTAGTTGTTAGTTGTTAGTTGTTAGTTGTTAGTTGTTAGTTGTTAGTTGTTAGTTGTTAGTTGTTAGTTGTTAGTTGTTAGTTGTTAGTTGTTAGTTGTTAGTTGTTAGTTGTTAGTTGTTAGTTGTTAGTTGTTAGTTGTTAGTTGTTAGTTGTTAGTTGTTAGTTGTTAGTTGTTAGTTGTTAGTTGTTAGTTGTTAGTTGTTAGTTGTTAGTTGTTAGTTGTTAGTTGTTAGTTGTTAGTTGTTAGTTGTTAGTTGTTAGTTGTTAGTTGTTAGTTGTTAGTTGTTAGTTGTTAGTTGTTAGTTACACTCTATATCCTATGGTATGGTCTATAGCAGGGTACATAGCACATCGATCATATCGTATATTCTTACTCCGTATGGAGTATATGCAAGAAGATCTCGGAGGAACAATCCCCAGACACCCACCCCTTTCTAACGTATCTACTTTAGGCCTAGGAACGCCCTAGTTGACACCTAATATCTAGTAATAAATGGAGTATGGTAGTATCTGGTAGTATCTGGTATATACATTAGAGTTCCTCCATCCGTTCGGTCCGAAGTCCCATCCATCCATCCATACCGTACCCGTATGTAGGTGATTCCGCATAGCTGGAATCACGTACCCTTCGAAATACAGTCCATCGCACCTACTTCCCTGTCGACGCATGCCTTGAACCCCACGTTTATGCATGATTCGTACTAGTTTGTCCAAATGGAAACGAGGCGGCAGAGAAACCTTGGCTGAGACTCACAGCATCACAACAGTAGTAACTGTATGCAGCATTGTAACTCACTGACCCTTTATGACTCTACGCCGTGCCGTGCGAGGTGCGAGGAGTACGGTAGTGGTGTGGTGCGATGTCTTCTCCGCGGCTGGAAGCATATTGTATGTAGTACTTTAGGTTTTATGAGGAATGAACAGCACGATCAAAAGGAACTTCCAGCTGTGCCGGCCGTACCATCTGTACTGGCTACCTTTCCTCATCTCCTTCCTCACTATATATGATATATGTGCCGAGTATTAGAAGGAATATAGTGAGATAAATATTGTTAGATGAGTGACTCGTACAGCAAGTACTCGCCGAAACTAGTGTACGCTAAATTAAGTCTAGCGCATAGGGTACATCAAAAAAGATTTCTGCCCGTTTGTACCGCCTTAATTTTTGCTTTTGGCTGGAGTAATCGCCCCCACCGTAAAACTAGCATCACGTGCGATAAGAGTTGGCCAGCAGTTGTACCAGAATTACGTTATTATTGCCAGTAAAAGCATTGCCCAGCGACTTTCTACGGCCGCCGATGCTCCCATCTGAGTATTCAGCCTCCTTTGCCTACAGCTCCAAAACAAACCCCGCTTTCCCACCTTGCTGATACTCCGGAAATTCGGTGACCAACAGCCCATCCTTACCCATGGCCACCATCCCACCCCCAGTGCGGCGCCTCAAACCGTTGAAGACCTTACTGGAGCTGAAAGCTGGGGACTCCACCATTGATGTCTACATCACAACTGTCCCCATCAAATCTGCCAATTCGGTACTGAGGTGAGTTAGCTGCCGACACAAGTCAATTGGTTCGAGTGCTGACATGTGCGAGTGCGGTGCGTTCTTTGATTCAGGATGAGTATGCCGTCAACTTACAGCACCTGCGACGATTTGCGAAGCTCCACGACCTACCCCCGCACCTGAAGTTGCTGGTCTCCCCTTCGGAGACCACCGCCCCTGTTTTTGATGGCCAGGCAAGCCTTTGCTTGCTGGTGGCTCCCACAGCTTCTATCGACCTTCCAGCGCTAACGGAGTGCATCTCCAATGTGCTTCCATTGTCAGAGAACAATGCGCCTGTGGTCTGGACAATTCCTGTGCCGCAACTTGCGCCAACCTCCCAGGAGCAAGCCACGAAATGGATTACAACACATTGGCCGACAGTATACAAGAAGAACAATCCATTTGGCCCACACCCACACATACTTTCTCGAGCGGAGGATGAGATGGCCGGTGATCTGGACAAATGGATGGGAATGGCCCACAACGTTGCCCAGGCCGCGATAGCCTCTGGGACCGGCGAGGGTACTGGGGCGGTTATTGTCCAGAGAGAAAATGGCGCCCCCCGTGCTTTGGCGCTGGCAGGAGATGCACGCTGGGCCAACGGGAGGAGCTGCCCCAAAGGTAATGTCATTGCACATTCCATTCTGCGTGCTATAGGCATGATTGCCCAGAAAATGATAACGGCTGAGAGGATAAAGAAAGATGCGCCTCCACCGTCATCTCTTGACAAACTGGAAAGCGCATTTTTTTTGGATATGCCCATGCATCCCGAAGAACATTCTGTCTTCAACGAGAGTACAGTGTCCCCAGACGGATATCTGTGTCACAACCTGGAGATATACTTGACCCATGAGCCTTGTGTCATGTGCTCCATGGCGCTGTTACACTCCAGATTTGGCAGAGTCGTTATTGACTCGCGAGCGCCAGCAACAGGAGGTCTTTCTAGCGAAGGCACGACCTCTGGAACTGTCACACAACCCCACACTTCACAGCTGGGGCATGGACTGTTCTGGAGAAAAGAGTTGAACTGGTCGTTGCTGGCGTGGGAGACCGAAGGCCATGAACCTCCCCCTTTAAATGATAGATGTGACATGCAAGCATAATTATAAAGAAAAAAATAAGATAATCCCAATTGCCTCGTTGTTTCGTGAAACTTTCAGCCGTAGACTTGAGCCATGGAGTAATCTGAGATAAGCCTCGTTTGGGATTCAGCCTTGCATAAGGCGGGGACTACGTACCAACAAATGAAGTGGGAGAAGGCTGTGCCTGACTTGCATCCAGTCTCAACCACAAACACATGAAACGTAAATCCCTCTGGTGTATTTTGGGCTCATATCTTTATGACCTGCCGCGTTACTACTTAGTGGTCTTGATTGGATAAGACCGTACGTGTCGCATCTTTGTCTTTGTTCGATAGCAAGAGCGAACCTACCAGCCACATGGAGACGGTGGCCCGTACAGCTTCCCTCTGGTGACAAGCAGGGCCTGTAAACGCAATACTCCGCTACAGGCAACCTTTGAAATTATCAGCCCGGTTCATCAGTAACCGCCGTCTCTTTGAAATCGCGTCCGTTGCCCCAGTGCCTGGGGTGCAGCTCGGTCTTCGCTCGTTTGTCTGTTCTGTAGCACCCCCCACGCCTCTTTATCGCGAGACTACTGGGCCCAGGATGGCTGCATTGGGAGGGAAGGGCGTGCCAGAGTCGGCGTCTAAGAAGAGGAAAGCTGCCAACCAGCCCAAATTTTACGCTGTGCGGGCTGGTCGTCACCCGGGCGTCTACTCGGATTGGAACGAGTGCAAGGAGAGCATTACCGGTTTCAAAGGCGCCAGCTGTGAGTGGCTCTACCTTGCTCATATTTGCTCTATATCTAACTTTGAAAGTCAAATCGTTCTCAACTCGATCCGAAGCAGAGGCATTTGTATCTGGGAGAGAGTCGAATTCAGGCCCCTCTGCTCCTATTGGAGAAACTCGTTTCTATGGCGTGGCGAGTGGCCACAATCCTGGTGTATATACCGACTGGACGACTGCTCAAGAGCAGATAAAGGGATGGAAGCTACCTAAATACAAAAGGTTCAGCACAAGAGGTGAGGCGGAAGCGTTTGTTCAAGCTGGCGGCCGCCCTGGCAAGGTGGATTCAGGCACCACAGAATTGATAGATGAAGACGAACAACCCGAAGATTTGGATGACGAAGTGTCGGAAGCTGAGAGCCCGACGGTGCCATTAAAGAGGAAAAAAACCTCTCCTGTGGCCTCGGTCGACCAGACCAAGACCAGTCAAAATACAGTCCAGATAGCAGCCACAACCTCGGCTGCTAAGTCTCGTGCCGCCGATGCCAAGTCGAAGCCTCTCAGTATATATACAGATGGCAGCAGTTTGGCCAATGGAAAGGTGGGAGCTGTTGCTGGAGTTGGTGTGTTTTTTGGGGATGGAGATGATAGGTGCGTCTCAACTTACCGTCCAGAGCAATTCATTGATGATCATACTACACTGGAATGGACCCTTTATCTGCAGAAAGAAATACTGATTTTTGGCCCACTAGGAACATTTCCGAGGCATTGGAGGGTGAACTTCAAACCAACCAAAGGGCCGAACTTACGGCCATTTTGCGTGCGCTTGAGATTGCGCCAATGCACCGTGAAGTCCACATCTACACAGACAGCAACTACAGCATAAACTGTGTGACGACCTGGTTTAAGAAGTGGGAGACGAATAGCTGGTTAACCTCAACCAACCAGCCCGTTATGAACAAGGACCTGGTCGTAGACATTCTTGCGAGGATCAGGGAACGGCAAGGACATGGATCCGGCACAATTTTCAACTGGATCAAAGGCCATTCAAATGATCCGAGTAACGAGGCGGCCGATAGGTTAGCTGTTAGTGGCGCCCAACGGGCCCAGGCACGGAGGAGGCAGAACAAATCCTGATGGCGTTTTTCAACAACGACAAGGCTGTCCGTTTACAGATAAAGAATAGACCTGTCGTAAGATGGCTCACACAATTACGGCGGCGAATTGTTTCTTGGAGAGAATAGTAGGGCATGGCTGAATTTAACAACCACTGAATGTAAACAATTATATCAAACTGGGAAACACGCTGTACCCAACCGCACTCCACGTAAACACCCTATAAATAAACCATCATCTCAATCCCACCAATACTGAACAAGCCCTCGTCCCAAGAAGCTTTCTTGAGTGTCATAATCCCAAATCGGGAGCAACCTTAAAAACGGTTGGTAAATTACAAAATCTCCACTGCCCGCTCAGCTCTCGACCGAGCATACGACTTGACAAGTCGAGTCCCCTCTGCCCACACTTTAGGAACGCGGTTGTAGAGCATGGTAGCCACAATAATTACTAGAATAGGAATCTATATGGAGTTAGTTAAGTTCGTTTCGCATGTACAGAATGGAAAAGGGGTTAACTTACCCAAATGAAAAATAGCTTCCTATCACTCCGGAATCGGATCTTTTTGCCATGTGCCAGCCGGATTTGAGCATGTCCTTCTTCGGATAAGGAATGCTTGGAACTAGTATCCAAGTTCTCTAATACTTGCGATGAAGTTTTGGAACTTGAGGCCACGCTTGAGCCCGACGACTGTGCTTGGTCATATAGCGTAGAGCATTTGTCATCAGCGATCGCATCTGCTGCAGCCTGAGTAGCCGACGCTCTTTTGGTGTCGGCCTCCTCATGGGGGAAGATATCCTCATATGCGGGAGGAGCATTCGAGATAGTTCCGGAGAAAAGGTCCCACCATTTTGAATCTGCCTCCTTATTTGCTGGGCCAACATCGGTATTTCTGGAGACACCTATGTGTGGTACTAGTGAGCTGATTCGGCGAACCATAGGTGCCGTTGGCAAATATGCTTGATAGTCTGGTAGGTTTGGGATTTGCGGTAAGTTAAGGTGTTGCATAGACTGTTGAATATGCTGAATTTGTGCAGTCAAATGATCGCGGAATGCTGTCATGGCTGCTGCCGGTGATACGAACCCAGCTCCCACAGCGTCGGTTGTGGGGACGGGAAGACCATTGGCTTCATTTGAAAGCGAAGCGTCAAGGTCTGGGGTAGCTGCGCTCCTGCGTCGTGGGCGCATCCAAGAGACTTCATCGGGTGTAGCAGCATCGCCCCCTTCATCGCTGTATTCGGGGTCCTCCGTCTCAGATGTATCATCTGCGTCATCACTAACACCTAGCAATGTCGTAACTTCGGCTCCACTTGAACGCGGTTCCCATAGTGACTGGAGGGACGTGGCGCTGCTTGTCCTACTGCGAATAGAGCCGCCACTACGCCTGCGGCTATGACGCTCTACACGACGAGTGGATTGAAGAGTTTCTTCGGTTGTGCACAAATCGGAGGCTGTATAACCCTGGAGAGTCCTCCACGAAGGATCTGCGCCGCAGAGAATGAGTCGTCTTATAATCTGAGGGTGATTATGCATCGCTGCAATGTGCATGGGCGTGAAACCCCCTTTATCACGGGGCTCCGGGTTAGCGCCTCGTGCCAACAAAGCCGGAACAAAGCGTTGAAGGCCCAATGAGCACGCTAAGTGAAGCATCGTCTGACCAGATGCTCGTCGCATGTTCAGGCGAGGTAGATGCGAGCTATCATCTAAGTCAATGAGGTCCAGTATTCTTAGGAGTGTTGCTTCGACATCAACACCAAATATGGCGGCGTTGAAACGAGAGACAGGTGGTTGCTGCGTTCCACCTGTCGGTGAAGCACCCCCAGCGACACCCCAAGATGATGGCCCATCACCCACGATTCTTCGTGCCAAGTCACGGACATCTTCCATCCTCCCAGTCATCTTGTGCCCTAATACAGACAGAGCCGTTCTTATAATCTGTTGTTCATCGTCGTCAACATATTTAAAGAATGCCTGTTGCTTAAGGATCGGTGGTGATGGGTAGGGCTGCAGTTGTTGCTGGTGTTGATGCTTGAATGTGACTGCAACAGTTCCGCCAGTAGTCGCAGGAGGAAGCAAGCAGACAAGCGACGTTTCGCCCCAATATGTCGTGGTAGTGGCTTTCACATCCCCAAACATAACTTCCAAGCCTTGACAGAATCCGCTACCAAGGCACGTCACTTCAATCCCTCCAGCCTTTGGCCCTTCATTTGGAATCATCTTGTGAATGGTGGGTGGCCTTTGGGGGTTGAGCGGCAGGGGCATCCCATATAGGCCATTAGCAACTGCCTGTGCAATCTGAGCTTGCTGCTGTTGATACGCCTGTATGTTGTTCCTCATACTGTTCGGGCTTGGTGCGCGGCTTGGATGTGTGGAGGTTGGCGCCGAGTATAGCTGGTTCAAAGCAAGGTTATCCATACTTTGGGATCTATTGTTATTCGAGATAAAACCTTGCCCGTTGCCGTTTTGAGTGGGTGACCCAGCGTTAAATTGAGTATGGCCCGGTTGTACTGATTGGGGCATGTGGTTGAACGTTGTGTCTTGAGGGGAAGCGAACATGTTGGGTGAAGTTCCATATGGAGGTTGAGATGAGGCAGCGCCCGAGCCATTGGCTGCGGGGTTCAGGCCTCCAGGGTGCTGCGGCATAGTCTCGAGTCTTGTCATGGCGAGACCGCTTGGGACTTTGCTAGACCCGCTAGCTTTTCGCTTTTTGTTACTTGGACCAATTGATCCAGAAGGCGATGCCTGCCTCGACAAGCTGCGCGGAGTCGTCGTGCTCGGGGCATTTTGAGATACCTGAGGAGTACCAAGTACCGAAGAAGAAGCATATGATAGGGGGTAGTTCCTTTGGAGGTTTTGCACATCTGTGTTTGACTGCGATGCACGAAACGACGCCATGGGCATATCGAAATTCATATCGACGCCAGGGTTATTCATGAATCCATGTTCGTTGACACCAGCGCCGCCTGGCCCCATTAAATGAGGAGGCATGTTGTGTGTCTTATGGTCATCTGTGATCATGATCGAAGACGTAATCTCTTGAGCTACCAGACGTCCCGTCCAGTCTTTGATTGTGAATATAACCTGGAACCCCAATTTCTCATTTTGATGCCTGCAATAACAAGCGATGCGCATAGGAGCATCAACTTGTAAAGCGCCCTCATGAACGACTGGTTCCCGTCGGTCTCCTACCGTATCGGATAATACTTGGCTCGATGGTTGTTGCCAGTCTTTGATTTCGTGGGTGTTGAAGACGATCACGCGTTTGTCTTCGTCCTTGTGCCAGGATTCTTCCTCTTCAACCTTTTTGACCTTCTTCCTCGCAGCACGCTTACGCTCACGGGTAATGCATCCAGAGCATATCTTCACCTCCCCTCCATTTAGGGGCTTGTTCTCATCATCATCATCTGCTACCGTATCGGCTTCGTCCTCTGAACGCGACTCTGAAGATTTGGGAGCTCCAGCAGCACGTTCAAAGGCTCGCCGGCGAAATTCTGGATTTTGCATTGCACTAGTACAAACCAGGGTTGTTGTGAGTTCTAAGGTATCAGGTGATTTGGTAAGGGGCTGTTTCGCCAGCAGTTTGGGCTTCGAAATGGTGTGGGTAGGTAGATGAAGTTTTGTAATACCGGGAGGAAACGGGAAAAGCGTCATCTTGATAGGGATTTGAGTCTCTACTCGCGACTTCAATGGAGTTGGATGAATGGCCAAGACTGGCTTATACATGGTATCCATAAGAGACATGCCAGCTGAGAAAGGTATCTGTTGGGGAATGCTGTTGTTCATGCGCATGGGCATAAAACCTCCACCACTCACCATCGAGTTTGGTATGCTGAAGTCGTAGTTTGTTTGCCAGGGATTGTTCTGTGCCCCATTACCAAGCATCGTTCCATTGATAAACTCTACTCCGCCGGCAGGGGACGGAGAATTGTTGAAGAATACTGATGGTGAAGATTCCTGGCTCGTGATCATTGTGGACAAAGGAGAGGCTTCGCGGGATGCGTTGGTCGTCAGACCGTGCATTGTGTTGGTGATGGAATTTTGCTAATAATCGTTAGTTATTTGACTGGAAATTGCTATGGCTATCAATTAGGGAACTCACCGAGGATTTCGAACGGTGGCCTGCTGCTCTATGCTTCATAACTGGGGTGTTTCGACTTGAAGTGTCATGCTTGATAGTTGGCATTTCCGGCGACTTCATGGCGGACGCGAAATGGCTTGGGCTGCTTGCAGCACTATCAAAGTCGAAATCGTTTTCCATTATCTTGTCGTTAAAATCGAACGCTGTAGCGGTCGAGGACGAGGCCGTTGTGGCGCTGTATGGCCCGTAGGCCTCTGAATCGTCCGGTCCATGTCCCCCCTCCACTTTCCAATCGCCCATCTCAGCATCATTCATTGAGGCGTCTTTGGCTTCGAAGGTAGGTTCTGATGATTCCAACAATGGTTTTCGTTTATTGTATGTTGAGGAGTCTGAGGACGAGTCATGAAAAGAGCCGCCTGGAGAATCTGAAGAAGGTATCGAGGGCGTTCGTGGGCCCGTTGCAACGGCGGAAGTCCTGTTTTCAGCGCTGCCTTTCTGAGCTATCGCAGGTGACCCAAAATTCGCTCTCCTCTCTCCGGGAGGGAGGTTTTGGTCCAGAAAAGAACCAGGGCTTCCCGAAGCTATGTATGGCGTGCCTGGGTTGAAGAACTCGAAATCCTGGTCGTCTGGGTCCTCCGACACATCCAAATCAAGAATGAAGGGAGACGAATACGGCTCAGTGCCCGGCATCGCCTTCGTTTATCGGGCTCGGTCTATTCACCGGCGTGTCCTGGGTGCGGGAGATAGGATGGACGCCTCGTAACAACCCCGAGCCTGACGGTCGTCTTTGGCGAGTGCTGATCAATGGAGAGTATTGTGATTGAATCGCAGTCTATCGCCCCGACATCTTTATCGCAGATGCTGAGTTCAATAGGGGTGGGATGAATCTTTTGCGGTTGAGTCTTCGAGGGAGGCGACGGGTCTCACGAATCGCGGTGAGTCGGCTGAGTCGATCTTGGAGGTATTATCGCAATAATCGGATGCCTCTGGCAGCGATAAGAGGTCTGGAGTGAAGCAGCGATTGAATGGTGATGGCCGCGGGGAGTGGTTGTCCAGTACAGCAGGCAGGTCGAGGTCGATGTCGCCAACGTTGCTGGAGCGAAGAAGTCTTGGCAGTAGACGCGTTTCTACTGACAGGCGAAACTGGGGCCGCAAAGTACCAGTACATTTGTATCGCATACAAATTGGGGGCTTCGTAAAGTATCAAAATGTAACTTTCTACTCCGTACAGTCGATTGGGGTGAAATTCAGACAAAAGGGTATAGGGACCCTTTAGTTAGAGTGCGAGTATCTCCTCTAACCAATAAAATACAGTCCAATACATCTTTGGTATAATATAATCATAATAAAAAAGTTATAGGTGTGTGAACTCGCTCATCTGTTCATCTCGCTCATCTCATTCATACACCGCTATAATATTATGAAGAGATTATGATGAGACACTTCTCCTATCCTTCTACTTCTGCTTCCCAAGGATAACAAGAATTAATTTATCCACATCCCCTCACCTCCCCTCACCTTCACAATTCACAATTCACAATTCACAAAATACGCGTAGTAACAGGTCAACAAGGCTACGACGCTGTTACGCTGTTACGCTGTTACGGTCCTTCGTTGTCCGGGTTCCAGAGCAGACTCCCTCACAACAACCACAGATACATCTACTATTTACATTCGCGATTATCTAGGACGTGACGAGCAACAGAGCTCAGAGCAACATTCTTTACGTTTACGTTCACCCAAGTTAACTGTCTCAAGCGTTGTCTTTATGGTCATACAACGCAAGGGGCAAGGGGCATACGTGAGCAGCAACACCAACACCGTCATGGATCCTCACGTCATGGATCCGCACGTAAGTTTTTTTCAGCTTGGTTTGGGCTGTATAGGTCGTATCTGATTTCACTATCGCTGAGCATACCATCCACCCCACGGCGCTGTCGTTCTGCACCCCAGAAAAGAATGCAAGGCTAACATCACTAGTTGCCAATCAACACACCACAGGGCAAACCCGAGGGTGATGTGAAAGACACCCAATCTTTCTCCAAGGGAAGCAAGAGACTTTTTAGTCACACTTTCTCAAGGTACTCGCAAGAGGAAGACAGTGCCAGTAACTACGCAAGTGGCAGCGATGGACGCCACCTTGATGAAGATGACCCATTCGAGAAGCGTCACCGTACCAGCGACTGGCCACTTGGAGGCAATGGGAAGACCATTGAAGGCGCTGCAGCTGACGGACCTGACTCCCCAACCAGCAATTATTCTGACGATGGCATCCAAACGCGCTCATCCAAGTTCATTGAAGGGAGCATGAGGAACAGAGTGAGCCAAAAACCACCAAGAAAGTATGTGGCCACTGAAACCGAGTTGAACTGTGCCGGTGAAAATGAGTGCACCAAGAATGGGAAGCCACAGCGCAACAAACTGATCCGCCACTCCAACCACTCTGTACCAGCCGTGGCGGGAGAAACCAAGACTGAGGCTAACCGCCACTCTACCATATTCCGCTTCGGAAAGTCCCTGGCAGCTTCTTTCAATCCGTCAAACTGGAAGATATGGTCAAAATCACAGGATGCCCGAGTCCCCGACGACAAGGCTGATGTCGAAGCTCAAGCCAAACTAGAGAGAGCATATAGGGAAGTAAAGAGCATCGCACCCACTCCAGGGCGTCGATTTGGTCCGGCCGGTGGTTCTGCTATCTGGAGTAATCCGCGGTCATCTGTGAACGCTTCAGGCGTCGAAATTTCAGAGCAAGCACCGTCCCAGAAACGCTATGGAATGGTATTCGACACCCCGCCATCCATGGCAGGACTCGGCGGTGACTTTGGTTCCGCCCAACAAGGCACAAGCAAACTTTCCACCCCCGCCGACCGGTACTCCGTTCCATCCCACCAGCTCCTCCACAGCAATGAGAGCAGATCATCATTCACCTACGGCTCCATCGCCCCACCAAAGTCGATGAAGCATAAACTCTCCCGCAAGGACCTGCGCGTCCAACAGAAACTCGTCAAACGCGTCAGCAACCTCGAATCGAAACTCGAAGCTGCGCGTCTTGAGCTGGTGAAATCACTAGGCAACACCGGGATCCCGCCACAACAAGCTCGGGGTGGAAAATCCCGCTTCCTTCCTGGGGCACTATCATCTCTCCCCTCGGAATCGCTGTTGAACGGATACACCCACCAAAATGAGTCCTCGCAAAGCTACATCGGTGCAGCCTTGACTACAGATGACAAAATCAGTCTCTCCGCATCACGCAACCACGACGATCCCCCTGGCCGTCCCAGCACCTCCAGCTTCTCCTCTTCGGTTCGGGAATATCCAAACGGAGAGTCTCACTATACTACTACGGGCCCAGATGACGCCGACCAAGTCACCCCTTCCAAGAAGCGAAAGAACATGGCCAAAACCTCTACCTCCACCACCTCATCTTCCCAGCACCCCTCAGACGCAGACACCTCCACCACCTCTCACCCCGCCAAAAAATCCCGCAACAACAACACTCCTCGAGAGAAACCCAGCCCCGAGCTCCTCATCCCCGACTCCAGCTCCTCCTCGGATCCCAGTTTCGAGAACGTGGACCCAGAGAAGAAGGCTGTGCTCGTGTCTGTGGGCGCGAAGCAGCAGGGGACGCCGAAGTTGATTGTTAAGAAGCGCCTTCCGCTTGGGACGCAGGGGAGTAGGATTCCACGCAAGGGAAGCAGGAAGGATACGCCGCCTGCTTCTGAGGTCGGTGGTGAGAAGGGTATTTCCGTCACGAGCGGCAATGCTGGTGTCCAAGAGGCGTCTGCGGTTGAGTCCCAGCCGAGACAGGGGGTGGGGAAATTGAAGAAGGCTGCTAAGCCGAGGGTGAAGAGCACTGAGCTTACGCAGGTGGAGAAGCAGGTCGAGGAGAAGACCAAGGATACGAAGGAGAGTATCCCAGCTGCCGGAGGGGGTGAAGTGACGAACTCGACTTCGATGGAGAGTTTTGAGTGGGGGCCTGATGTGTTTTAACCGTCGTCACTACAGAAATCAACTCAGGTCAGGTGTTAAGGGGAAGTGGAAGGCATGGAGAGGCGTTACGAATGATGGATGATGGATGATGTACTGTGCTGTACTGATAATAATAGCGGCATCGCGGATTGTGATGATGAGGTAACGAGTAATGTATGCTTTGGATTTATTGCGGTTTGCGAAGCTGAGGAGCGAGGGATGGCAGCGTTGATAATATGGATGATGATGAGTGGATGAAGGCGGAAAGTGTGTGTACAGCGTAGCATAGCAAGCATAGTTGATATCATTTCGGTGGCGCTCTGAATTCTCTCCATCATATTTACAGTATCATCAACTGGGCGTCGAACTTCATGCCAGGCAACCCCCGATCATGTACATGTTAACAGTATCAATGGGCGTCAAACATCACAGAAGGCCATCACATCACATCACACAATCGGTCATCCAGTCAACACACAAATTTTAAAAATCTCCCTCATCTCATATTCCCCCCAAAAAAACTATCCCTAAAAAAAAAGATGGCGATGAAGCCAACCTTTGCGCTTCCATACAACAAAAAAAGCCAAAACAAAAAAAAGTATTTCAAGTCATAAAACAACCCCTCCTTCATATCCCCTCCCAAAGTTTTACAGTACGAGAACTGCCCCTCCCGTTTCCGCTTGGGCAGAAACAAGGGAGGGGCGCCGCTACAACTGCACCCCAGGCGCACAGCGAGGAAGGACATAGGAAAGTCTTGTAGTGGGTGGGTGGTGGTAATGGTGGTGGTAATGGTGGTGTTGTTGCGCATCAGCGCGGGTCGTGAGTGATAGTGATATAATCCGAATAAAAATCCGAGAACAAGTCAAATGAAAGGGCCGCCGTCGTCTAGAGGCTTCCTTTGTGTGGTGGTGGTGGGGGGGGGGGGGGGGGTGATGGGCGCTGTTGAAGTCGCGGGGGGAGGAAATGGTGGTGGTTGAGGTGAGGGAGATGAATGGTAGGCTAGTGTGTAGCACCTGCCGTCACTCTCAAAGTGCGTGTACGTATGTATTTACTACTCTCCCCCCTGCTCTGATCTCGAAACTCTCTCTCGATCGCATCCAGGCCACTCAAACAGTTTCATCGAAATCCCGCACTGCACGCGTAAGCCTCCCGCCATCCGCGCGTCTATACTCCATCTTATACTGGTGCAGCATCTCCTCATTATCCAGCTTCGCCGCCGCGCCGTTATGCGAGCTCGACGGCCGCGCGCCGTTGTGCAGCGGCTGCGCGTGGGTGCTACTCGCGAAGACGGTCTCGAAGGCTCGCTTGCTGCCAGCGCGCTGCGGCTCGGCGGTGGTTGTGGAGGTGAGGGAGGGGTACATGTAAGATCCCGGACGGTCGCTGGGGCTGGGGAGGCTGCTCAGTGAGAGGTGGTGGGAGGGGAGAGAGGGGATGGGGGGGATGCGGGCTCGTGCTTGGGTTCGTAAGCGGGGGTGGTGGAGATATTGATTGGTGCGAGGACTGGTGGCTGGGGGCGGGATTGGTAGGGTGCGTAAGAGGAGGCGTGATTCGAGTCTTGTTCGTCGCGGGGGTATTGTGGTTGTGGGAGAGGTGCGCTGGTGAGGGATTGCCGTCTGTATTCGGCATCGTAATCTCTCGGGGCTTGGTATTGGCCGTACTGCGGCCTCTCTGGGTAACTGTAGCCGCCTGGTGATTGTTGGGGCGGGTACTGTGGTGCTTGGTGATATGGCGATGGAGCGGATTGATGTGCTTGTTGGGGCTGGGCGGGTGGGGGAGGAGCAGGCTGGGTGAACTGAGGGGTCTGGAATTGTGGTTGTTGCGCGGAATGCGGGCCAAATTCCAGGTAGGATCCTCCTTGCTGCGGTGTGGATGCCGGACCGTGATTATATGGTGCTGGATATGATGGGTGTGGTGGGTAGGCGTCGGCCGAGGGGCGACGGTGCGCGTACTCGGGCTTGATCTCGCCGTTGCTATTGCTCAATGACCGCTGGCGGCTATACGGCTCGACCGGGGTGGCACTCCCTGTGCTTCGGCGATACCCGTTGTTGTCTGCGCGCTCCTCGTAGTCATCAGCGGCCTTGCCCTCGCGCCTCCTCATGCGCACATCACGACGGATGCGCACGCGGCAGCCCTGCTCCGCCACGGTCCTGCTCAGGCTGGTGCTCTCTGCCAGGCCGGGGAACTTCTTCGCGCTGAAAACGGTGAAGGCCTCGGACTTGATCTCGAGCCTCCAATCGAAGGAACCCGTCGGCTCGTCGGGGTTCTGCTTGATCGCAGGTGCGGCCGACTCACCATCCTTGTCCTTGTCCTCCTTGGTCTCCTCGTACAGGTTGAAGCTCAGGCGGTACTTTCCCTCGTGGCGGACCGACAGGTCGGGGAAGATGAAGTAGCCAGCCTCGGTTGGGCGGTCGAGATATGCCATGCCCGACACGGGCATGCCGGTGAGGACGGGGATCTGCTGGGCGGTCTGGTGGACACGGCCGTGGATGATGGGACGCGCGGTCTCGAGCGTGGCGAAGACGAAGAAGTTGGCCATGTAGGAGAAGGTGATGTCGCTCTTGATGTTCTGTGCGTCAATCTCAAATATCCTCAGCTCTACCACGGGCGGTGGGTCAACCGGTCTTCGGTCGGCAGAAGCTATGGGATGTTAGCAACGTGTTGAGGAGGCCTTTGTTCAGACGCGTTCTGCTCACATTTGGCTCCCGAACCACATGCTCTCGCGCGCTCCGGCTGCTGGATGACCTTGAGTTCGTAACTGAGATGACGGCCCTCGGCCGTCATCCGCGTCACCGTCGCCGTCTCCTGGGGGCGATTCACAGGATTCATTGTGACGAGATGTTTGTCGACGACGCGATGGGTATCGAGTCTCTCCCTTGGCGGTTGTCGTGAAAGAGTTGGCGATGGCAGGCCTCCTTTTTTCTTCTTCGACAACGAGGACGTTGGTGTGCGAGGGAGAGGTTGGGATGGGGCGGCGGAAGGGACGCGGCAACGAGCGAGAGGATGGATTGTGAGGAGTCTCCTTTTCGAAGCGACCTAGGCCCTTGACACAAGGGTTGGGGAGGTGTAACAAGGCAGCGCATACCAGGGTCCGTACTGGGGGTGTGGGGGTGTTTTTTTTTGGGGGGGGGGGGTGGGTGGGAAGGGAAAGGGTAGTAAAGGAAGGGAAGTAGTAAAGGAAGGGAAGTAGTAAAGGAAGGGAAGTAGTAAAGGAAGGGAAGTAGTAAAGGAAGGGAGGTAGTCAAAGAAAGAGAAGAAGTCAAAGAAAGGGAAGAAGTCAAAGAAAGGGAAGAAGCAATGGGAAGGAGAGGAATTTCGTCCGAGGGCTAGAGTAGGAGGAGGAGAGAGAGAAGGATGAGAAGGATGAGAGTGAGTAGATAGTGTGAGGTTCGGGGGAATAGTAGAGGGGCCAGAGGAGTGGAAAGGGAAGTACCCAGTAAAAGGCCCAGTAAAAGGCCAGTAAAAGGCCAGTAAAAGGCCAGTAAAAGGCCAGTAAAAGGCCAGTAAAAGGCCAGTAAAATCCCAGTAAAATCCCAGTAAAAGGCCCAGTAAGGGTTTGAAGGGATGGCTGTGTTGGATGTGGTTGGTTGGGGGGGTGGGTTGGGATGGGAGGGTGGGTTGGGGGGTGGGTTTGGGATGGGAGGGTGGGTTGGGGGGGTGGGTTGGGATGGGAGGGTGGTGGGTTGGGATGGGATGGGACGAGGGGATGGGATGGGATGGGATGGGATGGGATGGGATGGGATGTGAAATGTGGGTTTTGGGTTTGGGGTTTGGGGTTTGGGGTTTGGGGTTTGGTGTTGTGGGTAAGTACTCCGTAAAGTAAGTAGAGTACGTACATGGTATACTACATTACATATATATGGTATACAGTGGTTGGTATGTAGTACAGTAAGTACCATGGAAGAGTACGTACAGGTGTGTGGGTGTTGGTTATGCATGTAGAGTACGGAGTACAGCAAGTATAATCTGGGAGTGGGAGTGGGAGTGGGAGGGGGAGGGGGAGGGGGAGTGGGAGTGGGAGTGGGAGTGGGAGTGGGAGTGGGAGTGGGAGTGGGAGTGGGAGTGGGAGTGGGAGTGGGAGGGGGAGGGGGAGTGGGAGGGGAGGGGAGTGGGAGGGGGAGTGGGAGGGGGAGGGGGAGGGGGAGTGGGAGGAGGGGGAGGAGGGGGAGGGGAGGAGGGGGGAGGGTGTTGGTCATGATTGAGGGTGGGATGGGATGGGAGGGTGTTGGTGTGGGAGGGAGTGGGAGGGTGTTGGTGTGGGAGGGAGTGGGAGGGTGTTGGTGTGGGTTGGTGTGGGTTGGTGTGGGTTGTGTGGGTTGTATGGGTTGTGTGGGTTGTGTGGGTTGTGTGGGTTGTGTGGGTTGTGTGGGTTGGTGTGAGTGGGTTGGTGCGAGTGGTTGTGGTTGTGGGTGTGGGTGAAAGGCTGAAAGGGTGGGTGAAGGGACAAGGGTGGGTGTAGTGTGGGTGCGTGTAGTGTGGGTGCGTGTAGTGTGGGTGAAGGGGTGTGGGTGAAGGGAGAAGGTGGGTGAAGGGAGAAGGTGGGTGTGGGGGGAAAGCAGGGAGGTGGGAAACCAGGTGGGAAACCAGGTGGGAAACCAGGTGGGAAACCAGGTGGGAAACCAGGTGGGAAACCAGGTGGGAAACCAGGTGGGAAACCAGGTGGGAAACCACAGGTGGGAAACCAGACAGAGACAGACACTCCTTCTCCCTCCATCTCCCTGATCCCGATCCTGATCCTGATCCTGATCCCGATCCCGATCCTGATCCTCATCCCGATCCCGTTGCACAGACGACTCCGACCGCATCCATCTAAAAATAACTACTCCCACAAACTACAAACCTTCCTGTCCAACTCTATGATATGATATGACGCCGTACCAACCGCGCCCCTTGCGCTGTAACTACGACACTACACCACCGTGCTATCATGCCGTCTATCACACCGTCTATCACACCGTCTATCACACCGTGCTATCGCCCATCACACCGTGCTATCGCCCATCACACCGTGCTATCGCCTGTCACACCGTGCTATCGCCTGTCACTACCCTCAAGCTGGAGCACAGCAGACCGCGATTTCTGGCTGCCGTGGCTGTGTGGAGCGGATGGGTGTGCTCTACAATCCCTGACACGCTTGGTCATATATAGTATTTGTATACACAACACCCTCTTACACCTAGGTCTGCATCTATTACTGTACTGCCGCCTTCTATACTGACGTAACTGGCTGACAGACCTTCCATTTCCACACCCCCCACACCGAGCGGATCGTGTGTGTGCGCCGGGCTTATATGCAACTCCCCTTCCCATTCCCAAAGAACCTATTTTTACCCTCCCAACTCCCGCTTCCGTCTCCATCTTATCCCCCTCAACCCCACACCCACCACCCACCTCCCATCTCCATCTCCATCTCCATCTCCTTCACCTGCCCCTTTCCCCCCTCCCCCCCTTCCCCCCTTCACCCTTCGCCTTCCCCGCCCTACTATCACTCTGACACCCCGGACAATTATGCACGACCTCATGCGCAAAAACATCACAGTCAATGCAAAAATGCTCTCCGCAGACCTCACACGCATACCTCCCCGACTCACTGACCGCCTTCATCATCGCCTCCCTCCTCCCCCCCTCCTTCTTCCCCTCCACCACCTGCCTCGGCGGCGGCTTATTAAACCCAACCCCACAAGCAAAACAACTCCCCACCCCACTCCCCGCCGCCTCGCTCCAGGATACCTCGCGCCAGTTGCGCAGGGGGAAGAGGTGGTGGTATGAGCGCGCGAGATGCGTACTCAGGATCAGCGTCAGCCCACACGCCGGACACTCCGCCGGCAGCGAACACACCTTACTCCCGCACCGCGAGCACAGATACCCCCCCCTCGTAAGCTTACTATGGCACGCACACAACGTCACCGCCGTCGCCACCGTGCGCGACGGGAATCCCATCATGAGTAGACTACTCTGATTCTGCTCCTTCGCCCTCGTCGGCGGCGGGGTCGTCGCGCCCATCAAGAGGGCCCGGAAATGCTCCTCGTGAAGCGCGACGCTGTAGTCGCCCTTGGTCTTGGTGCAGATCTCGGAGAGGATGGCGACTTGGGCTGCTAACCCTATGGCCGAGACGCGGATGCGGTCGCTTGTGAGGGAGGAGATGGTGGTGTGGATGTCGCCCGGGTCGGAGGAGAGGAGGGCGCCGGAGATGATGAGGACTTCTCTCGTCCCATGGCTCGGGGCGTGGAAGAGGGACGCCCGCGCCATTTCCAAGGCGTTCTGAAGTGACGGACTGCCCTGCGGATCCTGCGTCCTCAGTTTCCCCAACGCACCAAGATGTACCGTCGGCGTCCCGGATAACGGAGAGATCGGCTTGGCGAGCCCATCGCGCATACCTAGGATCCCGAGCTGGGAGATGGGGTTCTGCTCGAAGAATTCGCTGATGAATGAGGTTGCGTGGCGGAGGGTGAGGAGGTAGCGCGTTGGGCGGAGGTCTTTCTCGGTCATGGCGAAGGAGAGGTCGAGGATGAGGATTAAGTGGCGGATTATGCCGCGTTGGAGGGGGGTTGTGTCGCGGAGCAGTCTAAAGGGGGAGGGGGGGGGGGGGTTAGCTTTGCCTTTTGCTTTTGTTCATGCTCATGTTTATGTGGTGATTGATTATAATGGGGGTAGGGCAAAAAAAAGGGAGAGAGTTGTAAAGGGAGACAACAAACCTCTGCCTCTTCCCAGCCTCCAAAAGCCCCTCAACAGTAGAGCTCAAACTCCCATCCGCCCCCTCAACAACCGTATCCCAACTCCTCTGTATATCCTCCCACGCCGCCCTCCTCCTCCCCTGCTTCTCCTTCTCCCCTCCCCTCGCCGCCTCGGGCACCTTCACAGGGCCCCTCGAGCGCGTTGCGTGTCGGCCGCTGCCGCCAACGGTGCCGGAGGGGGCGGCGGTGGGGAGATCATCGTCGGAGAGGTCCTCGATGTACTCGCCGTCCGAGTCTGCCATGGTGTGGCGGAGGAGATGACGGCATGCGGTGGCTGGAGCTAGGTCTGCAAGAGTGGTTTGAGCGGGCGGATGGGCTGATGTTAGGTTGTAGTGGTGGGTTGTTGGAAGGGTGGGTTGTGACGGATTTGAGGCGAGGTAGGCGGATGGTAGCCTTGTGGGCGAGGCGGACGATAAATGTTAAAATATGGGCACTAGCCGCGAATATCTCTACTATGAAGGACAGGGTTCATTTGGAGGTAACGATGGCCACTGTATATGTAATATCTTTTATATCTTTTCACTTCGGATTTATCTAGAGACTATTTCCAATTGGCACTCCAGACGCCCATATTATTATCAATCAGTGGGCCAACGTCACTACCATACAATACGATGCCAAACATATCACTTAATACTAGATCAGACACAGCTTCACGACGACATCTCCAATATAGTTAAAATCATTGCTACATTCATACCATATATGCTACGAAGGGTATATAAACTTGGCCACTACTTGACCAGCCTCTCCCCTTAAAACAAAGTCCAAGAGTATCGTCCCAATGTCCCCCGGGCACGACGGGATCCTCTATCCCAGCCCGACACATCAACATATTGATATATAAGGCATATTAGCTACCTATGCTGTGTTCGCGCGTTGCTCCTCCTCCCCAGCAAACTCGATCAAATCGGCGAATTGAATTAAATCCGCCTCCATAGGTTTTCGTCCAAACCGTTAAAATCTTTGTACAGAACCCCACCCCCACCGCCCAAAAACTCCTCGAATGCCAGATGATGCCAGATTAAGGTATAATTCTTCTTCTTTAAGGATAGTTAACCGCTGGCATTGGCCAGTCGTCCTCGGTGATGCTCGACCAAAAGTACCAGATGGTGACGACAGAGAGCAGGGTGAATAGCGTCTCGAAGATGGCTCCGTCAATCTTGCCGCTGGTTCCGTGGCAGATGTGGGTGCTCACGACGTAGTTGAAGATTTGTCCAAGAATGAAGAAGAGTGCTGCGGCTGCGAGGTAGATCATTGGCTTCCTCTCGCCAAGAACCCTCAAGACAAGGATGGATTCCAAAACGATGAAAACTGCCAGGAAGATGATGGGCGCGAGTTGGTAGAGCACGTAAAGCCCCATGTTGCGGTTATTGCCGACCAAGCTGCTGTCGAAATGGCCGGTCCATCTGAAACCCGTATCGAGAGCGATATAGCCAGTGCCGACAAAGAGAGCAACTGCTGAGCCAATGATGAGGCCAATGGACATGGGAGTGCCGTCGTCGATGATTTGATATCCAACGGCGGCATTGAGCATGAGGATCCATGTCGTCGCAACAATCATACCAAGGTGTATTCCACTGAAGGCCTGTACAAGAATTAGTATGGCGAGACATTCAAAGAGGGCATTAGGAACGCACCAATCGGACTTTGTAGTTGAGAGGGAACACTCCGACTGTGAAGATTTCGCAGATCTCAATGATAATATAGCCCAACAGAAACAGCTGCATCTCCCTGTTTTCAAGTCAGTACATGAAAATGGTAGTATATGATACAATTCCTCATACCTTCGGCCGACGGCAGCTTGCTTCCTTTCAGACCTCCATAGCAGGTAACCGCTAACTAGAATAGCCAGGCCGCAAAGTATTATCGAACCTGCAGCTGGTCAGTATAATGACCACAATTGGTTTCTGCGCGACTAACCAATATTGCCGAGGTGTTTCCCGTCTGGGAGGTTGATTCCGGTCAACTCGCATCCTCCGAATCCATTTTGATCATGTGTCAGAGACAGGAGCTGTTTGTTACAAGCGTTAGTTACTTCGTCGCACTCATGCTATGATTGAGAGTCGGAACACCGAGAGGTATACGTACATTGCAAACAGGAAGGGTCGAATCCCGACAGAAATTCTATTCACGGATGGTTAGCTTGTTACTCCCCGTGCGTCGCATAGCCACGGGTCGTCGAGACCGTAGGCCCTCTAGATTTCTAGATTGATCGTACATGAAAGTTTCCAAACTGCGTTGAGCCCATTGCTGCGGTTTGCGCGAGGCGACCTTTTCTCGGGGACTCGAGTCTAAATGCAGAACAGGCGGGTGTGCTTCTATCCTTTGTCCCTTCCTTCTCCCCAATGTACCGCGATTGACGAAGCGGTGAGAATTTCACGTCGATGATTTCGCGGCGGAGGAGATCAGATTGATCTCAGTGGCCACGGAAGAAGCAGCGAGTGTTTTCGAGGTTGATCAATTCAGGGTTGAAGTGAGGGAAGGTGAAGTAACGTCGTCCCCTGAAAATGTAGTTTCCTTCGTGGTGGTGCCCGGTTTCTGAGGTTACCAGCCTTTAAACGAGACAAGCGTGGTCTCAGTTTCTTCCGACTCGGGTTCCTCAATAGAGGTCACGGGCAACAAAGGATAAAGAATAATTAATATAGTTAGAGGGCTGAATCACGGCAGCAGTGTACAGTGCACAGTGCACAATCTTATATCGGCCCTACAGGATTTGCTGGATGCCATCGTTCGTTTCAGGGGCACATCCCATCCCATCCCAGCTTAGCACCAGCGAGCACCAGCTTAGCACCAGCGCAGCACCAGCGCAGCACCAGCGTACTACCGTACTACTACAGCACGACAATGGAAAAATGCAAGATCGGGTTTGTATCAACATTCACATTCACATGCCTTGGCTCGGCAACTGCCAAGGACATTTTACATTTGTTTCCTGCGCTGCGGGTTGGGTTCGAGGGCCTTTGTAGCTTGTTTGTACGGAGTACTACTGGAACTTACTTACTTGTTTCTTCCCCTTATCCCGCTTATCTCGCTTATCTCGGAGAATCTACCATCCAGCCAACCTGCCTCCGTCCCCTTTTTGCCATTCGTGCACGTGCTGATAACAACTCAAGATAAGACATCCCAACATCGTGACCTCGTCGTCGTCAGAGGCGCCGGAAAGAGTCGTGGTCCAGAACACCTTGGGGTAATCTCCACAGTCACAAAGGCGTCGTGTGCCATTCTTCACCCTACAGCTATTAAAAGTCTTTTGCTCTCTCCTGAAATCCTCAGCCCAATCAAACCACGTGAACGTTGTTCAGCCTTGGGTTTGTCTTGGGACTTTGCCAAGCTCCACTCTTCCCCATTGTGACAGTTCGCGGGGTGCAACCAAGGTAACAACTTCTAGCTTTCGCCCAACACAAACACTCTGAAGCAAACCAGCTGACTTACTCACCGACGATAATCTTGCAACAGATCCCTTCATACTACGCAGTTGTACAGTAGTCTGCCCTTCCTCCGCACCGCCATCCAAACGAGCTTGTCACGGGTATCGTGCACCGACTCCACGTTGTCTTCCTCTTACGCCCATATCCGCCGGGAGGGGCTGCCACCATCAGCTCCACAACCTTCACGATTCCCTCTTCAAGCAGCACCCGCCGTCCGGCCAATATACCACTTCGAAACCTGCCCTCGGCAGTAACCCGATCACACGAGCAGGTCCAGTCTGCCTCCCTCCTCTCAGACGACGAGAAGCAGAGCGGGTTCTCTGCCTCTCCAAGATCCGAATCGGCAGGCTCTGAATTCTCAGACTGGAGTGACACCGGCGACATTGGTGAACTGGGCACAGGCGAAGACGACCCTTTACGACGGCAGCTCAGAGACTTCGACACAGGCCGGCATACTGGGAGACGAAATCGAGGAGATACGAGAGTGCGATATCGACTCGACTCTGAACACGAAGATAAGCAACCTCGCCGTGGCTTCGTTAAGGAAGATATCAAGATCCCAACACCACCGCCGAGGCAAATATCTCGCGCTGAACAGGCGCTAGCAGCGATGATGTCGGGGGGGGAGCCTCAGATGCACGGCCTGACCGGCAAGCCACTGGTGTAAGACAGCCGCGAGTTGAGGCTGGACTGTCATACTGATGTTACGCCAGGTATTTCACAAGCGTATTTGTATCATTGGGCGTGTTTCTTTTTGGGTACGATCAGGGAGTCATGTCCGGTATCATCACGTAAGTTTTTATCATATATGTCAACCATACTCAGCACTGATGGATTGCACAGAGGCCCTATTTTCCTAGATTATTTCCATAAGCCAAATGCGGCCGAGATCGGGACTATGGTTGCAATTTTAGAAGTCGGAGCGTTCATATCGTCGCTGGTTGTTGGCCGCCTTGGTGATATCATCGGCCGAAGAAGGACGATTTTATATGGGAGTTTGATATTTGTGAGTTCCTTCTCCCAGCCAAATCCCTAGTAGCATCCGTGTCAAAATATGAGAGGCGGCAGTTCGCAATAGGCCAAGGACTCATTGAAACCATACCCTTCCAACCCACTTCATAAATGTCGGGTCCATTTAGCAGAAAGTAACTGTTAGAATAGTTCGTTGGAGGGGCCCTGCAGACGTGCGCAACAACTATGATGTTAATGATGCTGGGTAGGATCATAGCAGGAGTAGGGGTTGGTATGCTCTCGACAATCGTCCCAGTCTATCAGTCTGAAATTTCGCCTCCACACAACAGAGGCAAGCTAGCCTGTATCGAGTTCTCAGGGAACATCATTGGATACACCACATCAGTTTGGGTTGATTATTTTTGCAGCTACATTGACAGCGACTACTCTTGGCGGATACCACTATCCATGCAGTGTGTAATGGGTGGCCTACTCGCTCTGGGAAGCTTACTTATTGTGGAATCACCTCGGTATATACTCACGCCCTGTATTTGAAAGTCAGGGACTAACCACCATCACAGATGGCTACTTGATAATGATCATGATGAGGAAGGCATGGTTGTCATAGCCAACCTTTACGGAGATGGAGACATCCACAACGTCAAGGCGAGGGAAGAATTCCGTGAAATCAAAATGAATGTCCTCATTCAGCGCCAAGAAGGTGAAAGATCATACTCCGAGATGTTCAAGAGATACCGGGCTCGTGTCTTTATCGCTATGTCCGCGCAAGCATTGGCTCAGCTAAACGGAATCAATGTCATCTCATACTATGCGCCTCTGGTTTTTATATCCGCCGGCTGGATAGGGCGAAAAGCCATCTTGATGACCGGCATTAACGGCATTACCTATTTCCTTTCTACGATCCCTCCATGGTACCTGGTGGATCGACTTGGAAGGCGGCCGATCTTATTGAGCGGTGCTATCATGATGGCGTTGTCGCTATCTGCCATTGCATATTTCCTACACTTGGATATAAAGGCAACACCAACTTTAGTGGTCGTATTCGTCATGATCTATAATGCGGCTTTTGGTTTCTCTTGGGGCCCGATCCCATGGCTGTACCCACCAGAGATCTTGCCTCTCAGCATCCGCTCGAAGGGCGCCAGCTTGTCTACCGCGACTAACTGGTTTTTCAACTTCATCGTTGGGGAAATTACCCCAATACTTCAAGAAACAATTGGGTGGAGGCTGTATCTTATGCATGCATTTTTCTGCGTCACCAGTTTCGTTGTTGGTTAGTTTTCTCCCATCATCACCCCAACTCGCTGTCTCAGTACTAATATGGTTTATACAGTTTACTTCATTTACCCCGAAACACGTGGGGTTCGTTTGGAAAACATGAACCTGCTTTTCGGTGATGCTACATCCGCCATGCCGACTCCATCAGCAAGAGCAGAGACGGGTTCTTTGATGGGACGTGGTTCTCCTGTCCCATCAATGGATCTACGACGTGGGGTGGGGACAACGTCGATGGAGAATGGGCTAGGCTCATCCTTGGCTATTCCGGGCCTGGACATTGATCCACCGAATGTCGATATTAGAGACGGTGTTCCACGATACACGGCCGACAGAGGCCGTGGCGAGGGAGTGGGAGGATGGATCTCTCGGATGGTTGGAGCCTCCCGCGGCGGTTCAAGCTCTCGGGGAGGCGCCAACAGTAAATACAAACCTTTAGACCAGGACGAAGAGTAAGTATGACATATAGAAATGGGGACAGATAAGTACTGTATAGGAGGCCATAATAAATTTCAATTGAGTTGCGCATATAATGATGTCTTCACTTCGACTACAATCGCCGCCTCTTATCTGGATCACCACAGGTAAGACGCGGAAGCAATCCCGGATAGGAGACATCGTGTACAACCAGTTATGCCGCACAAATGTAAAACAGAAGATTGATATTTTAGTAGTTAGAGCCGCACACTATACACTATATCAAAAAAGTCACAAACTAGCCCTGGTGAGCTTTGCTTTTATTCAATATTGATATTCTCGTAAAGCTAGCTATTATTGTTGCATTTTGACTGTGTGTGCGTGGAAATTGAAGACACCTGGCAAATGCACTAGGCTGGAATAGTCAGCCGCAAAAAGTGTACCCTCTGAGCTGCGTCCCAACACCCTATTTGAAGATCCAAGGAGTCAATCTGTGTCTCCCTTCCCTTCCCTGGCCCACGAAGGATGCTTACTTCTGCTATCTAAGGATCTTTTGTCTTTAGAGGCAGGTTTTTTACTTTCACTACTTTCGTTTATTATCCATTTGAACCGTGTTCCTCGCGTCTCTCTTGTAGCCGACGGCTGAGCCTAGACGCGCAAGCCTTGTTCCGACGCGACACTACCAAGGAAAGGGGGTGTTGAAGTGGAAAGGCCTGCTCTTTGTTTTAATCAACACACGCACCGAAGCATGGCTTCTAGAAATGCCGTCGTTGCCTCGGGCATTGAGCAAGATGCCCAGGCGGCTCGTCGCCGACCTGCTCCTGGGGGATCAGCGGTCTCCGGGTCATCCCAGGGCCTAGATGAGGTCGATGACAAGAAACGCCAACCCGTACAGGTGAGCTATTCCCAACGCCTCCTCAGGTCCCCGTTACTTTAGGAGTGGTAGTTAATATGTCTGGATTCTGTTAGAGCTCACCAACCTTGCTCCAAACCCTCGACGAGTGGGAATTCATCATCGCACCGCTCATCTTCACGGCTTTGGCGTTCTTCACACGCTTATACAAGATTGGCCTCTCGCCAATCGTTACTTGGGATGAAGCTCAGTAAGATATATACCTTTATAGATAGGGGCCAATTCCTAACAATGTTACAGTTTCGGAAAATTCGGCTCGCATTACCTCAAACGCGAATTCTACTTCGATGTCCATCCACCTCTGGGAAAGATGCTCGTGGGGCTTTCGGGATACTTGGCTGGATACAATGGCTCATTCGAATTCAAATCCGGAGAGAGATACCCGGAGGAGTTGAACTACACGTTCATGCGTGCGTTCAATGCCTTCTTCGGTGCTGTCTGTATCCCTCTGGCATACTACACGGCCAGAGAGCTCAACTTCAAACGACCAGCTGTGTGGTTCGTCACTCTTATGGTTCTCTGCGAAAACTCGTACACAACTATCAGCAGATTTATTCTTCTCGACTCTATGCTCCTGTGCTTCACATTCACAACTGTTCTGTGCTGGGCCAGGTTCCACAGACTTCAGGACCAGAGCTTCAGCCTCGAGTGGTTCACATGGCTTGGATTGACTGGACTGAGCATTGGCTGCGTGTGCAGTGTCAAGTGGGTTGGACTCTTTGGCACTGCCCTCGTTGGAATCTACACCGTTGAGGACCTCTGGAACAAGTTCGGAAACTACAAGATGCCCAAGGTTGAACTTGCTGCCCACGTTGGCTCCAGAGTCGTTGGGTTGATTGTTCTTCCGTTCATCATCTACATGCTGTCATTCGCTGCTCATTTCACTATCCTCGAGAACAGCGGCCCAGGAGATGCTCAGATGAGCTCCCTCTTCCAGGCTAACCTCCGCGGTACCGAGGTTGGAAAGGACAGCCCTCTTGAGATCGCCTACGGATCCCGCGCAACCATTAAGAATATGGGATATGGTGGTGGACTTCTCCATTCTCACGTCCAGACATATCCAGAGGGCTCCGGACAACAACAGGTCACTTGCTACCACCACAAGGATTCCAACAACGAGTGGTTTTTCTACCCCAACCGTGCCGAGCCTGAGTACGACGGTGAAGGACCACCGAAGTTTGTTGCCCATGGCGATGTTCTCCGTCTGATCCACGCCCAAACCGGCCGCAACCTCCACTCGCACGACGTGTCTGCCCCAATCACCAAGGTTGATAAGGAAGTCTCGTGTTACGGCAACACTACCGTCGGCGATGAGAAGGATCACTTTACCATTGAAGTCGTCAAGGATGTCTCCTCCAACACCGACAAGACCAAGATCCGAACCCTTACCACCGCATTCAGACTTAAACATACTTCTCTTGGATGTTATCTGCGTGCCGGCAATGTTAACCTGCCTCAGTGGGGTTTCAAGCAAATCGAGGTCACATGCACCAAGGCCAACAACCCTAAGGATACCTTCACCCACTGGAACGTGGAGGCTCACTGGAACAGCAAGCGTGAGTTATCCTCTCTGCATTTATTTAGAACTGACTAATCACAACTAATAGTACCTGCTGCTGATGCCAATGCGTATAAATCGCCCTTCTTCCAAGACTTCATCCATCTCAACGTCGCAATGGCAACTTCCAACAACGCTCTCGTGCCTGATCCCGATAAGCAGGATGACCTTGCCTCACACTTCTGGCAATGGCCTATCCTAAACGTCGGTCTACGTATGTGCGGCTGGGACGATTCTATCGTCAAGTACTTCCTCCTTGGTAATCCAATTGTCTACTGGGGATCGACCGCCTCCCTCGCCCTACTTGGACTCATTGTCCTATGGTACCTCATCCGTTGGCAGCGCGGCTACGCCGATCTCAAGCAGTCCGAGATTGACCAAATCCACTACGCGGGTATTTACCCAGTCATTGGATGGTTCCTCCACTACTTCCCATTCGTCGCAATGGCCAGAGTCACCTACGTCCACCACTACTACCCCGCGTTGTACTTTGCCATCCTCACTTTCGGTTTCTGCGCCGATTGGATGCTCAGGAGAAGGGCCAAGGCGGTCCAATTCGCCGTCTACGGTGCCCTTTACACCGCGGTTATCGGCCTCTACATCCTCTTCATGCCTATCTCCTGGGGAATGGTCGGGCCTAACAGCCAGTACAGATACCTGAAGTGGTTCGAGAAGTGGAGAGTTTCCGATTAGATGATTCCTCCACTTGGAGGATAATCTGATGATTAAACGAATGGTTAATAAAGGCCGTCTGGGTCGGAGCGTAAGGGTTGGCACATGCGAATAGAAATCTCACTCAGCAACTGCATTTTTCCTTTGTTTTTGTCTCGGCGGGGTGATATGGATGGGTGTACGATGTTGTAGGGCCTGTATGGCAGAAGAGCCTCATGTAATCTTTTCAGGCGATAATGCAATTAATAGTACATACAATACAAAAAAGCGTAGCGTTTTTCTCTGCAGCTTTTATCAAATCCTAATTACTGAATCGAATAACCAAATGCTTCCGGGAGTATCTTTATGCTTCCAACCAGAACATGAAACGCCGTTATACAGCCCAACATCACTCTCTCAACTAATCCCATTACATTCCCTCCTCCCCCTATCCCATCACATCCCCTCAACAACACCCCCCCGCCGCCGCCTTCACCGCCTCCCCCCCAAACTTCACCCTCCCCTGCTGTCCCGTCCCCGGCCCCTTAACCCCCGACCTCCTATCATACAAATCATACTTCCCCGCCTCAATATTCTCATGAATCCTCTCCGCCACCCTCGCAAACGCCCTCTCCACCCCCTCCCCACTCTTCGCACTCGTCTCCACATACTCCAGCACCCCATTCTTCGCCGCCCACTCCTCCGCCTCCGCCACCGTAACTTCACGCTTATTCTCCTCACCCGCGGCCAAGTCGGATTTATTGCCCACTAAGACGACTACGATGTCCGTCTCGGCTATTGCTCGTAGATCCGCGAGCCAGTCCTGGACGTGTGCGAATGTTGGACGGCGCGAGATGTCAAACACCAGCAGCGCGCCCGAGGCACCGCGGAAATAGGAGCGTGTGACGGATTTATACGTTTCCTGCCCCGCAGTATCCCACAAGCTTAGCTTCATATGTTTCTGCACCAACGGTTTCGGCTTCGCGTTCGTGACCGGCGGCGTCGGCAGGCCGGGCGGCTCGGGACCAGGATCCGCGGCTGGGGCATCTGTGTCGACATCTCCGGAGGCATGGGGGATGCTGGAGGGCTGGCTCGAGAGGGTCGGTTTGGGAGGGGCGGTGTAGTTCGGGGGGCCAACGGGGACGATTCGCGAGCCGAATTCGACGCCGATTGTTACGTCGTGGTGGGGGGAGAAGCGGCCTTCGCAGAGGCGGATGACGAGGGAGGATTTGCCGGTGCCGGAGTCGCCGATGCAGACGAGCTTGGCGATGTAGTCCCAGGATGACATTGGGGGTGTTGAGGTGGTGAGGTGGTGGGTGTGTGAGAGGGGGGGGCGGAGGTTCGAGCTCGGGATTTGGGGGGTTGGCTTGGGGCCTGACGGAGCTTGGGGAGCTCTCGCTGTTGGTTGAGAGGGTGGGATGGTGGGTTTTGGAGATAGGGGCGTTGGGTAACCAGCTATGGGGGATTGTTGTTTTGTTTGTCTATAAATATACTGGTTGAGCTGGGGAGATTAGATTATTTGGGTCAGGAGCTTTGTTAAAGTAGAGCCTGGATGGCCCCAAGGTTGTCGCGGGATCTACGTCACGCGGCGGCAGAGCTCAAGCAAGGGACAGGGTAGCACTAGGCCCGACATGGTAGCTTGTCGTACCGGGTACATTCTACACAAGGAATAGCTTTATGAAGTGGAATTGTATTGATATTGTAGTATAGTAGTATTAGGTTGACTATTCTAGTATATATATCTGTACTGTGTATAAATAAGTCGATATCAAAGTTGGCTTCTGGTGGTATTTGCTGTACGCCGTCTAAATATATTGCCAAAAACAATTTAGCTAAATAGCTCTATATAGACAGTCTACTTACAAACCGACGGCCTTCAGCGACTTAACCAGGTCCACAATGCTCTCCTCGATGGTCCTGAACTTGATACCAAGCGTCTTAACGGTACGGCTGTTATCATACTTGTGCAGGGACTCGGTAGAACCGTTTGGATAGTCGCCATCGCCTGGCGCATCCGCAGCGGGCAAGTTGTCCTTGTACTCGGGGAAGTTGTTCCTGATAGCATCTGCGATCTCCTTGTTCGAGAAGTACCCAGCGGTAGCGAAGAAACGCTTGCCCTGTGCCTCTGGGACCTCAATCTGCCTCACGTGGATGAGAGCCAGGTCGCGGACATCGATCCACAGGTAGATGCCGGAGTTTGGCAGACCGTTCTTTGCCTTGCCCTGGGCGAAGTCACGAATGCGCTGGTTGGATGTGTTCAGCGAATCCAGGGAGTTGAGGTAGTTGACGACTGGCCCGAAGACCATCGGGGGGTTGACGGTGCTGATTGCGAAGTTGGGCTTCTCGTCACAGACGAAGTCCCATGCAGCTCTCTCGGCGAAGGTCTTGCTGGCTGTGAATCTATTAGCTGCGTTGACCTCTAGAAAATGGGAAGAATGTAATACCTCGGTAACCCTCTGCCGGGCTTGTAAGGGCTTGCTCTTCTGTTATCGGGTTCCAGTCCTCCTCGGTATAGGTGTGTTCGGGCCAGTTAGGAAGCTTGGCTCCGTTGAGAATGGCAGCGAAGGATGACGTGATAACCACATGCTTGACTGACGGGGCACTCTTCTTGATAGCCTTCAGGATGCCTATGGGCGGGGTTTAGTTCCCCCTACACATAGTAATGGAAGGGGATTCTGAACGAACCTGTTGTTCCATTGATGGCGGGGTCAAGGAGGTCCTTCTTGGTATCTGTGACGTTGAAGTGGAACTATAGAATGTTGAGCACGTGGAGAAAACGGCAAAGGGCTTGCAACTTACTGGAGACGCAGTGTGGATGACACTCTCAAACGGCGGGTCCGAGATCACGGCCTTGTCGAATGCACCTTCCTGGGCAATGTCCTCGACGATAGCGAAGTCAAGCTTGTCCTTGCCGAGATCAGGGTATGCCTGCTTGATCTTGTCGGCCTTCTCTTGAGAGCGAACAGTTGTCACCACAGAGTGGCCACGGGTAAGGAGAGACTCCAGAACGTGGGCAGCGATAAAGCCGCTGCCACCTTGGTGGGGTTAGCCAGTGCCGATGCCACTTATGATGGATGTGTTATCAGCTCACCTGTAAGAAGTACGCGTGTCATGATGATTGTTATATTGTAGAATGGATTGAAAATACGAGTAGAAACTTGTCAACAAAAACTGAAGAGTAGATAAAGGGCAAACTTTGGAAGAATGGCCTTAATGACGACTTAATTCGGCGAGGTGCGGGGTTACAAACGCCATGGAATATATTTACCATTAACCCCGACCTGACAAATGCTGTGAAATATACATTAACCCGACGCACCGACAGTGGAAATAAGATGGCGGGATAGCTCACGGCCGAGGTCATACATTTTCACTCCTCGAACGACACGATCGCCACTAATAGAAGCATACACTGTTGAATGACTAATTGGAATCTGGTAGACAAGCAGGATATTATCCATACACTTTTTTACTTCTCCGTATGTCCGTCACTTGGCTCAAACGATTGCATCCTAGACATAAAGTTTACAATAATCCCATAAATTCATAACCTCATATCCCCGCTTGATTCCCAACCCCCTTTCCATGACATTGCACCATATACCACACAAAGCTCCACCTAGCACGGCAGTATAAGCATGGTAGGATACACCTTCAAATCCCAATCTCATTGCCCTGTAAGAAAATCCGACCCGCATTCATGGAAACACCACGTTCATCCGAGACGTCATCGTATAACGCCAATATAATCGTGCGGTCCAGCAGTTCAAGGAGAAGGCTAGGGGTAAATCTTAGGAATCTGCCAGTAGTTCGTAATCCTCTTCTACTGTGTTACTTTTTGTGTAGTGGGCTCCTGTAAGGCTGTTAGGATGATAGCGACAGACTAAACATATCAGGAGCTCATGTTTGTCGGTATAGTCACCACCGTGGATTTGGGCACTCACTGCTATTCTGCACAACTGCCGCTAAAATGGGTGATAGTCCATATCCAGACTCTTGGGCTGCACGAGTACGATCAGGCTCCTGACATGTTACTCGAACTCTGGAAGAGTAATACTTTTGTTGAAGCTCCATACGACGAAATCGTAGTCACCGAAGAGTATAAGAAACGACCCATCCCCAGTCATCTCCTTTGATCGGTCATCAGGCACGACTCTTATTCTGTCCAGTATCATTGGTTTCTGAGCTAGTTCAATAGAACCGACGAGGCAATGTGAAACTCCAAGGTCAAAGTTTGAATACCTCCCCTTTGACGTCCAGACTCTCTTCTGAGAACTCTCGGGTCCATAACCTCCCAAGAAGTTGATATCTGGTGGAGTTCCTCGTATTTGGTCGCAAGATTTGATGGCCACGAGAAGCGCGTGTTTGATAGGGATTCTCGAAGGAGAATCATGGAACAACGCTGTAGAATTTTTTATTCCGATAACTGGTAAATAGAGATTAGACGCCCAAAAGTGATAGCGGGTAGCTACCCGGTCGTTGCCGACGGTGCTATTTGGGGTAGTAAAGTTGACGTCATCAAAGTGCTTCTGTCCGCTAGGTAGGTGATAAAAGTTTGTAGAAAACTTGTCATCACAGATGTTATATGCAATCTGCATGATGAGCTGTCTCTGGTTGTCTCCTGACCGCTTCTCTTTATGCCACCGATGGTCACACCCAAGATCCGTCCAGGTTGATGGGAAATCGAGCGGAAGTTGGCAAATGTTGTAAGTGCCGTCGTCGTCGATTTCTCGGATGCTGACGTGCAAGGCGTAAGGAGCACGCTCTAACCCTTGCTGGGGAAACGATATGGGTACGGTCTTAACTAGTTTACCGTCGGAATATTTCTGCATCACCAGTTTCACGACTGAATGATTGTCTTCACCCTGCCCACTTTTGATCTTGGCCATTGTGCAGACGTAGAGCGTATCCTGGACACCAGGCGGTATGAGGATCTTAACCACAGGCTGACCTCTGTATTTTGGTATTGGAGTGACTGTATAGTCTACTTGCTTCACACGGTTGCTGGCAACATCCCAAAGAAAGATCTCGTTGCTATCTGTAACAATGCCAACACGGTCACGGTGGCCCTGAGCTGCTATTTGCCCGATTGGGCTAGGTAATGTCACACAATGGGGACAACCATCGTGTGTCCTGCAGAGATAATAGGCACATAGCTTTGGGGGGCTGTGAGTTATTAGTCTTTCCGCAGAACCGACACATGTAGAATCTAGGACAGTATTCTTTCCGCAGAACCGACACATGTGGAGTCTAGGATAGTATTCTTACCTGCCGTTCTCCATGATGATCAAGATATCATCCGACATGATCCACCTATGGATATCTGTCCGTGCGGGAGTCATATACGCCTTTATAGTTCCAGTTCTTAGGGAGTATACGTTAACAGCAGGGCCATCGGCCCAAGCAACTCTGCCATTCCTATATTGACAGTTCCTAATGCTCGTTGGGGCTTCCTCGTCGGAGCCGGCGAGATCTGAGTATTTGTAGATCTTCATTGCATGATATTGGCCAATTTTCCTGGCCCGAAGCTGTTCCGTGAGAATGACGGATGCAGAGCACTTTTCATCGTCTGAAAGTTGTTGATAGGGCCCGTTGAAAAACATGCGGAAATGTCTCTTCATCATTTTGTCGCAAACAGGCTTGAGTGTCCATAATTTTAGCCATGTCTTCGATACCATTCGCATATTTTTGAAGTCGACAAGATCCTCAATATGGTTCAAAATAAGAAGTAAAATCTCAATGGGGAAACGCGGTAATATATCAGAAACAAAGGCTGTGGCTGACAGGATACGCTTTGCGAGGCGTATTTCGTCCGGCAGCAAGGCACGAAGCAGGCCTTCTAACCTAAGTAGCAGTTAGTAAATTGTCTCCATGTAGGGACAGGAATAACATAGTGCCATCTTGCATATCTACGTGGAACCTGGAGGGCTGAGGCCCACGATTACAGCAGACGGGGGTATCTATCAGGATGGCCCTTGTTGGCATCGACTTACTCCGATCTTCTTCTTAGCACATCTAGAGACCCATCTTCACGCGTTATCTGATTAAAAACCTGTGCCAGGTTTGCCATTGTTGCTGAAGGATGCTGAGCTTCCCTGGCATGAAAGAGAAGTCCTGCATGTGGGTTGGAGGTTGGTTACAGGGCGGCTGGCCTCGCGGACTTGGTCACAAAAAGCTTGAGTTTTGTGTTGGCGACGCCTTTCTGAGTTTATTCATATGCTAGGACGTAAAGCTCGGGCGTCAGGCCTTTGGGGTTGAAGCCACGAAGGAGGAGGGAGAAAAAGGCGAGGCAGCAACACGCTATCTTACGTGTACAGCTCACTGCACATCATGTCTGGTGATGGGCCCTTCGATAAGGCACGGTTATAGGCGGCAGGCAGACAGGCAGACAGGCAGACAGGCAGACAGGCCTACTTTTTGGGCTCAGATACAACTTTCAATCAAGACTTGTATGGGGTATACAAAATCCCTATACTTATAACTAGGAGTCTACGGTGGCTGTAGCCGTGAAGAGAGACACGATGTTGTCCGACTCGACCACATTGGTCGTTAACGGCACCTGTAGTAGCATCGAGAACATTTATGTATTATGAGACTAGTAAACTTGGGATGAAAAATCAATTAACTCAATCAACTCAATGAACTCAATGAACTCAATCAACTCAATCAACTCAATCAACTCAATCAACTCAATCAACTACTGTGGGCAAAAATGTGGTGTTATATGTGTGTCTTATACCTACTTACTCCGTACATATGAACTGGATGAAATAGGTGCAGTTCTGTTGGAACGGGAAGTACCGTGGTACGGGATCACACACAAATCGTGTGGTTTCTCCAGTGGTCGGGACTTCTCACAGGCGCAACGGGGCAGGAGTTCTCACACAGTATATAGCTTACTATAGCAAAATAAGAGATTGATTAACTACACTATCTAATGGGCCTACGTGGCTATTTGTAGGCCTTTCGGAGGTTCTGCTTCGACCCCCCAAAAGCCCCCTATTCTGGTGGCTTCAGAGCTGAAACCCCAGTTGAGACTGTGGTGGTTTCCAGCACCGGTCGGAGATCCTGGGACGCCGTAGTGGGATTCTGCCATTATAGGGCCAAATACCACCGTATCCCAGCGCCCACGGCCTACTCCAACAAGTTCCCAGCCGCTGTCATGTCACATGACTTTGCATGACTTGGGTTGGTGGACCCCATGTTTCCCAAAGGTGTTTGTACTCGGACGAGCCTCCGAAGCCCATGCATGTATAGAGTACCATACATTGCAATAAGGCAGTACAACGCCCCAAGAACTGCTTACATCTTATGGATAATCTTATGGGATAATCTTATGATGACATCGTTGCACTCGTATGTGGCCTTTGTGTTGGTGAGAGTTTCTCCTATAAAGAACGAAGACGACTGTTCTAACTATCTGATAGTATACAAAGTATGGTGAGAGTTTCTCCTAAAAAGAACGACGACGACTGTTCTAACTATCTGATAGTATGCAAAGTATGGTGAGAGTTTCTCCTAAAACGAACGACGACGACTGTTCTAACTATCTGATAGTATACAAAGTATGGTGAGAGTTTCTCCTAAAAAGAACGACGAGGACTGTTCTAACTATCTGATAGTATGCAAAGTATGGTGAGAGTTTCTCCTAAAACGAACGACGACGACTGTTCTAACTATCTGATAGTATACAAAGTATGGTGAGAGTTTCTCCTAAAAAGAACGACGAGGACTGTTCTAACTATCTGATAGTATACAAAGTATGGTGAGAGTTTCTCCTAAAAAGAACGACGAGGACTGTTCTAACTATCTGATATCCTAAAAAGAACGACGAGGACTGTTCTAACTATCTGATAGGGTATACAAAGTATGATGAGCCACAGGGACCACAGGGAGCCATCAAGCATCCAAAGCTCTGTATGCAACCCGCAGCGGGTAGGGATCTCGTAATCATCCACTGCCGAGACACGATTACTGGATCAGCCGTCTAATTGCACTTGGGATACCGAGCGTACTACTCGTACTTACCGAGTAAAGGTACTGTAAGTTGTGTGTCTGTATGTTGCCTGTGTGTAAGATATGATAGATTCGATGGGAGGCACTCATCGAGTGGTACTCGTACAACAGGAGATGTTCGCCCACTGCGACTCTAGCAATACTACACGATAACACCATAGCATGGCAAGAGCTGATCGAAAAAGGGGGGACACCTACTCTAATTGACGTAGGGAAGCTTCTTCCAGACTTGTGTCACACCGGAGCTGCGGAGGAAAGGGTCTCGGCTTCCATGACTCGTAAGCTACAGTAGTGTGGACTTGTGAACCATCTCCATTTTCCGCTGCACTGCAGTCCGGAGGCTTTGCGTTACTCACGGCGAACCCAGAAGAAAGAGGCCAGTAGCACTGACTGGGGAGACAAGAGAGAAGGAGGGGGCATATGATATTCTATTTCGACTGATCGTGGCTTGCTGGCCGAGATAACACTCGAAAAGCACAGCTGGAGAATGGGCGGCAGCAGCTTGTCCTCTTGAGACATATTGGCCTCCTTTTTCTCTACATGTACCCTGCATTGGCATAGCGTGACATGATATGATAAAAAACCAGAGAGAATACAGACGGCAGCAAGGTTAAACATAGAGTATAAGGAGTAAGTAGAGTTGGAGAAGTAGAAAAGAGTAGAGTACGACAATAACAAGACCTTGTCGGACCTGCCACGGTTCGCTCTTCTTCAGCACTTAATCCCCCCCCGCAGTTTCCTCCCCTTTCTCGCTTGGCCCCAAAGTTTAAAAGTACCCTATACATCGGCATTACTGCTCCAAGATACCATTGTTGCACAGAGAAGTATGTACCACGGTACCCGGAGCGTAAAAGTAAATTTGAGGAGAAGTGCGCGCACCACCACCGCCGCCACTGTGGGACACACACACATCCATCCCCCATCCCATCCATCCCCATCCCACCAACGACTTCTCCTCAATTGTTCAATTGTAACCCTACTCGAGTACTACTTACTGTACTACAACCCCGTGCATTCTGTATTTTGTACTATACAGATGCTCTCCCCCAAAACCATCAGTACTAGAACCCCGTCTGGGATAATCTCTCGCTTCTTTCGCAACATCCCAAGATTCAAATCTTGTTGCCGTGCGTTCAAGCCGTTGCCCTCGCCCCCCATCCATTCTCCACTTAGCGGCTGGAGGGGCTTTACTATAGTGCAACTCTTTGCGCCAACCATATGCGAGGCTGAGCTTCAACCGGCGTAAGATAGGTCGAGATACCCCCGGTCGACGGTTCCCGGAACCAGCATCTCAAGCTTCAATCCGACACAGACGAGCTTTCTGCATCTCCCAACCAACGGCCTTGGGTTCCTCTGGCTCGGGAGCAATGAGGTATGTCTTCCAACACCCCGAAAATTGAAACAGAACGCACCCTCAGCCGTTGCTGCTGGTGGCGCAAAACCCCCAATCCAAACTCGAGACATACTGACACACTTCTGAAAGGTGTATGAACAATGAGCTCGCAAGATGAGAGCGCCCAACAGAGCTCGGCGATGAACAACACAGAGGTCTCGTCCGCCGAGAGAACAGTGCCGATTATACAGACTCCCGCCCAGACCTCCCCGCAATTACCTGGCGACCCTATGGTGGTAACATCTCCTGCCGCACCGACGATGGGCCCTCCACCAGCTCGCACAAGCCCTGACCGTGGCGCAAACGGTACACATGACCAGACAACAAGCGCCATGGGAGAGCAGGCGCAGAATGGAAGCGTGCAAAGCCCTGGCGCAGGAGCAGCAACCCAAGGAGGTGCGCCTCAGCCAAAGGTTCAACAGACTGCTTTTATCCATAAGCTATACAAGTGCGCTTCCACGACCCATATGCTGCATTCATAACGGGACTAACGATTACATAGCATGCTCGAGGATCCGAGCATATCACATCTCATATCGTGGTCCAATTCCGACGAGAGCTTCGTCATGTCCCCTTCTAACGACTTTTCTAAAGTTCTTTCGTACGTCTTCAACTACCTACTGTGGCGAACGAATCATATACTGACTCCCTTAGGCAATATTTCAAACATACCAATATTTCGTCTTTTGTCCGGCAATTGAACATGTACGGATTCCACAAGGGTCGGTAATGCCTTACGAAAACTGTTGTTCTTAGCTGATGATAATTAGTGAGCGATGTCTTCCATACCGGCTCGCCAGAATCACCACTATGGGAATTTAAACATGGCAATGGCAATTTCAAGCGTGGCGATCTCGTTGGCCTTCGAGAAATCAAAAGACGGGCATCACGGCATTCTCTGGTCCACCGAGACTCATACCCTTCGGTGAAGCCACCGCCTTATTCACACCCAGGAACTCCAGCCGAGCCAATACAGCCGCCAATGGATACAGAGGCAAGGCTTGGCCAATTAGAGACTGGCCTGTATGAAATGCATGCGAGACTAGTCCGAAGCGTTGAAAGTGCTCACTCACTGTATGCCAGGAATCAAGTCTTGGTGGAGGCCCTGACTCGATCACTTCAGGTATGACCGACCCCACCGCTGGGGTTGTACATGCTAACGTCATGTTTGCAGGTAAACCATGAGATATCTCGTATAGTTATGAGCACCGTGCCAAATGACGCGAACGCACACCGGAGCAGTAAGTCAATATTGCCATATGAGATAAAATCTGCTAATCAGCTACATAGTCATGGACATGCAATCTGAGATCCAGCGCCAGACAGACGTCTTGAGGAACATTGATGAGCCATTGGAACAGCCATATGCAGGTTCCAGGCAGTATCTCTCAAACCTATCCCTTGATAACGCCCCTATTTCTCCACGTCAGCTAGCGCAGGACGACCATCGGCGCCAACCCCCAATGGCACAGCCTTCAAGGCCCGGCGCGTTTAGGCCCGTCCCTTCGCACCTGTCCATCGCCCCTCGAAGGTTCGGGTCAACCGGGGCTGGAACCACTGCTTCATCACCAAGCTCTTTGCGCTACCAGGTCGCTCCACCACCGCCACCACAAGCACCGCACCCTCTAATTGCGGTTACAACTCCACCCACAGATCTCCCTCGCCGACACACCTCGGCGGACATTCGAGTCCACATGTGGCCTAACCAACCTCAATACAACCCCGAGCAGCCAGCGTCACACTGGCCATCCTCACCCAAGCGACCGCTAGCCGATCCAAGTGAGGATCAGCGCATCCGCGAGAGCTTCTCCTCGTACTCGATACAAGGAGCCACACATAACCACGCCAATGCATCACGGCCCTCAACGCCACCCTTTAGCAGCAGCGGTGGTGCCTCTGAAAGCCTAGGCGCCTGGTCATGGGGTGCATCGAGGGGAGATAAGTTTGGCGGCCCCGGATTCGGGACGTCGGGCCTCTTCAAAGATAACTCCGGGCCCCCTACACGGAGAGGAAGCATGGCGCATATCCTGAACCCCGCGGAAACAGCTGAGCGTGACGAAGAGCACGACATGGAGCTGCGAGAGGAAGAGGACCGGAAGAGAAAACGGCTGCAGTAATATTTCTTATGCCGTCTGTCTGCGCTGCGCGTAACCACGGGTAGCCTTGCACAGTCAATACATTTTGTTTACATTGGGCAGGTGTGGTGTCTCAATATCACCGCCTGCCCCCGCATCACTTACCCGGGAGGTACATATTGGAAATCGTTTTTTTGTGTGTGTGGCTTGGGTATTGGATTATCTGGATTGCATCGTTTTTTTTTGTTGATACACGAAATCATTTTGATAACCCCATTTAGCAGGATGAGAGAAAAAAATACTCATGAGTCAGATTATTATTATTGTGAATGATAGTGTAGCCTGGGAAGTTAGTATACAATCAGTGGGTGAGATATAATTGGCACATTGTCTGTTATCCCTGAATAAGCAAGCTTAAATCAGATTTCTGTGGGTTGGATAACGTTTAACGATGTTTGTCTATAAGTGCTATGTGCTATTCTTTACACTCCCCTCGATTGCCAGGACTATCCAAGCTCCAATTGTAATGATACGTTGGAACAGTCCTATTCTCGAACTGAGATATGCCGTATCCCTCTAAACAGTTGGGCAAAGCTTGGTTCAGCTCGCCCAGAATATCTCCAAATAGTCTGGCAAAGCTTGATTCAGCTTGCCTAGTATCTCTTCAAACAGTCTGGCAAAGCTTGGCCCAGCCCACCCAGCCTATCTCCAAGCCAGGAAGTTATTCTTCTTTAGCAGCATCCTTGGCAGAACCTGCTCCTGCCAGTGCTTGTTCCCTCTCTTTCCGCTTCCTCTGCTTCTGTTTCGCCTTTTTCATGCGATTCTTCTCTCTTCTCGCCTCGGCCTCAGCGGATAGTAGAGGGTTTATAGCGGCCGTAGCTGGAGTATCTGCTTTCATTGAAAGCTTCTTCTTGGCGACAGCCGGTATATTTGGAGGTTCGGAGGTGGACGTGATCGAGGAAGTCGTTTCTGTGTGCTTTGTGACCTTGGGGTTAGAGTCGGTTTGTGGTGCTTGGGAAGTAGCGCGACTATCCTCGTCGTCGCTCTCGCCAGCAGACTGAGCTTTTTGCTGGAGCGGAAGCGGCTTCGTCTGTTTCACAGCTTTGAACGCCGTAGTTTTGAGAGCAGCTGCCTTCGCAACCTCGCGTTTGGCCTTCTTCGACCTCCCTAGATTGGACCGGCCTTCCTCGTCATCACTTGTATCTTCCTTCAGCCCACGCTTCATACTGCTAGCTTTTTCTTCCGCATCGCGCAGTTTGGCGGCTTGCAGACCAGCTTTTTTCCCCATCATGAGGCTTCGCAGTTTGCTATTGCCGCTGATGTCTTTCCGGTTTATGTCGCCATTTAGGTATTCCTTGGGAATTGGGGCGCCGAGTCCCAAGTTGGAAGGCATTGGGTTGAAAAGCTCCGCATCCCAGGCCTCGATCTCTTCCTTCGTCTTCGATGGGGCACATTTGCTCGTGTCGAACTTGTCTACCCAGCTCTTGACCATTGCATCCTGCTTCGCAATAGCTAAATCAATGCGCGCCTGGATAGCCTCCAGGTTTTCAGCTACTGGGAGCTTTTCACGATTGTTGGACGCCATCTTTGCCAATGTGAGAATTGTAAATATTTTGAACCCCAGATTTTATGATTTTGGGATCGGATTGGCGTCAATTATTCCCTATCATCACGTGATCTCACACAGTTCCGCCTCGGATGGTGACTGGTAGCTGGCTATTCGGGAGCGCTAGCGTTACAGGAAGCTGTGGTCCCCAAACTGTACATGCGAAAGAATATATTGATGCTCTAAGCCTCCCATTTCTTAATTTGGCAACGTTGAGTATACCGTTTGTCAATATGTTCAGAATCGCTCGCAGAGGGCCATTGGCCTCGGCCATCAAGGCTGCCAAAGTACGAATCTCTCGCACCTATTCTGTCGTGTTTACACGTAATTGACCCAAATTTCAGTTCCCAACTCCTTACAGAGCAATTGGAGCCTCGCAACAAACGAGAGCCCTGAGCATTCATGAATACCTCTCCGCAGACCTCCTCAGACAAGTATGCATTGCCCCGAACCGCGTATTTGAATCAACGGATGCTAATGGCCGTAGTACGGCATCGGTGTCCCTCAAGGATCTGTCGCCAAAAATGCCGCAGAGGCCGAAGCTATCGCGAAGAAGATTGGCGGCGACGACATGGTCATCAAGGCACAAGTCCTCGCTGGTGGCCGTGGAAAGGGCACCTTTGACAACGGCCTGAAGGGCGGTGTTCGCGTCATCTACTCTCCCACCGAGGCCAAGATGTTCGCGGATCAGATGATCGGACACAAGCTGGTTACAAAGCAGACTGGTGCACAGGGCCGTATGTGCAACTCGGTATACATCTGCGAGCGCAAGTTCGCTCGCCGTGAGTTCTACCTGGCTATCCTTATGGACAGAGCCTCGCAAGGCCCAGTCATCGTATCCTCGTCGCAGGGAGGCATGGATATCGAGACTGTTGCCAAGGAGACCCCAGAGGCCATCACCACCACACACATTGACATCCACACCGGTGTCACTGACGAGATCGCACGCAAGATCGCCGTGGACGTTGGGTTCAGCGAGCAGTGTGTTGAGGAGGCGAGGGATACTATCCAGAAGCTCTACAAGGTCTTCATGGATAAGGATGCCACCCAGATCGAGATCAACCCCCTTTCCGAGACCAGCGACCACCAGGTTCTTGCCATGGATGCCAAGCTCGGATTTGATGACAACGCCGAGTTCCGCCAAAAGGAAATCTTCAACTGGCGCGATACCACTCAGGAGGACGCTGACGAGGTCCGTGCTGCTGAGTCTGGATTGAACTTCATCAAGCTTGGCGGTGACATCGGATGCCTTGTCAACGGTGCCGGTCTTGCCATGGCCACCATGGACATCATCAAGCTTAACGGTGGTGAGCCAGCCAACTTTCTTGACGTTGGTGGTGGTGCCACCCCTGCCGCCATCAAGGAGGCCTTCACTCTCATCACCAGCGACCCCAAGGTCTCTGCTATCTTCGTCAACATCTTCGGTGGTATTGTCAGATGCGATGCCATTGCCAAGGGCCTCATCAGCACTGCTGAGAGCATGGACCTCCGCATCCCAATTATTGCCAGGTTACAGGGCACAAACATGGAGGCTGCGCAGGCTTTGATCAACGAGTCCGGACTGAAGATCTTCTCTATCGATGATCTCCAGAACGCGGCCGAGAAGTCCGTCCAGTTCTCGAAGGTTGTAAAGATGGGTATGTCAACCCCTCCCGCCCCCTTCCATAAATATAGCTAACATGAAGCAGCACGCGACATTGATGTCGGCGTTGAGTTTTCTTTGGGCATCTGAGCGGTTTAGACATTTGGGGGTTGCCATGTACTGATTCCTAGGGTTTACTTCGGTATACGTGTACACATACGATTAATTTTTCCATCTTATATTATCTTGATGCGTGCAAACCTCCTTGTATTTGTGCAATATCTCAGGCTAACTTCCATTCATCGATCCTGTGTTCAACCCTGCGAATTTGACGATTCGAACTAACCGGCCACCTAGGGCATCCCTCTAACGTTAAATCCTATGACCCTTCGATTAGATGATAGATGCATGCGAACATATGCGGGAAAAGGCCCGCCTATTTGTCCTCCTCGTTCATGACCACTGAGACGCCGCCGAGCTTCATTTCTGGGCGAACGTAGCAGGCCAGCCTGCTATTAACGACCTATACACCGTTAATATCCGACCATAATAATTTCCATAGGAATGAAACTTACTCCATCCCTTGATTTCGGGAACTAGATAGTACGAGACCACAGTCTCGTACCTCGGCGCCGGCGCCCTCTCCACCGTCCCACCGCCGCAAAACCACACCAAGACTAGCATCCCAACGACCACGTATAGCCTCGTCCATTCCACATGACTTAGGAATTTTACGACGGTCTTCGCGGGCCTGACGGCCAGGACAAGCACCAACGCTGAAATAACCAGCTCCGCTTTCCGAGGCAGACTCTCCCAGCTCTCCTTGGCCCAGCTGACGAAGCGCTCGAAGTGATGTTCGGGTGTGACGGTGAGTGTAGACAAGATTTCTTCCATATCCGGCTGTGGGATCCCCGGGGCAGCGAGCGCCCACTGCTCGCGCATGAAAGGCGTGAGGCCATCAAGGCCTTTTTTCTCGCGAGTTGAAAATGCTGCGGCGGCGGCCCAGCAGGTGCGATGGTGGCAGACAAGAGGCCGTTGGAGCTGGTAGTAGGGAGTCGACATCTTTTGGGGTGGAGGAGATGGGCGTTTAACGAGGTGAATTCGGCATTGTGAACGAGAAGGAGGCGGTGTGAGGTAGGCGCGCAGGCGATATAGAAATTGTGACCATATCAAAAGAGTTGCAACACATGCGGCAACCTGACCTAGCGCGTGGGTGGACGAAACCGAGGTGATGCAGATGCTGCCCAAATAAGGCGACGATGAAGAAAGTTGCGTGCCAGCCGTAGATGCCGCCAAGGATGGTGGCTGCCAGAGAGAGCATGTTAAAGGCCATGGCGACGTATGGGGTGTATGTAAAGTGAACCCGAGACATGGCTCGAGTTGGACGGAGCGGAGCATAGCTTGGAATCTTTGATTGTAGTGAGCACTGTTTCTTGAGAGTGAATAAACGGGGTCAGGCAGTTTGTAACAAAGATGTGTCCTGCAGGTAATGAGAATACTAGGTGCGTCGTTGAAATGGTGAGCCTGTTTGAGAGAGAAACAAGAAGCAGTCTTTGATGTGAGAAATGTTTGACCATGAGGAAGGTTCAGCCCACAATAACCTGTGAATGGTAAATGGCCAAGCGCTAATTGCATTATCTTGGACCTGTTCTACCATTATGATGAATTTAGCGTTACTCTATCAATGCAGACGGTAAGTTTTGAAATATGCCTTAGTTGGCCGAAGCCAACGAACTCGGACAAAATTCGGAAAAGGGCGAACTCATCTCTGGACCAGCACGTAAACCAAGGGTTTCATGATCATAGACAGTACCCCGAGAGAAAGAGAGTGTTCTTTATATCCTGGATATATACCGTGATAAAAGTGGGGGGTTTATATTTGTACGCTTAGTCTTGGATTGTATCGCATCCAGGCAACCAGCCAGGCAACCGACCAGCATCAACCTTTCTCCGCTCAACACCTGAAGGTATTAAAATGTGCACGATTTATGAATGGCCAAGAAAAGAGGTAACATGATTCTATTAAATATCTCTAGTCACCCTGATGCCACCTTCCCATAATCGTATGTACTCTTATCTATTTTCATGTTAGAACGTTGCAGGCCACCCCTCATGTGACGATTCCTATGGTGCCGATGGCAAATCGACACGCATGAACATGCCAACATGAGGAATCCCAGCTTCTGTCCACCTTCCCATCTTCTCGTCCTCCTTGAACCCCCACTTCGCCCATATCTTTGCAACATACTCTTGTGCATGTATGCAGATCAAGCCCTTCCAAGCCGTCATGGCTTCTGTCAATTCCGCGCCGGATTCATCTACGGCTCCAGATACGTCAAAGGCCGTTGGGTTCTCCTTGGTCCAGGCAATGGCAGACCTAACAAGCTGACCAGCGATACCTTTTCCTCTATATTCCTCGATGACAGCCACCCGTCCAAGCTTGACGTAAGCTTCCCTTCCATCATGGAAAGTCGTTGCTCTGTCAACAATCCATGGCTTCGGCTCCGCTATCAGCTCGTTTCCGGTGACATTTTCTGGCAGGTCGAAGGATGATCCAGGTAGTGGATGGGCCTCGTGTGGGAATGGAACCAGGCGAAGATTCCCGACTCGAAAGCGAGTACCATCGTCGGCAGATGCATAGGCAACCCAGTGATAAGAACGGCAATCGTCAGAATCGCCTTCCAGAAGGAGCGGAATATTTTGCCCTTTGACGAATACCTCTTCTCTCACTGCCATGCAGTCGAGGAAGGACTTGGGGATATTGTGTGCTTGGTGAGCAGCTGGCACGCTGCGGTCGTACTTGTCCAGGTTTAGTGGCCGCTGGAGTGTGATTTGAATGTCCGACGACGACATTCTGAGAGCTATCTGCCAATAGATGAGGGTATATGGCGATGAGTGTGTCTTGGGGTCTCTGTTTATCGAAGGGCAGAGAGAGCCGATGGCTGAAAGTCCAATCACCCAAAATTAATAGTTCTAGGTGAAGATCCAAGTAAATGACAGTCGGGGACAGTAACAGTATATTCAAGAAGTGTACCAGGCCATACCTTTCAGCCTTCCAATTTATCAGACATCGACTAAACTAGAACGCTCTGCGGCACATACTCCGCAGAGCGTTTTATATGAGACTCGCTGAGAAATAACCAGCCTCACTAGCCAAGTTACGCGCCGGAGGGTGGCGGGGCCGATCAATGCAAGGCTACCGCTGTGTCGCTTACATAAATTTACCAAACGCCAACCCCCAAAGGTGACAAAATGACAAAGTGTCCTCTTTATAGACTTTATTTCCTCAACGAGGATACATATCCCGTGAGCTAGTCTACTATTAAACACCGAATAAAACTGTTAGAAGCCAGTTGTCGAAAGACCACATGTCATAGCTGGCAAAAACCTACATATACACCGCCCCGTCATTGCCACGGCAGCTTCACTCACCCACCAGTTTGCCAACACCCCCTCCAACAATCATGCCGTTAGCCTCGCGGCGGTCCTCCGGCATGGCCTTTTCGAATCTCTCTGCGATATTATGTCTGTTTTGGATTTTTGCCTCTACCGCATTGGCCGCAAATGCGGTCGTTGGCATCGACTTCGGCACTGAGTACATCAAGGCTGCGCTGGTTAAGCCCGGCATTCCTCTCGACATCGTCTTGACGAAAGACGCACGACGCAAGGAGCTCTCCGCGGTCACCTTCAAGCCTATCAAAAATGCGCCGCAAGGTTCTTACCCCGAGCGACTCTACGGATCGGATGCGAACGCATTGTCGGCTAAATTCCCTGGTGACGTCTACCCAAACCTCAAAGCCATTCTCGGTCTGCTGGTCAGCGACCCTAGAGTCGCCGAGTACTCTGCACGCTACCCAGCCCTGGTTATCGAAGAAGAGAAGACCAGAGGGACTTGCGAATTCCGAAGCGAGGCCTTTACAACCAAGCAGGATCCTTGGATGGTCGAAGAGCTACTGGCAATGGAATTGCAAAGCATAAAGAGGAACGCCGAGGAGATGGCAGGCAAGGGTAGCTCAATCAGGGATGTAGTTATTACTGTCCCAACATATTTCGATACGGAAGAGAAGAGAGCCATTGAACTTGCCGCGGATTTGGCAGGCCTGCGGATATTGTCGCTCATCAGTGATGGCCTTGCTGTTGGACTCAATTACGCAACATCTCGCACTTTCTCCAGCATCACAGACGGAGCGCAACCAGAACACCATCTGGTATTTGACATGGGAGCCGGCTCGACCAAAGCTACAATTATCAAGTTCCAGGGCCGAACAATCAAGGACGGGAGGAAATCCAACAAAACCATTCAGGAGGTTCAAGTTGTTGGGGCTGGATGGGATAGGACCCTTGGTGGTGACGCCCTTAATGCCATAATCGTGGACGACATTGTGGCCCAGTTTGTTGAGTCGAAGAAGGCAAAGGCCGCATCGATCTCGGCCGAGTCTGTACACCGCCAAGGCCGCGCCACAGCAATGTTATGGAAGCAAGCTGAGAAGCTGAGACAAGTTCTAAGCGCAAATGCAGAGAGCCAAACAAGCTTCGAGGGTCTTTATGACGATGTTGACTTCAAATACAAACTGACACGTACCGATTTTGAGAAGCTTGCCTCCAACCATGCTGATAGAGTAGCACCTACTATTAAGATGGCTCTGGAAAGGGCCAAACTCGAATTGTCCGATATTGATTCTATCATTCTGCACGGCGGTGCTACCCGCACTCCGTTCGTCCAGAAGGAATTGGAGCTTTTAGTTGGCAAGTCCGACAAGCTTAGAAGCAATGTCAATTCAGATGAATCTGCCGTTCTCGGTGCCGCATTCAGGGGCGCCGGACTTAGCCCCAGCTTCCGTGTAAAGGACATCAGAACATACGAAGCTGCAGGATACGCTGTCAGCATGCAGTGGACGAACATAAATCTCAAGCTCCAAAAGCAGCGCCTGTATACTCCCCAGTCGCAGCTTGGCGCCGAGAAAGTAGTCTCTTTCCAGAACTTGGAAGACTTCGATGTTCATTTCTATCAGCATATCGATCATGCCGGAGAAGGTACATTTTTGGGGGAGAGAGAACTCGTGAAGCTAGCAACCAAGAACCTCACAGAAACTGTTACAGAACTGAAGGAGAAGCGCGGGTGTGAAGCCACCGACATCGTTACCAAGTTTGGCGTTCGCCTGAATGTCTTTAACGGCGAAGTTGAAATTACCGGGGCTACCGCACAGTGCGAGGTCGATGAAGATCCGAATGCAGGAGGCGTCGTAGATGGTGTTAAGGGCCTATTCGGCTTTGGTGCCAAGAAGAGCGATCAGGATATTTTTGAAGACGCAGAAATCGTGTCAGATGCCGAGACGTCCACCGAGAGCTCTGCCACAACCTCTACTGGTAAAAAATCATCGACATCGTCAGCTGCATCCGCCTCTTCGGCCACCGCTGATGCTAAGCCTAAGAAGCGCTTAGTTGCAATTCCTTTGGACTTCGAGCTTGTGAAGAAGGGGTACCCTGCATTACCCACAGAGGTCCTGTTCAACAAGAAGGAGAGACTAGTTGCTTTCGACGATTCGGACCTCGTGCGGAAACAGCAGGAAGAGGCACTCAACCAACTTGAGGGCTACACCTATCGCGTTCGTGACCTGTTGACCGACGATGCTTTCATTGGAGCATCAACTGAAGCTGAGCGCAAGCCTCTGGGTGAGCTCGCTGAGGCCATCAGCGACTGGTTGTACGAAGAAGGTGCAGGAGCTACCCGTGAGGTTCTGAAAGCCAAACTGGGAGAAATGAAGGCAATTGTCAACCCAATTGAGCGTCGCAAGGACGAAGCGTCAAAACGCCCAGAGCAGGTCAAGAACCTCAAGGAGTCTTTGGAGAGCGCTCAGTCAGTGATCAACTTGGTGAAGGAGAAGATTGTCGAGCAGGCCGACTTTATGTCGTCGGTAGCATTAAGGCCAACCCCCTCCGAGACTTCAACCGAATCATCGACGACAGCTGAGCCATCGACTGAGACTGATGGAACTGAAGAAGATAACACTTCGGCCGAAGCTGAGACTAAGACTGAATCTTCCCAGGCCCCATTGACAACCGCCGTGCCACCTACGTCGTTCAGGCAGGAGGATCTCGATGTGTTGGAGTCTCTTCATAAGGCGACGTCCGATTGGTTCACAAAGAAGCTTGCCGAACAGGAGGCACTCAAGGTCACTGACGACCCCGTTCTACTCGTGAAGGAGATGGCCAAGAAGGCGAACGAGATCAGCCAAGCAGGAATGGAAATGGTCATGAAAGGCATGAAGGGTCCCGAGCCACCCAAGGTTTCGACCAGCAGGACCTCGAAAACCAAGAAGCCCAAGACTTCGAAGACGAAGAAGTCGAAGAAGACAAAGTCCACTTCTACTGAGGCAGCGGAGGGAACTGGTGAGGCTAAGGAGTTCGATATGCCAACTGAGGAGGAGATTTTGGAAGCTGTGAGGATTAAGGAGGAGAAGGAGGAGAAGGGAACATATAAGGATGAGTTATAGAAGTAGTAAATAACCCCCATGCCACGACACAGCTGCCTGGGCATGTTAGAAGTAGTAAATGTATACCATGACACAAGACTACTGTATTTGTCCCCATAGCATAAATCCAAGCACGTGACATAAACCCGGTTGTTCCGAATTTAATTCACATGTGACAGAGGATTCTAGACTCTTTAAATATCCCACAATCTCAACGGCCTGCGATTGAAAACCCTCAAAATTACTTGCCCTTAAACAACTTCGCTACCACTACCATCGCCCCTACAGCACAATGGCATCGCTGTCCTCCCTCTTAGTAGCCTTCATGGCCCTACTCCACGTCTACATCCTCGTCCTGGAGATGTTCCTCTGGACTACACCCCATGGTCTCAAAGCCTTCGGCCTCAAGCCCGACATCGCCGAAAAAACCAAAATCCTTGCCGCCAACCAGGGTCTCTACAACGGTTTCCTGGCCGCTGGACTCTTCTGGGGATTAGTGCACCCCGTGCCAGAATTTGCGACGCAGATTGAACTCTTCTTCTTGGGGCTGGTCGGTGCTGCGGGGATTTATGGGGGCTTGACTGCGATGCCGAAGATCTTCTTTATTCAGAGCGTGCCGGCTGCTATTGCGGGTTTAGCTGTGTATTTGGGGTAGATATATTGGAGGAGTTTGGCTCGCCGGCGTGTAACTGGAAAGCAGAAAGCTACTGTCTGGAGGCTCGGGCTCTGTAAGGGCCTTTAGATTGATATTTAGTATAGGGCTCGAAAGCCGCGGGTGCCGTCAATTTAGTTCGTTTCACGTTTGCGTGCATTGTCAGACTACTACACTGCCTATAGCGGACTCGGCTGTAGCGAAACGTCCTAATACCGAACCCCTTCCCACACGCGAATTTTGTATGGTAATAACGGAAACCTTCTTATACCAAAATCCCGGCCAAGACCCTCAACTTCCGGTATAGAAAATGGCACCTCCACCACCTAAAAAGCCTCGAATCTCGATTACAAATGTACAAAAGCAAGCTTTACGAGCTTGGTACCATAATCCTACAACTTAGAGCACAAAGAAGACGTTAGCAGATGCTTCAACTTGGTAGAATGATCAACATGGACATACTTTGAACTCTTTGACTACAAGTAAAATACTATCCTTAACATATGCCTTTGTCGATACTGCTACTTCTACAAAAGCATTCAATAATACCAAGAAGACAAGGAAACTAAAATGGGAAGTGTTAGAGAAAGCTCTAGCAGAATGTGCTTTACGATTTGATGCTACTCATGGCATTGTTATAGGAGATCTTCTATAGATAAAAGCAACATAATTCTAGACACGGCTACCACAATACTACAGACAAGATTGCCCTACATGGAGTGAAGGATGGCTTGAAGGGTTTAAGAAAAGACATAATCTCCACTACTGAAGAAAAGTTAGAGAGGCAAGCTCTGCGGAAATCACAATAGAAGTAACATAGCAGATGGACAGCATCCAAGTTAAAGCGAAATACCTACCTTGTGATGTTTACAACATGGATGAGACTAGATTTTATTAGAGAAAATTACCAAACTTAGGATTATCAACTTCATCGCTTAGTAAAAAGGTTGACAAAACTTGAATTACAGCTAACCTCTACTACAATGAAGATAGGAGTGATAAAATTCCAATTTGGTTTATTAGAACTGCTAAACAACTAAGGTGTTTTACTCAAAATCATATCTCAAATTCCGAAAACCTTAGAATACATTAGTGATGGAGTTCAACAGTATGGATTGTAAGGATGCCTCCGTGTCATACTGACATTCGTTGCACTCAGTTTGCTATCAAACTCAAGAGCAAACTTAGAAATCTCCTCCTCAAACCTACAAGTCAACATACATATCTTGGCTTATCACATCAACAACAGAAGCAATACTACTCAACGATTGCTGCAAACTCTTCTACTACATCTGTTTATGCTACATACATCACGGCATATCATTTGGACACTCATTGAACAAGTTATTAAGAAAATCTCCTCCTTAAGGGGGTGGGCCAATACTACCACATGGCATATCTCTACCAACTAGAGGCCTAGGAACATGAACGATAGCTCTAGAAGCTTCTACAACCCTCTATGATTCATTACACGTCATCGCTCCTTAGTTACCCACAAGATTGGTTAAGTTATGACATAATTTGTCTATAGGTACTCTGACCTTGGACCTCCTTTTCACTTCCTATAGGCTAGGAACCCAAGAGATGGTTCTATGGGATTCTCTTACATTCGCTACATGATTAGCAAGATAGTTGTGGGTCGCACTTGATTTCTAATACATTTACCAAGCCTGGTTAGTCATGGAAAGTCATGGAAAATGAGAGAACTACACTCCTTTGGCATAAATAGGATTGCCCTTTCCTTAAGAAAAGGCAAGCAGGCAATACAGTAAATCGACTATCACATACTTCCACGTCTTTTCCAAGCTTCCAAGCATTCATCTTGTTACTCCTTGTTTCTGAAAAGTCAGTGAGGTGCTAACCTCTGACTTACCCCTGAGTTCTCAGACTCAACATTTGTTGCAACTTGTCTAAACCACTTCACCACATCATACACCTGATTGCTGCGTTGTGGAATAGTCTAAGCTACAACCCTTTGGCTCTGTTTCCTAAGACAGTGTGTTGTCTTAGTAAATTCATCCCTTCCTTGGGTGGCTAGATGTAATGGTGGGTGCACCAGATATGAGAATCTAGCCACCCAAGGAAGGGATGAATTTACTAAGACAACACACTGTCTTAGAAAACAGAGCCAAAGGGTCGTAGCTTAGACTATTCCACAACGCAGCAATCAGGTGTGTGATGTAGTGAAGTGGTTCAGACAAGTTGCAACAAATGTTGAGTCTGGGAACTCAGGGGTAAGTCAGAGGTTAACACCTCACTGACTTTTCAGAAACAAGGAGTAACAAGATGAATGCTTGGAAGCTTGGAAAAGACGTGGAAGTATGTGATAGTCGATTTACTGTATTGTCTGCTTGCCCTTTCTTAAGGAAAGGGCAATCCTATTTATGCTAAAGGAGTGTAGTTCTCTCATTTTCCAAGACTTTCCATGACTTACCAGGCTTGGTAACTGTAGTCGACGTAAGAGAATCCCATAGAACCATCTCTTAGGTTCGTAGCCTATAGGAAGTAAAAGGAGGTCCAAGGTCAGAGTACCCCTATAGACAAATTATGTCATAACTTAACCAATCTTGTGGGTAACTAAGGAGCGATGACGTGTAATGAATCATAGAGGGTTGTAGAAGCTTCTAGAGCTATCGTTCATGCTCCTAGGCCTCTAGTTGGTAGAGATATGTCATGTGGTAGTATGAGTGATGTCATGTAATGAATCATAGAGGGTTGTAGAGATATGCTATGTGGTAATATCGGCCCAGTAACTAAGGAGCGATGACGTGTAATGAATCATAGATGGTTGTAGCAATCGTTGAGTAGTATTGCTCTTGTTGTTGGTGTGATAAGCCAAAATATGTATAGTGACTTGTAGGTTTGAGGAGGAGATTTCCAAGTTTGCTCTTGAGTTTGATAGCAAACTGAGTGCAACGAATGTCAGTATGACATTAAGGAGGAGATTTTCTTAATAACTTGTTCAATGAGTGTCCAAATGATATGCCGTGATGTATGTAGCATAAACAGATGTAGTAGAAGAGTTTGCAGCAATCGTTGAGTAGTATTGCTTCTGTTGTTGATGTGATAAGCCAAGATATGTATGTTGACTTGTAGGTTTGAGGAGGAGATTTCTAAGTTTGCTCTTGAGTTTGATAGCAAACTGAGTGCAACGAATGTCAGTATGACATTAGGGGTAGAGGGGACTGTCTAGCTTCCTGGTTGGCTCACGAGTCAGACAGTGGCGCTAGGCTATTAAAAGCCACTAGAGGGTTTTAGCAACCTAACTGTCGGCTTGACCAATGCCTGAAAAGGAAGGTGCCAAGCTGCTGGTGATTTAACCCTGCTGCTCTCCTACCACCCCCTGTTCTAAATGACGAAGAATCATCTGCTTTTGGCAATTAAGTGCCAAAAGCTGGTTACAGCTAGACAGATTTCTGTTTAGTAGCCAGCTTTGAATTACTGTGTATATTTGTGTATAGATTCAATGTCAATCAAGTTTACTATGCTGGCGCTAGTGACCAAAGTGATTATTTATAACAATATACTCATACAACTGAAACTAACAATTACTAGTATTCTAGCCAGGTTCCAGTCTATTGTAATGGTGGGTGCACCCACCATTACATCTAGCCACCCAAGGAAGGGATGAATTTACTAAGACAACACACTGTCTTAGGAAACAGAGCCAAAGGGTTGTAGCTTAGACTATTCCACAATGCAGCAATCAGGTGTATGATGTGGTGAAGTGGTTTAGACAAGTTGCAACAAATGTTGAGTCTGAGAACTCAGGGGTAAGTCAGAGGTTAGCACCTCACTGACTTTTCAGAAACAAGGAGTAACAAGATGAATGCTTGGAAGCTTGGAAAAGACGTGGAAGTATGTGATAGTTGATTTACTGTATTGTCTGCTTGCCCTTTCTTAAGTAAAGAGCAATCCTATTTATGCTAAAGGAGTGTAGTTCTCTCATTTTCCAAGACTTTCCATAACTAACCAGGCTTGGTAACTGTAGTCGACGTAAGAGAATCCCATAGAACCATCTCCTAGGTTCCTAGCCTATAGGAAGTGAAAGGAGGTCCAAGGTCAGAGTACCCCTATAGACAAATTATGTCATAACTTAACCAATCTTGTGGGTAACTAAGGAGCGATGACGTGTAATGAATCATAGATGGTTGTAAAAGCTTTTGGAGCTATCGTTCATGTTCCTAGGCCTCTAGTTGATAGAGATATGTCATGTGTAGTATTAGCCCAGTAACTAAGGAGTGATGTCATGTAATGAATCATAGAGGGTTGTAGAGATATGCTATGTGGTCATATCGGCCCAGTAACTAAGGAGCAATGACATGTAATGAATCATAGAGGGTTGTAGCAATCATTGAGTAGTATTGCTCTTGTTGTTGGTGTGACAAGCCAAAATATGTATAGTGACTTGTAGGTTTGAGGAGAAGATTTCTAAGTTTGCTCTTGAGTTTGATAGCAAACTGAGTGCAATGAATGTCAGTATGACATAATGTAATGTAATGAATCATAGAGGGTTGTAGAGATATGCTATGTGGTAATATCAGCCCAGTAACTAAGGAGCAATGACATGTAATGAATCATAGAGGGTTGTAGCAATCGTTGAGTAGTATTGCTCTTGTTGTTGGTGTGATAAGCCAAAATATGTATAGTGACTTGTAGGTTTGAGGAGGAGATTTCTAAGTTTACTCTTGAGTTTGATAGCAACCTGAGTGCAACGAATGTCAGTATGACAGGAAGGAGCACTAGGGTGCTATAGGGGCTAGGGGTGAGGCTTCTTTCCTCGCTTAGGCAGCAATGCTTCTTATAATGAAGGAGAAGCAGGTTATCAACCTGCTTCTCCCTCACTATAGAACCCCCTCCTAGCGCTCTAAGCGTAGCAATTAGTAAGTGGTGATAGAGTTGAAGATGCCGTTATCATTGGCAGTCTTAGCCAGACTCCATTATTATACTTACTAGTGCCTCTCCTTCGCCACACCCATCTTCTTCTTCTTCTTCTTAGCGATCCCGAAAGCGCCAATAATAGCAGTTCGTTAGTAGAATAGCAACTGCTACTGTTGGCTGCCAAAATCGGTAGAATCCGAGGCACTTAGGGGGTATTACAGTATTCTTATATTACTACTTTAGACCTAGCTAATACTATCTACTGGGGTCTACAATTACTATCGCCAACGAAGCCTAGGCTGCCATATAGTGGCTTGGCACCTTCTTCTTCCGGCCTTGGTCTTAAGCCCGATGGTCAGGTTGCTAAAACCCTCTACTATGAAGCTTCTGCTCCGTTGCCCGAAGAGACTGATTACGGTTGTCGGGGATTACCACACAAATTCGTGTGTAGTTCCCGGTATTCCGCAATTACCTCTAACAAACTACTTCATATAGCAGAAACTCTATTTACAGGAAGGCAAAACTCGAACCGACCCGTCCGTCCCCTATAGGCAGTGATTACTGTACTGTAGTTACCCCGCTCCCGCACCTCTTAGCGGCCGGGGCCTTCCTTTGTCAATGTTGCATTCGAGACCGCTGAATACCTATTCCAGTGTCAGAGTCAACTCGATAGTCTACAATGTTCTGTACACATGGTATTGGGCCTCGGCATTCTTCTGTCATCTTTCTCATATCAGTGACTAAAACTAAGTTACTCGAGTGTGGGTGTGTGTGCCTGGGCCTCCCACTATCCCCTATGTCGTCAGCCTATCCCCTTACTTTCTCCGCCACATGCTGCCCTTAAAACCCCAAAAGGCCCTTCTCACCAAGCTGCTGTGTCGTAGTAGACAAACATGGCAAGATATTTCCCAAGAAACCATCGGACTATTCCAAATCCCTTGTTCCATGTCAAATCGCATGAAGAACTTCTTGCCATGCTCTAACCCCCTTGTTCCATGTGAAGAAATCACGTTCCTGCACGCCCTGCCTATTGTTGCACGAATCCCTTCCAACTGTCCAGTCCTGCCATCGGCTGCTGCTACCACGCACGCCACAACGAGCTCGACCCTCTCTTCAGACGCTGCATTGGTTGATTTCTTAGGTCCGTAATCCGTATGAGTGATTGATCCTCTTGAAGGTCATGAAACGGAGGTCAATGCACTGCAGAATAATGCACCCCGCATGCAGGTATCTACAAGAAGGCAAAGGCTTAGCCTCCCTTTCCACAATTCACGGAGATGGGTCCGCTGTCAGGTTGTATATTAAGTCTGGGTCTGACATATCTCTTGGTCGGTATCATGTGCGTGTATTGTTTACCTTTTTCCCCCACTGCGATTCCTTTCAAATATGCCTGGCGGCTTCCATCCGACAAAGGAGGTCTTTCTGACGTGGCCGAAGCCGAATTATACCGACCCTGAAACCAAAGGCAATCAATTGCTCGTGGTTACTATAATATCCACCATTTTGGCGATAGCTTCCGTTCTTGCGCGAGTATGGGTGCGGATAGGGTATCAACAACAGTTCGGGGCGGACGATGTGATGCTGGTCCTATGCATAGTATGCGCCTTTCCTGTCACTCTGGGGATCGATGATCTGGCACGTAGAGTCTCTGGATACTGATTAAAATATTGTTAGGTTCCCACAGTTGGAATTGCAGGACTTTTAATACTTAGTAAGGCCCCAAAGCAACAATTGCGCCGAGTTTTGTTTACTGATAGGAATATAGCTGAGACCAAATTCCGTTGGTTTAGACACATCTGGGATGTGCCACTCGACGAGATAACTGGGAGACAATATGTTAGTGAATCACCCTAGATCCCCTAATACACCCTTTTTCACGCCGTGTTGATGAGATTGTTGGTGTAGCATAATTGGATTGTTCAGCTTCTGTATGTAATTGATATTTATTTTCAATGTTACCTACCCACGTTTGAAATAGTATACGAGTCTGATCTATACCTAGCTTTGTTATTTCCACCACTTTCAGCAAGCTTTCAGCTGTGCTTTTATACAAACGAGTGATTGCAGGAGTTTCAAGGCCGGCCTTCCTTTATATCATTAATGCCGCCATCGCCGCCCAAACCCTGTATGGAGTCGCCTTCGTTCTTCTGTTGGTTCTCCAGTGTCGACCGATAAGCTCATACTGGCTGCAATTCTCATATCCGGACCCCTACACAGAAAAATTCTCTTGTCTGTATGAGCGTTCAGCACCATTCAGTAACGCATGTATAAGCATGGTGACGGACTTTTTTGCCGCTATGCTGCCAATGTTTCTCTTCCTGCAACTGCAGATGCCTAAAAGAGACAAATACGGTCTCGGGGCAATCTTCGGCGTTGGATTCATGTTAGTTGCTACCCCCCTTGTTCTGTTGGAACGTGGCTCACCTACTAGTGTCTGCATCTGTGGTATTATAAGATCGGTTCTCGTGTATCATATCTTTTATCAGTCGTTTGATGTGACCTGTAAGCATCTATTCCCTACGAGAAATCTCTAGTTCAGCCCACATTTTTTTTATATACATATGCTGACTTCGAGCCAGGGCTGAGTCATGACCTTGGGCCTGGACATACGTTGAGACCAACCTTCTTGTTATCTGCGGTGCCATACCACCTATGAGAGTATTATTCAAACGCCTCGTTGGACACTCAAAACCACACAGCACTTCTAAAATACCGGTTCCAAACTCGTCCCATGGAAGGAGTCCTAGCAATCAGTCAAACCTAGCCGACATCTCAAACAGCGGAGCTTCAACGGAGGCTATTGCACTACGTGGGATGGAATCTGCCAGTCTCCTAAGGCGAAGGCTACTCGACAAGTTGACTCGGGTCATAAGGCACAAAACTCAGGGCGTTTTAGTAAGGTCTACCTCGACAAAGAGCTACCACCCATTAAACAATATAGTCCGCCTTGGGAGAGAGGGTATGATAGGGGGTGATGGCTTATTGTAGTTATGAAAGTTCTGTTAATTAGCCTTGAGGGTATTGGGGTTATTGGGTTTTCTATAATATCAGAAACACACTTTTTGAATCGCGATTACAGCCCCCCTTGCAATGCGCCATCACTCAAGGAACATTGTAGATAGCATAATGGTGACTGAATCACGCCCCACAAGAACCGCGTATGTTCAACGTGGATATATATTTTACAGCTCCCCCCACCCTGCTCTATGTCTCAAGGTTGATGCTCCGTCCAAACCTCGCATACAGCTCCACCTTCAGCTCCTGCATCCCCTCCTTGATCGTCCCCAGCTTCTCTTCTAATACCGAGACCTCCTCTTCGATTCTCATCGAAGTTGTGAATAGGAGCTCCTGCACCTCGGGGAGGGGAAGCGAGATGAACGAGTCGCCGATTTGGTAGCTATTGGGCACGTTAGTCTAGTTCGGTCTCGTACGGGGGATATGCAGGGCGGCAAGTAGAGCCCTAGCTCAGGGAAAGGAGATAGGGAGGGGCGTACGGTATCATGTCCTCCTCGTCCGCAAGCTCAAGCTCATTCGAGATATCCTCCAAATCCTCCTTCTCCTTCTGTAGCGCAACCCATATTAGCACCTCCTCCACTCCAACCCAGCTATCCGTAGGATCGCACATACGTGTTTCGCTCTCAACTCATCCTCCAGATTCAATTCCTGCTGATGCAGCCTGCTGAACTTGTTGATCTTGTCCTGATCCTCGCGGCGCACTTCGACCTCGTCGGCCCCTGTTGCCGCCTCGTCTTCCTTGGAGAGCTGGGGGTATGTTAGTAAGTAGGGATATTGACCGGGGATAGAGGGGAATGTATGTACCATGCGTCTCTGCATCATTTTGAGGTGTGTGGTGGGCTGGTAGCTTGGAGGGGTAGAGCTGGGGGGGGGATTCGAGGTGGTCTTTCTTGGGTGGTTTGGGGCAAACAGAGCAAACATGAGCTGATGGGGAAATATAAATATCCCCCCCCGCTTTCACGCACAACTTTATTGATGTGATAAATATAAGAGGTATAAGTGTTATTTTTATTAATTTTATGTCGAGATAATACTAATTTTATAAAAGCCATTAATGACGCAGGTCCAAAGGAAACTTAAGTGGTTTTGCCCAGCTGAGGGTGCCAGCTTTATTTGCTAGCCAGCATCATAATTCATTAACTCCCCCAACTAAGGTCGTTTCGTCCTTCTCATCCGAGATTATCCCGCTATAAAGCCACAGCAGTCGGAGATAAATATGGACCAGGGAGATGCCCAACTGGCAGCCCGCGATTGCCGGAAGTCCGCTGGACATATCCCGGTGGTCTATTCGATGAATATGGCGGAGACGGATGAGAGCCGACTGCATCATCATATGAAGGCGGGTGATCTCCGAATTGTTCCCATAATGCTTGATGTCCCCCTGGTGGTTCCGGCTGCGCCCCCAACTCCTTCTTCATAGCCTTGCGAGCTTTGTGCCTGGCAGACATGGTCAGTACCTGTTGCACCGCAGAGATGCCAGACTCAACGTGGGCCTTACTTCCGATATTTCTGGTAGCCCATCATTGGCAATACAACGATTGCCATAAGAACAACGGCTGCCATCCTGTGAGATTGCTGGTGACTATATCCCAAAGATGGGAAGATGATTATGCCGTGGTCAGTGGTCAGTAGAGCGGGGTTATATAAATTCGATTATGGAGAATGGCAAGTCAGATAGTATTTGTCACTACCTATAGTGAATCTAGACCAGGATGAAATGCAAATAACCAGTAACCATGCGCCCCAAGCGCGTGGTCGGCGAGGCTTAGACGGCATAATCGAAGAGGCTGATGGTAGCGGAGAATCCACACTGTCTCTCCGACTCCCCGACGTCATGGGATAGTAGAGGTCGCACCTACCACATTTATTCAGGTACAGTACAGCACGGGTATCACCAAGCACGAGGTCTGAGCAAGATTACCGCCGCTGCTAATACTCGGAGCGTGCCTGTGTTCGTGTCCACTCACACGGCCAGATCCTGAAACCTCGTGCCTTCTTCAGCCTTCTCCCCTCCAGAACGGCGGGACGCGCCAGCCTCAGCGCCGACCTCTCCCACAATGCCGGCAACGCCACCAGCTTCACTCCAGGCGTATAATACCAGACACCCAGCCACGCGCGGGACACGGCTATCCAATGTCACGCCGTCGACAGGTACGAGGACTCCGGGGCAGGATCCTCGGACGCGACATCAGGACTCGCCCAGCGTGAATCCTGCCGCGAACGAAGAAGACGAGCGGGCGAACGAAGATAGCGAGGGCGTCGAAGACCAGGATAATGGGAGTGAAGAAGGAGACGAAGAGTCTGTAGAGGAGGAGGAGGAGGGTGACGTGGAAAGCGTGGATAGCCGCGCGGAGGATGATGACGGGGAAATGGCGATTGATGTTCCTCCAGTCGCTACACATAATGGAAGTTCGTATGCTGATACACCGTTAACTGAAGACTCGAATACTGACGGCTTGCTCCTTCATAGTGCCGGTGGAAGTAGATTCCGTGTTTGACCCAACGGGCCTGAAAGAGATTGGCAACTTGGCCTCGTGGACGGTGTCGACGTGCAAACCTGGGTCGGGCGTGGAAGCCTTGCGAGACGACGACACGTCTCTATACTGGCAGTATGCACATACCTCTTCTGTCTAATAAACAACTACTAATTTGTCTTGGACAGGTCGGACGGTCCACAACCCCATCATCTCAATATTCACTTTTCCCGCCTGGTATCGATACTGTCCATACGCATCTTCCTCGACTTTGAAGCCGACGAGTCTTATACTCCAACGCGAATCACATTACTCGCTGGCACAGGATATCACGACCTAATACCGTTTTCATCGCTGGAGTTTACACAACCTAAAGGTTGGATCAACGTACCTCTGGATGGTGTTGGTGGTGGTCCTGATGGGAACACGTTGAGAGCGTTTCTCGTCCAAGTCAAAGTTGTGGAAAATCACCAGAATGGCAAAGATACACACGTTAGAGGATTAAGGATATACGCCCGTGACGAAAAGACGGGTAGAAGCCTGGCTGGCTTGGAGGAATGGGGAGTAAGGGAGAAGAAGGGAGACGCGGCAAAGCCCTTAGTTGATAGGACAGCCGCTCTAGCGGAACCCGAATGGATGGAGGAAATAGAAATCCGGTGATCCATGCATTTTATGAGGTCAAGAAGGTCCAGCGGCGGGTGCCTTGTGTACAGTAAGATTTCAAGTTGATGACGTTGTGTGATACCCATGGCTTCGGTGAGAGCTAAACTAAAATTCAGCCCATTATAGATAGATTACTATGGAATTAAACCGACGAAAGGTACAGCACACAAATTCTCGCAAATTAGTCTTCACAGTGAAAGCTCCTATCATCACTCCGTCGCAATCAATTTGTTCCATACGACAAGGCTGAAGTTTGACGGCGGGGAAATCGGCGAGGCTGACAAGGCTGGAAAATAGTTTGTGCGCTATTCCAGATAAGAGCGCGCTACTCGAGTAGTGACAAGCATAATCGATAGCAGAAATATTCTGGAGAAATGCTGAAGTCCAACCGATAGCAAATACCCAAAATCAATCGAACGGATTTCCGTTCCCACAACCCTCATTATGGTCAAAAAGAGAGTTGGCGCCTTGGAAAAGGTCGACGCAGATCTGTATGTTTTCGCACATATTTTATTAGTTTGAAACTAGCATAACTGACCATTTGTAGGCCGAGTTTACAATACAAGATTCGAAGAGACCCCAAGTAAGTGCCCGTGAACCAGCCTCGCCGCCGCCGCGCAACACTAGTAAACTAACATGCTCCAGATCATATCAAGAAGATTTCCTCAATCAATATGGCCAATATCAAACTCAGCGAGACATTTACATGGCATCGCCCACGACAGCCACATCAGCTGGAATCGTTTCCTTCCGCGACCTGATCGATTTCGTGTCGCACGTCGCCGATTGCTACCCCGAAGATACGGCCAGCTTCCCAGATGATCTCAACAACATCCTGACGACACATCATGCCGTGCTTGAAACCGAGTTGCGCGAAAAGGTGGCTGGCGCCCTCGTCCTTCTCCGCCGCAAGGATATCATCGACTCGTCTGGGCTCCTCAACATCCTCTTTCCTATCTTAGTCACCACACCCAGTAAAACTCTCAGAGCTCTACTGTTCACCAAGATTCTCTCTGAGTTACGGACTTCGAATGCGAAGACGACAAATCATAAACTGAACCGAACGATACAGACCGTTTTGTACAACCTTCTCACCTCAGACCGCACCTCTTCGAAAGGTATCTGGGCAGTCAAAATCACAAGAGAATTATGGAAACGCCAAGTATGGACCGACTCTAAAGCCGTTGAAATTATGAAGGAGGCCAGTTTAGCGGACAATGAGAAGGTTATTGGTGGTGGTGTCAGATTTTTCTTGGGCGGTGACAAGGAACGAGAGGACATGGAGGACGAGGAGAGCGACCACGAAAATATCAGCATTGGAAAGTTAAAGCATCAAGTTGGAATTAATAAAAAGTCGAAAAAGAAAGTCAAGGGATTGGAGAAAGCCGTGGATAAAGTCAGACGGCAAGAGCGCAAGAAGAATGCGCCCCATGCGCTTAATTTCTCGGCCCTCCACTTACTCCACGACCCCCAAGGGTTTGCAGAGACACTATTTTCGAAACATCTCCAAAATGGCAAGTCCAAGCTCAACTTGGAGCAGAAGCTTCTGGTCCTCCAGCTTGTTTCCCGCCTCGTTGGTCTTCACAAGCTCACGGTTATTTCCCTATACTCCTACTTCACCAAATACCTCACGCCACGACAGCCATCAGTAACGTCGTTCCTCGCATCTCTCGCTCAAGCAACCCACAGCCTGGTTCCTCCCGATGCCCTAGAGCCGCTCGTCCAGAAGATCGCCAACGAGTTCGTCTCGGAGGCTGCGGCTTCTGAGGTAGCAGCAGCTGGTCTCAATGCCATTCGCGAGATCTGTGTTCGCCAACCGCTGGCTATTAGCGACACGCTATTGCAGGATTTGGTCATGTACAGGAAGAGTAAGGACAAGGGAACTATGATGGCCGCGAAGGGACTGTTGTCGCTCTACAGAGAGGTCGGCGCTGATCTGCTCCAAAAGAGAGATAGAGGCAAAGAGGCTACGATGGGTATCCGAAGCGGCGAGCGTAAGGAGAGGAGATACGGAGAAGAGGAGGCCGGCGGTATTGAAGGCCTTGAGCTGCTCGAGGAGTGGAAGGCCAACGAGCGCAAGAGAAAGCGTGTTGAGGCTGGTCTACCAGAGGAACTAGGCACCGATGAGGAAGAAGAGGAAGAAGACGATTGGAACGCATGGGACGCCCAGTCCAACGCTAGTACCGACTCTGGCGGCTGGGTCAACGTCGAAAGCGACGTCGAGATCGAAATCAGCGACAGCGAAGACGAGGGCGGCAAGAAGCCCCCCGCAAAGAAAGTGAAATTCGCCGACACACCCGCCGACGGCGGGGAGAACGAACTCACCGATGCCGCCAAGAAAGCAGACAAAGAGCTCGAGTCTAAGATTTCGATACTGGCCACGACGAAGATCCTCACCCCCGCTGATCTGGCCAAGCTTCAGGAGCTCCGCCTCGAAGCCGAGGTCAACAAAATCACCGGGAAGAAGGGTCTAACCCAGCGGCAAAAGGAGGCGCTCGCTCGCCACGCTGATGACCCGTTGACGGCGGATCAGATTGAGGGATTCTCGAAGCTGAGGAAGAACACGCGCGATGAGAAGATTGCGATGGCGCGTGAGGGCAAGGGCGAGAGGGGCGAGCATAAGTCGACGAAGGCGCTGCGTCGGGCGAAGAATGAGGCGGAGGGCAAGAGTACGACGAATAAGGAGAAGTCGCGGAAGAAGAACTTTATGATGACGCTGGGGAAGGCGAAGTATAAGCAGAAGAGGAGTTTGGTGCAGACGAAGAGGGTGTTACAGGGACATCTTAACAGGGCTAAGAGGGGTGGTAAGAGAGGAAATATTGGTATGTAAGGGGCGTTTGGAAAGTAGTGATGAGTTATGGATGGCTGCCGTTCAGTGTCGACAACCAACGAAACGACTGTTAGAATATAAAAGAAATACCATGTTATTCACATTACAAGACTTATTTCTACAAGGGGAACCCAGAATGACTATGTCTTGAATTCTCTTATATATGATGGCCTCTGAATTCGAGTCATTTCGCTTGTCCTCATTATGCATCACTCCTAAACCCAGCCACAGACAACCAAGGTGGCAATTACACCCCATGTTTAGGCCACCACCATGGCAGCCAATATACCCCCCGCCTATTTTTTATTATTGTCATGGGTTGTAAGTCATGCTTGTGACTTACAACCCATGACAATAATAAAAAACGCCCCTCCCAACCTATACCCATGGATCTGCCTTTGAAAAAGCACCAGAAAACTCCTCCCAATGAATGCTGCTGCCAAAATTACATCCCTGACGGCCTTTGCATCCCCGACCCGTTCATATTCCCATTCATATTCCCGTTCATGTTCATATTTCCCTGCATCCCCATATTCATGCCCATATTCATCCCCTGGACCATACCAGGGTGCTGTTGGCCGGACATCATGTGCCCCTGTTGTTGCTGCTGCTGCTGCTGCTGCTGCCTCATAGCCTGCTGTTGCTGCTGTTGTATCAGAACCTGCTGCCCGATTTTTTGCCTGGCGGATAGCTGACATTGCTGCTTGAAATGGTTCAGCGCATCGGGTGGTGCTTGCCCCCCAGCGTACTGTGACATAAAGCTCGTTATCTGGGATTGATAAATCTGGCGTGCCATAGCCTGAATTCGCTGCTGGACTATGCTTGGTTGACCTTGTTGCATCTGTCCCTGCTGTTGTTGTTGCTGCTGCTGTGCTTGCAGTGCAGCTTGGTGCTGTGCCTGTTGGACCATCTGTGGAGTCATGGCACCTCCACGGCCCATAAAACCTTGTCCATTTGGTTGCATAGAGTTCTGTGCTTGAACTGCGGCCATTGCCCTCATCTGAGCGTTGTAGTTGATGGCCATTTGGTTGCCGCCCATCATTGCAGGATTGCCCTGTTGCATCTGGTGCTGTGCTATCTGCTGCTGTAAGGCCATCTGCTGAGGAGACATTTGCTGGCCATTCATAGGGGAGGAGTTCATAGCTTGCTGGGCTGCTTGCTGGCGCAGACGTTGCTGCTGTTGCTGCTGTTGCGCGATGATCTGGGCTTGCTGCATCTGCGTGTTCATCATATTTTGGTTGGGCATCATGTGAGCACCACCACCCATTTGTGGAACTTGAACCATGTGTCCTGGCATTGGGCTCGTCTGGCTCATCCGAGGAGTCTGCCTTAATGCCTCTTGAGACATATTTGGAGTTCCTTGAGAGATCCGAGGAGTCCCACCATGACTCTGCTGGCTTCCTTGAGCCCTCATAGCATGAGCCACAATCGGAGTCATCTGTGGATTCTGTGGAACGACAGATCCTGGGCGTGGGGGGCTGCCGCCCAGACTTGACGTGGAATGCCGCATCTGGACATCGATATTCCCGGCCGTCATAGGGGATGAGGTATTGTGAGGAGTAGCATTCTGAACAATTGGGGAGGATGTTGGTGCCTGAGACAACTGCTGTTGCTGCAGGAACCTTTGCTGCTGTGTTGTCATGCCATTGGCAGCATTCGGCAAACCCATGGCAGGAGCTGGATGCCCATGAGGCCCAGCGCCCTGTATCCCTTTCATGGCCTGCTGGTTTTGTGTCTGTTGGGCTGCCATTTGGCGGCGGTGGTTTTCTTGTTGGCGAAGATTTTGCTGTTGCTGTTGCTGCATACGCAACTGTGCCTGATTGCGGGCATTTTCTTCAATATCGCGCTTGTTTTGTTCTTGCTTCGCCTTTTCTCTCGCTTCTGACTCTTGCTGTTGTTTCTTGGCAGCTTCCGCTTGCAAAAGCTTCTCTCGTTTCTTGTTTTCCACCACTTGAAGCTTAATGCTTTCAATGGCCTTAAATCTTTCGAATCGAGGCTCAAAGGAAGCCCCACCCACTTTACTGTCCCCGTCAGCTGCTGTTACTACCCCAGCTGCGCCATTGCTAAACCGCTCGTCCAAAATAAGCATGTACTGCTCCTCATCAGCGGCAGCAGATTCTTCTGCGGCCATCTCCGCAACCGTCTTCTTGCGAGACTTGGGAGAAGGAACTGGGAATGAGTGATCTGGATGAGCAAGGGCTTCTAGCAACGCCGCCGAGGCTGCGGCACTCTCGACAGGCTCTAAGAACAGGGGCGCTGTAGTCGCCAGAGTTATGCTCGACTCAACTGGGTATATATTCTTTGAATCTATCTCCATCTTTTCGCGCTTTTGTCTTTTAGCAGGAGGTGGATCCATGCCTACACTAGCACTGGACGGCCCTGCCAGAATTGGAGTCTGTGGGGGAGCCATTCCGTTGACATCTTGATGCGATTCTCGGCGGCCTTGGGATTGATTTGCAAGAGGGGTGGTCGCCTTGATCGCAAGGTCAACATACGTTGACATAGGCGTCGGATGGAGAACCATGGTGGATATCTTTGCCTTTTTCGCATTGGACCTACTCCTCTGGTTATCAGACGGCTGGCCTGGCGCAGGCATGTTTTCTTTGTCTTTATCCTCAGCAGTTTTGCCTTTTTCTGATTCAGCGGGTACCCCTGGAATAGCGATGGACTTTGTCAAAGCGACTAGATTCTCCTTTGGATAAGGAACCCATGGAGACGGCGTAAGGTACGCATTGGAGTTATGTATCGACATTGGCTCCGTCTTATCACTGCTATATAGATTTTGGGAGGACTCCCGTGCGGTTGCAATGGATTTATGGTCATGGACCTCGACTATCAAACATCCTAGGAAAGTTAGCCATGGGCCAAATAATTTTGTCACCTCCGCTACGTACCTTCGTAGAAAGTGGTGTTCCACATGTTGAAATATTCCAACAAATCTTGCGGTACCGTCCCGGATCTCAGATGCTCAATGAAAATCTTCATTGGGGATTTGTAGGAGAACGTGCCATCCTGTTGGTCGAATCGGAAATGCGTCGGGTGTAGGTGGACAATGAGAGACGCGGGGCATCCGCGGTATTTCTTCAAGATATAGCTATCGGGTCGAACTAGACAATGTTAATAAAATACTCCTATACGCGTGATAGAAGTCCATACTGTAGGGCGGAGGTTGGGCGGTTTGTACGGTTTGAATGTCTGGAATCAAGCTGGACGACCTCACACCAGCGCTCGCCGTCCTCTGGCCGCGGCCCAGAATTTGCGGCGGGGCATCGCGACGAGGTCGCGCAGGAGTTCGAGATACACCATTTGCCGTGGAATTGCTCATGGCCGACGTCGGTGGAAGAATTGGCGGCGGCTTCTTTGTTGGAATTGATGGCGAGGTGGACACCGGGGTCGCGACGCCGTTTGCGCCTGAAGATGAATGCATCTTTTCGGGGCGCTTGATTTTACTCATCTTGCATTAGCAGGCCTGCGGCGACCGCTGTCGCTGTCGCTGTCGTCGTTGTCGTCGTCTATTCGATGTGTTCTTCCGTCGCGTCTACTTGATTGAGGTCATGGGGACGAGGCAGAACTTCGGGATGAGGTTGATGAACGATGTACCTTGTTGTCTGAAACGAAGGCGAGCCACAACCAAGTCCAAATGCCACGTGATATTTCATGACTATGACTATAACTACTATAATGCCATAACTACCATAACTACCCTACTTTAGTCATTTTGACTGGAGTAATTTAACTACTCTAGCCCAAAACTACTGTAAGCTATACTGTAGTTTAATAGCTTCCCATGCGCCCAAATTCCGTTATCAGAGAAATACTGCCTTGCTGTGGAAATATCATACAAAACATAACAGTTTCAGTTCAACTTCAGTCTTTGCCTTCAATCCGTCTTGACCAGTCATCTCCAACCCGGAGGTTCTCCATGACGAAGACGTGACGGCCCCTTCCAACACGCTCTTCCTTCTCCCACCACTTCTCTACCTTCTTCTCTGGGATAGCTTGCTCCGCTTCCGACTCACTATCGGCGAGGCCGCCAACACCATGGTCGCCTCCGACAACGACCACAACATCACCACGTAGCCAGGTTTGGAGGTGTGTGATCACATCCCCTTCCTTTCCGCTCAATGCCTCCTGTAAGTAGATGACATCGGGAGCCAGGTGACGGAGGATGTGGACATGCCCGCCTTGCGTTGTGAACGGGAAAATCATCGTCTTCTTCTCGACAACATCTTCGGCCTCTGTCCATAGCGCGTTGAATGCAGGTGTATCTGGGTCGAGCTCACTGGGCTGATATTAGCAAGATGTCGTGAATAGACGGGGATATAGCTTACGTAGCCTTTTCGCCCTCCTCGGCGGGTGTCAGAGCCTGGTCGGGATCAATGTTGGAGAACGAGGAACCGAGAGACCCCGCAGGCTTTGCTGCGGCAGCATCTAGAGGATGGTGCTTAAGATCAGGCGAGAAGATTAGAACGAAGAGCTGGATTCTTGAGAAGTCGGTCCTTTGTGGTAGGTAGGAGAGGATAGACTGTAATTATGTTAGATACTCGAATATATGCCATTTTAGTTCCTGGAAAGTGTATACATACTGCATGCGTTTGACTGTAGTCCAGACCATCATCGACACCGTCCAGATCCGCATCTGCAGACACGACAACAGCGACCTTGATCTTCTTTCCGTTGTTGGATGCCCCCTTTCCGGCTGCGGCGACCGATTTGGTTTGTACAGGTGAAATAGTCGGGCTGGCTCCTGCTCCCCGAGCCTCAGCTTCCTCAGACCAGGTTTTGTGGTCCTTATAAGCGTTCTTGTCCTCCTCTCTGATCGACGACAGAGCGTTTCCAACCGCCGCGCCGGCCGCGGTTATGCCGGCTGAGACAGTTCGACTGGCGCCCTCGAGGAATTGCTGAGGGCTGGGTGTACGCTTTAATGCACGAGCGACATAGCTCGACGGCTCATCGGCGTGTCTTGGAGGTGCGCCATAGCCTTGCTCTCCGGATCGTGGGTCGGTGCATGTCGGAGGAGGCCCTTGGGGATCGCGATAACCATCTCTGCGTTCATCTCTGCGCCTTCGGTAGTCATCTTTATCCCCGTCGTCATCGTCCCTTTCGCTCCAAACCCACGTCGCGAATCCAATCGTCGCGACGGCTACGGTCAAAATCAGGGGCATCCAATGTCCAACCGGGCCTCTAGTCCGCCGCGATGGGCGATCGTAACCATCGTGAGGCGGCATTTGGGTGTACCGCTTTGCTCATCTGCTTTCAAAAACCAAGATTTTACAAGAAATAATGTGTTATATGTAAGATTGGTGTTTGGCGCAACAATTGGGGATGAGAGGAGGGGGGTATTAGAGAGTGTGACTTTGTTGACATTCTCCCCAGCTTCGCTGGTTTTCAAAGCCTCGGTCGCCAGTCCAACAGCCGCATTAGTGAATCCTTTAGCCCCGCCTTACTTTATGTACACAACAATGCGATCATGAGAAGCAATAATGCTGGCTATATGGCTACAAAATTTCGTTACAACGATTAATTAATCTTTATGCTTCATTATTGATATAATACAATTTGTTGGAATAACAGTCGCTAGCACAATAAAACGGTTTGCGGTTATGATGTTGGTCCATGTCTCGTTGCTATGGACATTTGACACCAAAACGTCAAATTTGCACGTGATACAAGTAACCAAATTTTTGAAGTCCACCGATTTGATATCAGATTGACTCGCGGGCCATAACACTCTACGACCATACCACGACATAAGCTGAACTTGATTTTCGGCAGTGAAATTGATAAATTCGAAGGGTCTACCGCATTTATCTGTTCAGGCGGACATTTAAACTGTCCAAAGCAGGCCACAGGGGACCCTGCTTGTTAGCCTTCTCAACAGTAGAAGTCAACTCCTTAATAGTACCCGACACAATGCCTCATGCTCTCTCGATGCCGGCGCCTGGCTTCCAGGCCATAATCCTTTGCGGGCCGGGAGTTTCGTTCGATACCTTCACCTCCAAGCCAGAGGAATCGCCAAAGGCACTTCTGCCGATCGCGAATCGACCCATGGTCTGGTACCCCCTGGACTTCTGCTACCGCATGGGAATCACAAGTATGGGCTTCTTTTTATATGCTATTATCTCCTCTATCTTCATTTATGCTTCTATGGCTCCCTTATGCGCAATGATCTATTATTGTCGTGCGTTGCACGTGATTTAAATGGCCCTGTTGCCGTTTACTTCCCCAGTTGTTTTACTAGTTGCCAGGTTGGCATCAGATCGAGATATAATATGGAAACTATGACACTATCCTAACTGCCACATAGAAATCCACCTAGTTGCACCTCCAACGTCAGCCCCAGCAATCCAAGCAGCGTTAAATACCAACCCACACCTCACAGCATTACCTTCACCAAAGCCGGATCTAATTGCACCGGTAGACTTGGACCAGACCACCGGAACAGCACAGATCTTTCGCCTACCAGAGGTTCTTAAAGAGATAAAAGGCGACTTCATTGTCTTGCCTTGTGATCTCGTCTGTGAATTAGGCGGAGAGGCACTTCTCGAGACATGGATGATCCGGGAAGCAGGTCTAGGTGGTGCCACTGGTGGAGGAGAAGAGTTCAACGGACCTAAGATGGCAATTGGTGGTGAGAAGGGAGGAAGGAGGGGTGGACTGGGAGTCTGGTACGAAACGAAGATTGAAGTACCGAAGGGAGAACTTGGAGTGAAGGGAGAAGAAACTGATTTCCTGGCTACGGCGCCAATCGAGCAAGGCCCAGTACCCGCTCACCAAAACTCGCTTTTGCGCGATACATCAAAGGTTGTATTGTCGTTTCCAACGGATACGCTGAATGATACCGTCGAGATGAAAAATATGCTGCCTGTACGACAAAGTTTGGTCGCAAAGCATGGCAATGTCCGGATGCTCACGACGCACCGCGATGCGCACATCTACATTTTCCCAGCTTGGGTCCTTGATATGATCAACAAGAATGACGATATGGACAACCTCAGCGAAGACGTCATCGGCTGGTGGGCCAAGGCAAGCTGGCAGAATGGCTTCGCCGAGAGGCTTGGGCTGCGCGAAATCTTCCACGGCGAAGAGCCGAGTAACGACGAGGAAGCCCTCGAGAGGGACGAGGAGTCAAAGGAGGATATAGACATTGCCGCTATAAGTACTACATCAGTATCTAGAGTCGAGACTCTCAAGTCAAGCATCACCATCTCCGCCACCGAGCAAAGCCCTCAAATCGACGCCCAAGACAGCAGCACCACCGAAGCTACTACCGATCCCCTGATCGTACCGCCATTTCTCGCATTCATCCACAAATCCCAGCCCTACGGCACACCCGGAGCCCCTGTAGTGCGACGCGTGGATACCGCGCCGCTCCTGCTCATGATCTCGCTGCAACTAGCCAAGTTGGAGGCGATCGACCAAGTTGGCCGTCAAGACGCGTCACCGCTCGCCCACGCAAGCAAAGTTGCGTACCCGCAGGGTATCGCAGGTCGCTGCACGGTGACGCGCCAGGACTGTCTACTGGCGGACAACGTGACGGTCGAGGAGCGCTCGGCTGTCAAGGAGTGTGTTATTGGCGCCAACTGTAAAGTTGGGGAGGGCGCGAAGCTGTTCCGCTGTGTGCTGATGGAGGGTGCCGTGGTAGGAAAGGGGTGTAAGATCTCCGGATCTATTCTTGGACGTCGCTCGGTCGTGGGGAATGATTCAGTTCTGCAGGATTGCGAGGTAGAGGATAACATGAGGATTGAGGCTAAAAGTAAGTTCTTCCCTGCCTGTCCCTGCGATTTGGTTCTAGGGAGCTTGTGTACGTGGCTACGTTTACTAACAATCATTCCACAGCCGAGGCTAAGAACGAGAAGTTCAGGAGTTCGGAAGGTCTCGAAGCAACGGAGGAGGAAATGGCAGATGCTTTTGCGGATGAGATCGACCATGAGGCTTGATGCAAGAATAGTGTGCGGCTTTGAGTCACGGTTTCAGACCATTCCTCCCAATGGCTGGATTATTTTAACAACAATGGAAAAAGACTTGCCGGCAAATGCCCCCTCGCATGAGGACCGCTGAACATTGAATTGCCGCGGTGAAGTCTCCGCTAGAAGCAAAATAGACTAACTCTTGGGATTGTTTTTCGTCTCTTGTTGTGTCAGTGAATGTACTGCTGAAGTGTCTAGACCCCGAGTCTCAACTTAGCATTTTGAGACCTGGGGTCTCAAAATGCTAAGTCGGTGGATGCAGGGTTCTCCATGTACTAACTGAGACCATATTTTCAACCCATATGGAAGGATTCGCTAATGGCCTCTTCACCCTTTCACCATGGGACTCCTAATCTCTAGATGGTTCTCCTTGCCTGCTTAGCTTTATGAGGGAGGCGTGGGGGACATGTGCTTTGTACAGTGCCTTGGTAAATGGAGCAGATGTTTCAGGGGCGGCTGGCTAGCCATTTCAACCAACAGTGAAGGAGACACAGGAATGTGAGAAGTGAAGCACTGCGCCAGCTACTGCCTCAGTCGATAAGCAAACATGACATACTTTGTACAGTGGAACAGATCAGAATTTTCATTAGCCGCGGCCATCGAGAATAATGAACCAGTAGTGGCGTCCTTGGGATCAACCGTTGAGATCACCAGAACCGTACTGCAGCCACAGGTCAATACGGCTGTACTCCGGTGTGGAGGAACGCCATGCGTCCCCCATTCCACCTGATGAGAATGCATTGTAACACAAGAAAGCCGTGTCAGCAGACCAGACAGACGAATTATTGACAAAGAAACAGATGTGAGACAGAATGGTTGACAGGGAGGGCATGGAAACCCGTGCATGGGTCCTATGAGAACTCTGCCTTTCTGTTCCTCCAAAGTGATAACAGTGCAGACCGCAGCATACAGTATGTACGAGTTCGGGGACAGTACAGGGTTGATCAGCATTGCGTCGGGTGTATGGAGTATGGGGCCCTCTACAGGGATCAATGGGTTGATCACGGAGCCCTGCATATGGCAAGTGTGGACTCGGTTCGTGGAAGCGATGTAACCTGGGGGGGGATTTGCTGGGGTAAAGGCGCCTGAAGCAACCGCGCGGAAGGTCGGAAATCCACTCAATAACGAAGTGACAAGAAGTCGAACGCTTTTGCCGGCATTAGTACGTTGTTGTCGGCTTCCGAGTCTCTGGGTTGGGCATGTTTCCACGTCTTTTAGGGAAGCCGACAGTCCGCGCCGTGAACTCTAGTGCATAGACCAGGTCAAATGATTCGGATGGGTGTTTCTTTGCCCGATGTTAAAAACCACTACGAGGCTTCAAGGGAGTGGCGAAGTCGGAGCTCAGACAAAGGTATTGTCTGCTTGATCCTTGTGTGGAATGGATAGTCTAAGACTCTGGGCGCGTACCTTCACCGCATGGCATGGTTTGAGAGTGTTACAAGGCTGGAAGTCTCATGTTTGTTGTTGGCCAGTTCAGGAGAGCAAACACCGATGCATGTTCACACACAGAGCAGAGGCCATCTTTACCAAGTTGCGATAGAGACCCACATTATAAACAGCGGTCAAGGGCCAGGAGGGAGAAAGGCTTTGCCGCCGAAGCCGTAGCAGATGGCGAGCATGCTGCCGATCCCGAACCGAAGCATACACACTCTCTCATCTTGCCCGGTTAGAATTGACCTTCTGTTGCCTTGTCAGATCCCATTAAACGCTTGGGCTTCCGCGTCCACTTGCCTGCTAGATCTCCAGCCTTAATGGCTTAAGCGTTGCGGTTTGTGGCGATGCAAGGTGACATGTTAGTTTTGCTAGAACGGAGGTGATCTAGGTGAGAATCGTATTGTACTGCAACAAACAACACTGGTCGTAAATACACTATGAACCAAGTATGCATGGTGAGTAGCGTACCATTCATTCGCACATTTTAAACGCGCTGATTACACAGATAAGAGAATGGAGAGAAGACGGATGATTACAACCGCGGTTGCAACTATCTGATACATACTGCATATCGGAGTCCATACCAGAAAGATCAGCCAGCCATACACGCAGATGTCGGTTTTCGGGGTCCTGGCCCCACACAGATTATTTTACTTCAAAAGTATTTATTTACTTTTGAGTGTTTACTTCGTGGTGTAGGTCCAATCTCTTCCAGCACATACATTACGTCGGTGGCATCTCGACCGAGTACATGATACATACCCCCAAGTGTATTGGGAGCGAAAACGACCAGTCTCAGGGGCTAGCTTGACTCTCTGTACGAGTCCTCTGCCTCTGTATGTACAGCACCGCATTGTACTGTACAACACAAGTAACCTCATCTGTCCAGATCGTCTCACGTTTCACCACCTTCCTGTCGCACTACAAATGTGATCAAGACTGAACCATCCCGCTGGGACACCACTAGAATCGCTCTTGACCCCTACTCAACAGTCGCGCTAAGCGATCTCGATCTCACAAAATGTGACCAGATCTATAGGCCGCTCGTGGACTCGGTGTCGTTGATTTCCGGTACCTTTCTGAGGACTGGCCTCGTTCAGACTTCCCATCAGCCCCCAGCCACTCTCAGAATGCTAGCCCATTACTGGAGGAGCTCGTCCCAAGACGTGCATTGTGACTGGCGGCGGCCGTCAGATGCGATGCGGGACCCACGGTGCTAGTCTGCACATCAGATGCATCGCAAAACACAAGTCTGGCAGTTGGCCGTGTTGAAGTTAGGTCCAGCCTTGAGACACACAATACTGGTGCACAGAAATATGACAGACTGTTCCAAAACAGGCAAGACGCGGCTACACCGAACATTCGGAGACCTAGCAGATCAGTTCCAAGGCTCTATCATTCGCTGCTTAGCCTGAGACAGCGGCTATCGTAGTCTGAAAAGGTACATTCAATTATCATCCCATCCCCTCATACAGCCTTGAGGCCAGAATCCCAGCCAAACATGACGAACAGGTACCATACTCGAACCCCGGGAATGGTTGGAATTGCTGGAACGGATGTTCCTTCTCTTCTCAGCCTGCTCATGCATGCCATGCCATCCATGCCCTCGATGCAACCCAGAGTTGTCAGGGCATGGGGTGAAGGTGCTATAGAGGGAAAGGATAACTGCATAGGGGAAACATGGTATCGGTATCAACTATACGGATGCCAACGGCATATTCTCGATTTCAAAACACTCGCGGCATGCCTTTAGCCAGGTCGAAACAGCATTCCTAGGCCCATAGGAAAGCGACAGGATGCCGGGCAACATACCTAGTTGAACGTGATGCGGTCACAGCGCCATTGTGCTCTTTCCAACAACAGCCTATTCAGTCGTCTTTAGTCACACTGAAACGTTAGTTGATATATCATTCTTAATCTCCCCCAGCCCTAAGACTCCCGCTCAACTTAGACTAACCCCCGTCTTCCAACCATTGCAAGGCCCACTCTGAAAGACGCTAGAACACCTGAACCTTCGAAACTGCGTCGATGACAGTGCCGCGCCGCCGTTTTTGACGCGAGGGGCTCCATTCTGTTGCTTAAAAGATCCCCCCGCCCGCCTCCAAGGGGTTGTTGCCTCGATGCAAGGTACACTACAAGATTCAACGCTCCAAGCTTCTTGTGGAAACTAGCAGCATTCCCAAGAATTCTTAACTATCCTAACTAGACGACTAAGTTTGCATTCCTTGCTCTTTAATCCCAAAGAGGAGAGGAAGAGAAGCCTCCGCACAGTCCCCCAACCACCTCAAGAGGTTTCAGAGAAGGGCGTACAACACGCAGTGTGTTCAATTATAGCCATCAACCAGGCAAACCTGACCCAATCCGTGAGTCTGCATCTAATTTGGCTAGTTCCAGCACAACATGATTTACATGGCTCTTCCCGTCCTTCTCGCTGCAATGTATAAATGACTCTCATCTGCTCTTTCTCATTCCAAATCTTCCCCAAACGCTCTTCTTCCAACCACTATCCTTTCAAAGATATCCTTGGCGGGCCCTCTCAGGTTCCCCCTGCTGTGTCTCCTCTCAATCTCTCCGATTCGTATGTTTATCACCGAGATGCGGCGCCCATGGCGACCTACATGTTGCTGACGTGACTCCCTAGACCGTTACCAACACCCCTATACTCCCTACCGCCTCATCCATCATGGCAATCAGCCCGATGGATGACCACATGAATCAAGGAGGCCCCTATACTCACCACAACGATTCAAACCCCGCCCTCTCCAACACCGCATCCTTCGACTCTTATAGCTCTGGCGACTCGACGACGTCCTGGGACGTAGCTACTCCGTCACCGTCGCGAAGCGACTTCTTTGGCACCTACGACAGGGACGGCTTCTCGGCTTCGCCGGCTCCCATGTTCACCAACTCGCTGGGCCATCAATTCAACGTTCCCTCTACCCACGGTCTCAGCATGGGAGATTCGTCGATGATGTATGCGGAATCCTTCCATAGAAGCATTTCGGGTCAAGATCATATGACCTATGAACTCCAGCAAGTCACTACATTCCCATCGAGGGCCACGAAGTCCATCCACAACGACTCACTGCTAACTTCCCCGTAGCGCACCACTTCCATTGCCCATCGGCTCTCCAGCTTTCCTCCCAGAACAACACTACGTGAGCCCAGGTCAAACATGTTTCGACCCCTTGCGGCCAACACCCCCACCCCTAGATGGCTACTACGACGACCAACCCCGCTACTACATGTCACCCGTCCAAGCCACCTCACACCCCTCCCACTACGCCTCCTCGTCCTACAACAACTACTCCTCCGCCCCCGCCATCCCACCCCCCATCAGCATGCGCCGCCGCCGCGACCACCGCCGCGCCCGCAAACACCCCTCCCACAGCCCAACAATCGTCATGTCCGACCACGGCTACGAAGCCATCAAAGTCCCCGTCGGCCATTTCGAATGCACACAGGCCGACTGCAAAAGCAAAGGGCAAAAGTTCAAGCGCCAAGAGCACCTGAAGCGACACATGCTGACGCACACGCAACCGCGCGACGTCGGGTGTCCGTTCTGCCCGAAGCGGTTCCAGGAGAACCGAAAGGATAATCTGAAGGCACATCTGCTGCTCCATAGTAAGCCGAATGCGGATCGTAAGCGGACGGCGTATGCGCCAGGGGCGGCGGAAGCATTGGAGAGGTTGGGGGGGTTGGGGAAGAAGGGCGATTGGGAGGCGGAGAGGGGGGATGTTAAGGCCATTTGTGAGCAGGCTAGGCGGAAGGGGGAGAGGGAGAGGGGGTTGTGAGTTAGCGGGAATGAGGGTGATAGATGGGGGGATGAGGGAGTTATGATACCCAAGGACGACAGAGGATAATGATGGCATGGGATAATATATATGTGGTAATGGGAAAGATGAGGAAAACAATACTTAGAAAGGGGTTGGGTGGGGTTTGGGAAAGAAGAGGGGAATATCTGGTTTTGCTTTTTGTTTGTTTTTTTGGGGCGCGGCAAAAATAATATAGATAGAATATGCCCACATTCCGTTGGGTATTGGTCATAGGAGGGGGGCTTGCCATAATTATTACTAGAAATCGATATTTTTGTCTGTTTAATTTCTGCATTGTGCCTGGTATGTTGGTCGTGAGATGATGGCGGAGGCAGGGGACGGATGGATCTTTGGTTTGGTTTTGGTGAAGATGATCATATTTATGAACTGTCAGTAACGTGGTTTATCATACGTCGGACATATCAGTACCTCGGACACTTTTCCCGAATTTCCTACCCTCTAACTTCACAACGCGTTTTTTCCACCTTTTATTATGTCAGTGATTACCCAAGAAGCAAAAATCATTCTAGCTATCGAGGCTATCCGAACATCAAAAAATCTAAGTCGTCGGAAGGCTGCTAAGCTCTATGAAGGACCTCATTCTACACTCTGTGACAGAATGAACGGCTGAACTACTGTCTACGAACGCCGGCCTGCAATGATGAAATTAACTATACTAGAAGAGGAGGTGGTTATTCGGAATATACTTGATATGGATTCAAGAGGATTTGCACCCCGGCTTGCTGGTGTAGAAGATATGGCAAATTTTATACTCGAATCGCGTGGAGGGAGGCGTGTCGGGAAGCTCTGGGCCCACCGATTTGTACAACGACGTCCAGAATTGAAGACGCGTTTTAATCGCGTTTACGACTTCCAAAGGGCCTTGTGCGAAGATCCTAAACTAATTGGCGCATGGTTTCGACTAGTGGAAAATATGAGGGCAAAATATGGTGTTTTGGACTGCGACTTCTATAACTTTGACGAAACTGGGTTTATGATGGGTGTGATTTGCCCTGCAATGGTTTATACCCGTGCAGATCGACTTGGCAGAGGTAAGGCAGTTCAGCCAGGGAATCGGGAATGGGCTACAGCGATTGCTTGTATCAACAGTGACGGCTGGAGTATTCCTCCATTTTTGGTAGTTAAAGGCAAGAATCATCTTGCAAATTGGTATACAGATGGCGGCCTTCCACACAACTGGGTTGTTAAACCGACAAGCAATGGATGGACAAACAATGAGACGGGTCTAGAATGGTTGAAACACTTCGACAAACATACTGCTGTTCGTGCAAGGGGTCCATATCGAATGCTGGTGTTAGACGGGCACGGGAGTCATGAATCGGCCGAGTTCCAAGAGTACTGCAAGGCACACAACATTATAACTCTTGGACTACCTCCCCACTCGTCTCATTTAACTCAGCCACTTGATGTCGGGTGCTTTAGTGTGTTGAAGCGGGCATATGGTCGGCAGATTGAGACCTTCATTAAGGCTCATATCAACCACATTACCAAGGTCGAGTTCTTTCTCACCTTTAGAGCAGCATATCTGGAATCCATGACAGCCCAAAACGCCCAGTCCGGGTTCCGCGGAGCTGGCTTAGTGCCTTTCGACCCGCAAGCAGTGCTTTCAAAGCTTGACGTGAGGTTACGGACTCCAACTCCCTCTAGACCCTCTACTGCCAACACCAACCCTTGGGTCTCCCAGACCCCTTCCAACCCAACTGAAGCTCTTTCACAAACAACCCTCGTTCGAAATCGAATTGCCCGTCACCAAGGAAGCTCGCCAACTCCACTCTTCGGGACAGTTATTGCATTGGCAAAGGGTACGGAGCGACTAGCACATGAGAACACCCTTCTGTCTGCTGAGGTACGTACCCTTCGAGCAGCCAACGAAGCCCTTAGCAAACGCCGCAGGGCTAAAAAGGCTCGTGTCCGTGAAGGAGGTGCACTTATAGTAGAGGATGCACAGGCTATTATTGCACAGAAGGATGTGGATGAGCAGGTACGACGCGACGTACGTGCGGTTGGGGGTAGTCGCAAGGAGGGGCAACCGTCTAGGCGATGCTGTGGGATCTGTGGAAAAGCTGGTCATAATGCGCGAACTTGTCAAGAAGCTATAGATATGTCTAGTTCATCTGATTCCGCTTAGTTATAGTTAATTTAATATGTTATGGTTGATTTATTGATATTCAAAGTAGAATGCCAATGAAAAGTGTCCGAGGTACTGATATGTCCGACGTACTGATAAACCACGTTAACGTGCATGTATAACGAAAGTGCCAAACAAGCGAAAGTGCCAAAATCATGCGGTGACCAACCCCCCCAACTAAATGTTAAATTCCTCCACAACAAAACATGCGCCATAAAAATGATGAAAGCAAATTAGTGCTAGCTATCCAAGCTATGCAAAGCGACCCAAATTTGCGCCTTCGAGTTGCAGCTAGGATCTATTCCGTAGACCACCGCAAGCTACGTCACCATTTACAAGGTGTACCTTCACGACGCGATATCCAAGCCAACTTACAGAAATTAAGTAACCTAGAGGAATCAGTTCATGGGCGGGCAAAGGCAAAAAAGGTGCAGCCTGGCAATCGGGAATGGGTTACAGTAATCCAAGGCGTTAGTTCTCAAGGTTGGGCAGTGCCGCCATTTGTCATTGTGGCAGGTAAAATGTCATACTGACATTCGTTGCACTCAGTTTGCTATCAAACTCAAGAGCAAACTTAGAAATCTCCTCCTCAAACCTACAAGTCACCATACATATCTTGGCTTATCACATCAACAACAGAAGCAATACTACTCAACAATTGCTGCAAACTCTTCTACTACATCTGTTTATGCTACATACATCATGGCATATCATTTGGACACTCATTGAACAAGTTATTAAGAAAATCTCCTCCTTAAGGGGGTGGGCCAATACTACCACATGGCATATCTCTACCAACTAGAGGCCTAGGAACATGAACGATAGCTCTAGAAGCTTCTACAACCCTCTATGATTCATTACACGTCATCGCTCCTTAGTTACCCACAAGATTGGTTAAGTTATGACATAATTTGTCTATAGGTACTCTGACCTTGGACCTCCTTTTCACTTCCTATAGGCTAGGAACCCAAGAGATGGTTCTATGGGATTCTCTTACGTTCACTACATGATTAGCAAGCTAGTTGTGGGTCGCACTTGATTTCTAATACATTTACCAAGCCTGGTTAGTCATGGAAAGTCATGGAAAATGAGAGAACTACACTCCTTTGGCATAAATAGGATTGCCCTTTCCTTAAGAAAGGGCAAGCAGGCAATACAGTAAATCGACTAGCACATACCTCTACGTCTTTTCCAAGCTTCCAAGCATTCATCTTGTTACTCCTTGTTTCTGAAAAGTCAGTGAGGTGTTAACCTCTGACTTACCCCTGAGTTTCCAGACTCAACATTTGTTGCAACTTGTCTGAACCACTTCACTACATCACACACCTGATTGCAGCGTTGTGGAATAGTCTAAGCTACAACCCTTTGGCTCTGTTTCCTAAGACAGTGTGTTGTCTTAGTAAAATCATTCCTTCCTTGGGTGGCTAGATTCTCACATCTGGTGCACCCACCATTACATAAAAACCACCTTGCATCTTGGTATGAGAATAGCGGATTTCCAGCAGATTGGGTAATCGCTGTTACTGCAAATGGCTGGACTACAAACGAGAGAGGTATGGATTGGATTCAGCATTTTGAGAAGCACACAAAGCCCCAGAGTGTTGGTGGTTATCGCTTGTTAGTCCTTGATGGTCATGAGAGCCACCACTCAGACAAGTTTGAGGAGTACTGCAAAGAACACAACATTATTACGCTTTGTATGCCTGCTCACTCTTCCCATATACTCCAACCACTTGATGTTGGCTGTTTTGGCCCATTAAAGAGAGCTTACGGTCGGCAAATTGAAGATATGATGCGGGCTCATATTATTCACATTACTAAGGATGACTTCTTTCCTGCCTTCCACGCTGCATTTAACATTGCAATGACAGAAAGCAATATTCAGGGAGGGTTCCGAGGTGCTGGGCTTCTTCCATTTAGCCCTGAGAGTGTAATATCTACACTTGACCTTAGGTTTAAGACGCCAACACCTCCAACCTCTCGCCCAAACACCGCTCAACCATGGGTTTCTCAGACACCAAATAACCCAACTGAAGCTGTATCACAGTCTACTTTCATTAAAAACCGAATTGCGCATCATCAAAATAGCTCTCCAACCTCAATCTATGCAGCTGTTGACCAGTTTACAAAGGGTGCATCGCAAATAATGCATCAATTAGCACTGCTAAAGGGAGAGAACCAAAACCTACGACAGGCAAATGAAGTACTAAGCAAGCGCCGGAGAGCTAGGAAAACACGACTACAGCAAGGAGGATCACTTAGTCAACAAGGGGCGCAAGAGCTACAGGATGAGAGGGATGTTGTGCAGCAGGTAGAGCAGGAAATAAGGGCAAGCCGTGGTCGGAAGCCAAGGGAAGAAACCCGTGCCCGTCGCTGTGGCAAGTGTGGTGAGACTGGACACAATGCGCGCACTTGTCAGATTGTAATAGACAGGTCTGAGGAAGAGGACTCCGAGTAGTTTTAATTAATTTATATTGTTGTGGTGGATTTATCGCAATTCTTATGGGGTAGTCGCGATATTTTGGCACTTTCGCTTGTTTGGCACTTTCGTTATACATGCACGTTAGTAGACAAGTCTCTAAAGAAAGATATAACATTATAATCTGTATCAAAATTCCGGATTGCTTGTTGAATTGCATGTTGGTGCTAATGTTTATATTGTGCAAACACAGTAACATCTAGCGGTTGTAGAATATGCATAAGATGAGGCAGAAACACATGTAAGTGTATATTGTGTTGATGTGCAAGTATTATAAACTCTGGAACTTCATGTGAGACATGAGAGTCCATTATTAACAATTTTGTTCTTATAGATGGTGTATGTTGAATAAAATGCTGTAGATATTCCATTGCAAGCTCAGAGTTTGTATATCCGGAATCGGATACTGCAACTTTCTTATCACCGTGTAGATTGTCATGGTACCAACTTTCCATGTGTAATTTTCCTTGTATAATAAGGAACGGTGGAAGTGCAATGCCAGCAGCTGAAATTGTCTCTATAACTGTAAGACTTTGTCTGTTCTCTGGAGCTTGTATATAAAGCTATAAATATTAGAATATAAAGTAAGATAAGTAGAAACAACTTACCTCCTTTACTATAGATGGTACCAACACATGTTCACCAGTGCTCATTCCTACATGGAATCCCACTTCATCAAAGTTGTAGATATCACCTGCAGTAATATCTAGTTGATTACACACATCTTTAAATTCATAAAACCATTCTTTAATAGCTGATACTTCATGAGATGCATCCCGTGCTGCTTCAATTGGCCGGGTTTTTATTGTATGGAAGTTGTGTTGTTGTGTCTTAATCCATGTCTGGAACCACCGTTATGACGGTGGTGCAAACATTGGAGTTTCTGCTGCACGTAGTTGGCAGATGGCACTGAACACCATAGGCTTAGTTGCACCGTACGCATTTTCGTATGAGCGTTAGATGTATCTTTGTATAGCTGTAACTTGTACATCAGACAGTACTCTGTTCTGGCCTCCGCGTGGCACAGCGGTGCGTTGTGGTGATGCGCGTCGTTGTCGTAGTCGTATAGTCCGGAGCGTACTTGGGTTTACTCTATACATTCGTGCTACTGTAGCACTCTTCTCTGTTGGATTTTCATTTAAAAATCCAATGGCATTTAAAAGAGCTTCATTTTAATTTATTTCAAGTACCGGCATAGTTGTGGTTGTAGTTGTGCTCGTTGTCGGTCGTGTTCATGGTCGGTCGTGTCGCGTCGCAAGTCCGCTCCCGAAGTGTCCCATAATCGCTTTCGCGTCCCAGTTCGCTTTCGCCAACCGCCTCCAGGCGGTGGTTTGAGAACCAACGATTATAGAGGATGTGCATGATATTTTAGCTTAGAAGGAGGTAGATGAGCAGATTCAATGTGACAAGCGCTCTAGAAGGGTCGGTTAAAATGAGGGGCATTTGACTACACGACACTGTGGCACTTGCGGAAAGACTGGCCATTCTTTCCGCAACTGCCACAGTGTCGTATATGTCTAGTTCATCAGATTCCGAGTAGTTTTAATGAATATTATATGTTGTGGTGGTTTAATTGTATTTCAACGTAGTTGGGTAGCAGGGAAGTGATCGACTCGGTGATATGATCGACTCGGTGATAAACCACGTTATAAACAACAAAGTAATATTTATATGTGACTTATTATAGTTAATCTATTTGTTGAAGTCCCTTCTAACTGCCAGCCAGCATCATCCCACAAAGGAGTAAAATCCAAAACACCCCTCCTCGTAACCACCGGGGCGCAGCACATCCGAGCTGCGACCGCATCTACGCCCGAACCACCTGCGGCCGCATCCCAGGCCGGGCCGCGCACCTCGGGTACCGGCGAAGGGGATGATGCGCATGCTGAGGTATCCGCGGGTCTGGAGATGGGTTATGCAGGTTTGGAGATGGAGGGGTGGGGTGGATGTGTTTTGGGGGGAGTAAGAGGGTGCTTGGCCTGAAGAAGGGGGGAGCTCGGAGTGGTATGGGTGAGGCGAGTAATTATAGAGGGAAGGAACGATGAGGCTGTTCTTGGAGGAAGGAGCGATGAGAGAAGCTGTTGGGGAAGGAACGAAGAGACGGTTTATCGAGGGAAAGAGCGAAGAGGGAAAAAGGCAAGGAGGAAGGAACGAGGCTGCTCATTAAGAGGAAGGAGCGACGAGTGTGTTTATTTAAGGGAAGGAGCGATGGGTCCGTTATTGGCAGGAAGATGTGAGGGGTTGGTTATTTAAGGGAAGGAGCGATGAAGTTGTTCTTTGGAAGGAAAGAACAATGAGGCTGTCCCTTGGAAGGAAAGAGCAATGAAGCTGTTCATTAGGGAAAGAGCAATGAGGCGGTCTGTCTGGGGAAAGAGCGGTCCTCCCTTTGGGGGAGGCTGTCCCTTGGAAAATGGAGGGGGGGCCCAGAGGGAGACCGATGGGACCAAAAGGAGAGAAAAAAAGGTCGCCATCAGCCATACAAAAGGCCATGGGGAGAAGGGGGTGGCTTAGAGGTATGAGGAGATCCCGAGGGGGGATGAGAAGCAGCTGGATGGTATCACCGTCGAGGTCAACATAAACATCAACATCAACAATAACAAGCCACGAAAAATACAATGACAACAAGCTCACTACCCCGATGCCGAGTCCCGTAGCTCTCCAGCCCAGGAGCTATGGAGCAGCATGAGGGAGCTACATTCCTTGGTAAGAAACGGCGCAGCAATTCCGTCGGAGAAACGATGATATCCCTCACCGTCGAGGCCTGTGGTAGGAGCGCAGATGGAAAATGGCAGATGCTTACTCTATACGGTGAACAGCTGTCTCTTACCAAGCCTGTTCTATGCAGCTCTATGCAGACATCTGAACTGCATCTCTAGCCTCTGAGTCAGAAGCCAGAAACTTGAAGCCGAAAGACCAGCGACGACGACAATCACGAATCGAGCATAAACATGAAACACGGCTCCCGCGAAACACCCGCACCGGACTCGATCGCCACAATAAACATCTCGATCTTCTCATCCAATCATGCCATGCTCGCCCTTCCCCACGAGACTGACGCGCCGTCACCACGTCGGGAGTCACCGTCGCGTCGCCTCCCACTACCTGGCATTGGCGTGCATGTAGCCATCCAACCACGACATCGCTCCAGCATCGCGCTGTCCCAAACACGCGCCGGCCCCAACTCCAACCACTGACCCTCAGTCAACCGGCCTCGGGATGTTCAGGATGTGCTGAAGACGTGGACCACAGACATGGACACGACACACATGCTTACTGCCTGCTATGCTTACGCTTAGTTGTGCACAGCCGCCTTGGACGCGCCCAGCACTCTGAGCAATCTTGGAACACAGCGGGTCGCGGTAGAAGACCTTGCGACAGCGACAGCGACAAGACAGCGTCTCGGTTTCGCGAAGCGCCTGTGTTTATTTGTTAAAGCGCTCAGTACCTTGACACTCCACTCCACCCCACAGTCGCACACCAGTAAGGGTTCTATAAGGGTACAACGGTATTTTTACCCGCGATTGCGATAACTCCGATAAGCTGCGATAGGGCGACACGACGTCTCGCGAGGCGCGCCGCGGTCTCCTCTCCACCGTGATCACGCCGTGCCGCGAAGAAAGGGCGTTTTGCGCCGTGCAGATGAACGTGGGGGGTAGGGGTTCTAGTATGCATACTTTCGGGGTAGTCTGAGTAGTCTGCATTCTAAATATGACTCAGAGACGCTGTGGTGGGGATGCTTTTTATTGCGGAGTGGAGTCGGCGGCAGGAGACGGTTACTGAGGCCCGCCGGGTCTGCTGTTGACGACCAAGAAACCATCTGATGCCGTCTGATGCTGTGTTCGTGGTCCTCGACGCTGCTTGCCGCCGTTTCATCGTGCGCTCCTCTTCGTCATCCCTGCCTACTGGCGCGAGCGACTGGCGCTGAGCGTTCCGTCGCGGCATGAGGATAAGTAGCAGCTGGTCGCCGGCCATCCCTTTCGTTGGTTCTCTCCTTCTCACTTCTCTCCACACAGAGAATATCCTCCGACTCTTCGCTTTCCCTCTCTTTTTTATCTTTTTTCTTTGGACGAGCTGCGCTTGACGAATCTCCTTGGTCCCTTTATTTTATTTTATACCAAAAACTTATCACTTGATTGCCTTGATTTACTAGGAGCTGGCTCCAGAATCAGACGCACCTACCTACCTGTCTTAATCGACAGTGTCTAATTACGTCGCTGTCACCAACAACCCCTCCAACATCCAACCCCACGTCTCTTCCAACATGGCCGTCGATATGCCCTTCGACTACAACTTCTCTTTCGGACCTGCCACCCCTCCCGACTACTATGAGCTCGCTTTCCAAGACGCTAGCTATCAGCCGGCCTACCGCCGTGCCGACTCCCTCTCCTCGCAGATGTCCATGTACTCCAAGGAGTCCTCGCCTGACACCACCAACACCCAGCTAGCCACACCCATAAAGTCGCCCATCCGCCAGCACGGCCCGCTCCTCCTCCCCAAGATCCGCTCCCAGGACCAGGCCATCGAGTCACCTGCCAAGCGCGTCAAGAAGAATGGCACCGCCGGCACCTGGAAGCCCAGCCACGGCCGCAGCTACACCAACCCCGAGACTATCACGTACATGCCTGCTGCGCTCGCGACACCCTCGCACAGCCGCTCATCCTCTACCCTGTGCTCCCCTGTCTCCATGACCAGCAGCGTCGATGCCCAGTTCCGCCGCGCCTCGAGCTGCAGCCTTGATGGCCAGACCATTGGCAAGTATGGCTTCCCCACCTACCGTCAGATGCCAACGTACATCTCGTCCACGGCCGGTATAGAGACCTTTGTCCCAGCGCAGTACTACACCGCCCCTCCCCGCGAGCCGTCGCCAATGCGCAACTCCATCTCCTTCGACGACTTCTGCGAGGAGCTTGAGCTCGCCCCAGCCCCACCAGCTGATGAGCCCACCACGACACTTCAGGCCTTCCTCACCGCGCCTAACCCCACCCCATCGCTCGTGCGCCAGCTCAACATCCACGTGCGCGACCCAGCCAGCAAGCACTTCTGGTGGGACATCCGCCAGATCCGCCCCTGGACCTCCTTCACCAGCACAACCATAACCTCCATCCCCGGCCTCGCGGCCCTCCTCACCGTCGCCCTCCCCGCCTCCTCCCTCCCCGCCCCCTCCGCCCCGCGCACCACGCACCCCGAAACCGAAACCGAGCTCGCAGCAATCTACACCTCCTTCTACGCCGCCAAGCTCAACGCCGCCCTCGCCGTCGCCCAAGGCACCCGGCACCTCCTCATGCGCGCTCCCACCCCCTCCTCCACCCAAGACGTCAGCTTCGTCAGCAACTACACCGACGACACCTCGGCGCTCATCTTCGGCCGCGGCCTCGGCCGCGTCGTGGGGCTGGTTAAGTCCTTCGATCGCTGGAACTCCGCTATGCGCGTTGAGGGGAACAACAAGCGCGTCGCCTACCTGCGGGGCCTCGCGCACCTGCACCGCTGCATGCGCGAGCACGGGTGCCGCTACGGCTTCCTGATGACGGAGATCGAACTCGTCGTCGTGCGCAACGGCGGGGAAGCAACCCCGCACTTCGGGTACCTGGAAGTCGCCAGCATCCCCCTCGCCGAGACCGCCTCCGCCTCCGACGCGGAGGAGGGGGGAGAAGTCAAGATGACTGCCCTCCTGGCGTTGTTCTACCTCCACATGCTAGCGCGCGACGCGCCGCTGGCGGGACAGGTGGGGTGGAAGGCGGAGATTGGGGCGCCGGCTGAGGGGACGAGGAGGAAGTGTCTCCCGCGCGATGAGTGGATGCCTGCGCCGCAGTTGGCGGAGAAGAGGGAGGCGAAGCGGGTGAGGGGGTGGGTGTGGCCCGAGGAGGCGGTGGGGAGGAAGGAGATGGGGAAGAGGGGGGTGAGGTATGCGGGTGCTGCTGCGTAGTGTATGATGGGGCGCGCTGGACGTGTCGGGGGTTGATGATGTGATGCATCCTTCGTGTTTTGGTGGTATATTATAATAATTGATACGTTTATGGCGATTTGACGGTGTTTTATGGACTGAATTCGTTTGCTGTGTGGAAGATGCGACTATAGCTCCTTACCGACTAATCGAACTGGGTGTTGTTCGCTTATCATTCAATCATCTAAATCATGCACTCATAATTACCCCCGCCCCCCTCGTCTAAACCACACCCGCAACCCCAACCTACTCCCCCTCCCCACCCCTAACAACAACCTCCAACCTCCCCCCCCACCTCCTCTCCCCCCCTCCCTCCCCCTCCCTCCACCTCCTCAACTCAGCCCTAACATCCACCCTCTCCTCCTTCCCTCCCTCCCCTTTCCCATCCTTCTTCCCCCCACCCCCATCCTCAGCCCCAGGATCATCAAAAAACGAAAAATCCCGCGCCCCCGCCGCAGCAAACGCATCCGCATCCCTATCCCCCGACACACTTTCCACCCCCTCCCCCCCCAGCTCAAGTCTCAAAACCCTCAGTCCCGGGCGTACCTTCACCCCTCTACGCCCTCCCTCCCCTCCACCTGCGCGAGCGAGGGAAATAGCCCGTTCCTGTGTAGCAGCGGCTAAGAGAAAGGTTTTAAGTGATGAAAGGAGGGAGGGAGAGGAGAGGGGGGGGATGCAGGTTAGTGTTAGGGATGTGAGGTGGGGGTTTGTGTCTGCCATGTAGGAGCTGATGGGGTGGGTGACTAGTGCGTGGTGGACGCGGAGGGTTGAGAGGCGGGGGGAGAGGGAGAGGGAGAGGTGGTGTGTTGCCGTTTCCACCGGATGCGTGTGCTCGTGCTCGTCTGCCGGTTGTCCATCCGCAGTCGGTGGTGGCGGTAGCGAAGCAGAGTACCTCGTCTCCTTGAAGGGGACATCGAGATCAAGAACTTGTAACCTATCACTCGCCTTTACCAGTCTTAGGAAGGCATCGGAGGTAAATGCGTTCCCGGAGAGATAAAGCGCCGTTAGACCTGCATAGGGCATTATATCCCCCATATCAGCATGCTCCCTCGCGCGCTCCATGAAGGACTCCGGATCATCAGGCGGAGGATGGGGCGCGTCGCGGATGAACGTCTCCTGCTGCTCATCCTCCGCGCGCGGCCGCTCAGAGTACGCAGGCGGGGATTCGAGGTATCTATTCTGCTGCTCTGTAGCGCCGTAGTTCGGAGGACGAGGAGGTGGGGAGGAGGCATCAAGGCGCCAAACGAGGTGTTGTTCCAGATCGGGGATTATACCGTCGGTGAGCTTGTTATCCCTTACATCCAGACTAGCGAGTTGCAGCTGATGCGGGCTTGCAGCCAAGAGCGCGCGCAGGTCTGAGTCTAAGAGGGAGACGTGTTGGAGTTTTAGGGTGCGCAGGAAGGGGAGCATGAGGTGTGAGAGGGGATAGGTTGGGTGGCCGTAGGAGTCGCGGAGGGCGGTGTGCGAGATATCTAAGTAGATTACCTCACTTAGAAACTCCGCTGCGTCGTCTGGACTGAGTATGGTGGCGATGTTTTGGCAGTCCCGCAGGCTGAGGAGGAGTGGATGGCATGTTTCCGGCGGTGGAGAGGAGGGGGAAGGGGGGAACTCGATGTCATCGAGGAAGAGGAATCTGGCACGGGGGAAGTGAGCGGGGAGGTCGCTGAGGAGCTTGTAGACTATGCGTTGGGAGTTCCAGTACCCAGCGTCCATGGTGAGTGCGCGCTGGCTGACGTGTTTGGGGAGGGCGTACATCTTTGGGATCCATTGCTGGCGGTAGTCTATTGTTTGCACTAGGTGTTTGGTGGACTCTCTTGTGGCTGCGATGGATCTGCTGAGGAGGCGGTATTTTTCTGTAGTCTGGTTAGTAGAGGCTTGCGACTGTGGTAAGGGGAGGACGGACCTAGGTGGAAAGGGATCCGTTTGGCACCGTTGCCAATGATGCGGAGAGGATCCTCCCAGAGGTATTTTGCGAAGACGCTGTTGAAGGATTTGTTTACTAGGGAGCAGGTGAGGAGGTCATGCGTTGAGAGATAGGTGGCGACGAAGTCGAGGGGGTCGAGGGGGGTGACTGCGTCTTTGTAGGATGGGAGGGACATGTTTGCCTGTGTTGATATTGGTTCTGGGCTAGCACTGGTGTAGCCTTTGGATTTCCTTGATATCAAAGTTTTACTAGATGAATTAATATCCGGATAGCACAATGCAGGGTATATATGTGATAACGACCCGTGCCGTAACAGGAACGATGAGGCAACGTCAGGTCTATATATCAGTCAGTTCAATCCTGACCACCCTCACAAACGTGCAAATACCTTGAAATGCCCATACCATCAGATCTTTATATCTCCACCCATTACCATAAAGCGTCGCACGCACCTAGCAAACCCCCAAAGAATCGTCCCGCAGGGCTGACCTAGTCTCAGGTGATAACCGTCTGCACGACAAGATGAGATGCGGCTGAGTACCGACTCCACTGTAGGTAGCCTTGTTATTAGTAGGATTTGCATTTAAAAACCAGGAAATATGCTGTGTCTAAAGTGAAGCAAGTTTACTAACTGGTTTAAACTTTAAACACACCGAGTTGACGATGGTGGCCCAGCCGTTGTACAAGCCACTGTCGGGAAAAAATTACACCGCCTCCGGACAAGTTCATCAACGAGGACGGCAACAGACAAGATATTTATGATTGAAATAGAGAGTACATATATATAGTAAATTTGATGCTTTCCAATCATTCTCCGCTCTATATAAAATATCCAAATATACTACTTACTTACGCAGACATCCAACGTCGTTTGGTATATTCGCTCATTCGCTCAGATGCCGCTTTCTCCATCCATTTCTCATACCTATCCCAAGAACCCATAACAAGAAATAATGCGCCAGCCTATGTATACCCTAATCCCGCTCTCACATAAAAAAACGTCACCATACAATCCCACACCAAACCTCCCCCCCCTTCTCCCACTTCACTACGCACCCGTACCACCCAAAGGCTTCCGATTTATCCCCCCCGAACCCCCCCACCAACCGGCGACGGCAACCCCGCATCCCCCACCCCGCCCCCCCGGAGCACCACAGGCGTAGGCTGATGCGCATACACGATTTGCCCCCCCTCCGCCTCCTCACTCCTCGTAGCGCGACGTCTCCTCTCCCACTCTGCGCCTCCCCCAACCTCCGCCTCGGTCTCAGCAGCTTCATTTTCTAATATCGGGCTTTGGCCGCCCGGAAGGGGGGGGGTGAGGAGTTGAGACATCCCCGAGCTGGCACTGCTGCGTTTGCGGCGGTGGGCGATGAATTCGAAACTGTTGGTTTTTTTGTGGCTGTCTACGCTTGAGCGGTTCGCTGTGGTACTACCAGCAGCCGCGCCCGCAGCACCAGCAGCCGAGGACTCCCGCTCAGACATCTCCACCAGCCCACTCCTTGGATCCAACTCCGCCATCCCGATCCCCGGCCCGCGAAAGGGCACTGATATCGCTAATCTGCGACCAATGCCTATCCACCCCGGGCGACGGATTGCTGATCCGTCCAAAGCGCAGATTCTGGTCTCGCACCGCCGGATCCGGGACTGGCTCGCCCCATGAAGCAGATGTAGGGTACCCGGGGGAGTAGGGCGAGACGTTGCTGGGACTGCCTTGGCCGGAGTGGTGGCGCGTGTCGAAGTACTGCGCGTCTCCTAGGGGGACGGCTTGGTAGCCGCCTTGTGCGTTTGCTAGGGGTGAGGCGTAGGGGCTTGGAATGGGTGGGGAGAGGGCGGGAGCCTGAGTGATTTGGGTATCGTAACTCGGTTGTGTGTTGGGGTGGGGCGCGAGAGATGAGGGGTTGCAGAGCCGGAAGAGGTCATCATCAGGGGGTCGATGGACATGTTGTCAAAGTCGACGTTTGTTGGGCCTCTGAGTGGAGCCCCGATGTGGCCGCCATTGGGGCCGCGGTTCTTGGACATGGGTGTGCGGTTTGAGCCGGAGCCCGAGGTGCGTTGGCCTTCAGATTGCCTGGCTACAGCGTTGATGCGCCGCAGCAGACACCAGCATGTTGCGATGATGGCTATGAGGATTACGACTACCCCCACTACGATGCCAGCGAGAGCACCCTTTGAGAGACCAGATGATGAACCTGGTGTCGACGCTACCTTGGCGACTGGAATGGTAGTTGGAGTGAATCTGCTGACTGCCGCTGTTGCCACTGGACTGGGCCCTAATGTGGGCTGAGTTGAAGGCATATATGCGGTGTTGATGACGGCATTGACTGTTGCAACATGACCCTTTGAATCTGTCGTCGTTGTCGCGATCGTTACTTTGACTGTGGGATATGCCGTCGGGTAACAGAATCCCTGGCCGCAGGCATAGTCACTGTGGCAGCAGCCACCGAAGGCGGCGGGACAGTGAGTAGATGATGCATCGCAAGGCGTGCTTATTGCTGAGCTCGTGGTCGGAATGCAGCTATTGCTCGCACATGCGTAGCCTGCTAGACAACATCACCTGAGAGAGATTAGCCCAAGATCCTATCCCATAGAAGAAGGGGATATACATACCACCATCAACGAGTCTACTGTGTGCAAATAGATAGCGGGGCAGGTGTTGTCGCATAACAACTGCTAATCAAGCTCTATATATCCAAGACCCTCGCAAATATTCATATTTAAACTAATCACGTGATGCCAAGTCTACGTCCCCAGCGACGTTTCTTGCGAACGACCACCTCGTCATGACCAAGACGGGCCAAGTAGCGACGACAGCGACAGCGACGACAGCGACAGCGTCCATCCCACCGAACAAAGCGAAGCCCACACTCCGAGTCCCCCATCTGGACCCTATACCACTCTTCTCCCAACACCTGCACCCACCCCCCTCCTTGCATCCCCCATCCCGAGTCCCTGGAGCTTAGCTCCCACCCACGCCCAACATGCACATCCCCCACCGCCCCTCCAGCATCACAATGCCCACGCTCCTATCCCTCCTCCTCCCCCTCCTACTCCCACTCTCCGCCGCGGCGCTAGGGACGATCGACTGCTCCAAGATGCTAGCCGATAAGCATAACTTTGATCTCAGCGCGCTGGATGGGCCGCACTCGGTCATGCATGGCGTGGAGCAGCCGCCGTCATTTCTGAATACCACGTATACGATTAATATCTGTCGGCCGCTGGTGCCGGATAGCGATGTGAAGAAGGAGGAGAGGTGTCCGGGGCCTACTCGAGGTTTGTCTTCCCCCTCCCCTTTTCCCCGTCCCTACCCTCATCCCCCCATCCCCATCCCCGTCCAATCCACCCAGCCACCACTCAACCAGACACAAGAAACTTGATACTAACCCCCAACCCCCCCCAGTCTGCGCAATCGAGCGCCTAATCAACGAAAAAACCACCACCATCTCCCGCGTCATCCCCATAGCCGGCGATCTCCAAAACTTCCCCGGCGGCACCCTCCTCGACGCCTCCTACACGCGCCTCCGCACCGCCCCTTCCCCCGCCGACCAAGCGCGCGAGGGCATCCGCGTCGAGCTACACGGCGGGTCGTATAACGGGCGGAAACAGAAAGCTGTGGTGGAGTTTTTGTGTGATCCTGAGGTGGAGGGGACGGAGGAGGAGGAGGGGGAGGAGGGGGTGTTGGATGTGTACAGACGAAAGGAAGAGGGGGGGAATAGCACGACGAGGGCGACGAAGGCGTTGGTGTTTAAGAAGTATGGACCTGAGGGGGCGAAGGGGGAGGTTGATGTGCTGACGCTGGAGTGGTGGACGAAGTATGCTTGTGAGAGTGTTGAGGGGGGAGGGGGGAAGGAGAAGGGGAGTTGGGGGTTTTTTACTTGGTTTATTATTATGTTCGTCCCCCCCCCCATTTATTTCCAGCCGTCCCTATTTGGAGATAAACACCAAGCTAACATACAACAGCGCATTCCTATCCACAGCAGCCTACCTCATCTTCGGCTCCTGGCTCAACTACAACCGCTACGGCGCTCGCGGGTGGGACCTCCTCCCCCACGGCGACACCATCCGCGACGTCCCCTACCTCGTCAAAGACTGGTCCCGTCGCGTCTTCAACACCGTGCAAGACAGCGGGTCAAGGGGCGGGTATTCCGCCGTATAGATTGTTTATCCGTCTTGTATTTTGAAAAGGGGATTACCTATTCTACCGTGTCTTTTTTGGGGGGAAGGGGGTTACTTAGTATACTTACTTACCTTGCCGCCTTTTGCCAGTTTATGGCGTTTCGGGACGCAGCGCCCTGTTCACATCGGTTTTTGTAGCATATAGAAGGGTCTTGGAATGGGATTTTAATGTCCGTGGTGCCTTTTGTGAACCACTTCTTTTCTCACACACTTCATACTTCACACTTCACTTCATCTTACAATACTTGCACGCACGGCGTAGAAGTTGAAAAGACTAGTATTATTATACACGCTGGCTACATATCCAGACTTACTGTGGTTAACGTCGCGTTTACCCCCCGCAGACCTATTCATCTAACCCCCAATGGCCCTGAAAATTTCAAAGATGCCTGCCTCACTACCGAACGCCCCGTCTTTTCCCACAATGCTACCGAGACGCCGAATTATATGCACACACTCCCCCCCTCCCCCTTCCACTATCCCATCACTTCTCCCCCAGCCCCAGCCCCATCCTCACACCTCCCCCTCCCCCTCCACCTCCCGCAAAGCAACACTAACCCCCTTCCCGCCCAACCCCACCACCTTCTCCCCCAACTCCCCCATCTCATCCAGCGCCACCACATCATTCCCCCCCCAATACTCTTCCCCTTCACCAACACATTCGGCACCGTCTTGCGTCCCGTCATCGTCGCCAGCCGCGCCTGTAGGGCCGGGCCGAGAGGGTGCTTGTCGAGTTCTACGACGTAGGGGGTGGGTGTTATGACGTATTTGGTGAGGAGGATGGACTTTGCCTTGCGCGAGAAGCCGCAGTAGGATTTGGAGAAGATGATAACTGTGGGGGGTCGTGGTTAGCCGGGGGTTTTCTTTGGGGGGGGTTCTTTGGGGGGGGAAGGACGAACTAGGCGACATCTTAAGAATCCCATTCATCCCCGCCGTAACCGCCTCATCCGACTCATCCACCTTCTCCTTCTCCTGTTTCTCCACCACCTTCCCCTCCTCCGCAATGGGATACTTCTTCCTCCCCGCCACATTCCTATCTTTCGCACCCTTCGCCCCCTTCCCACTATCCTTCACTATCTCCTTCGGCGGCGTCACCACCACCTTCTGGGCACCCTCCCCACGATCTTTATCGCTCCCAGCACCACCATCATCACCCATAACGCTCTCCCTCGTCGGAGCCTTCTTATTAGCCATCTCCTTCGCCGCGACCTCTGCATCCATGAGGCGGCGACTCATTGCTTTGGCGACTTCATCGTCGTCGCTTCCAATGCTGGTCTTGCGCTGGGGGGTGATTTTGTCTAGGGAGCTACCGCTGTTGCTGCTGCTCCCCCCATTGGTCTCGAGGCGCGAGCGGGTGCGGGTGTAGAAGTCGTGGGTGGCGACGGCGCGGGAGGAGGAGGTGAGGTAGAGGATTCCTACTACGGCGAAGAGGACGAGGATGAAGAGGAGGCGGTTGCGGTTGCGGCGGGGGGCCATGGTGTGGTGGTGGTGGTGGTGTCGGTCTGGTGCATTCGCTAGCTCGGTGGTGGTGGTGGTGCTAGATTGTAGTGGCTGCTATCGTCGTCTGCCGGTCGGTCGGAGTTGCTGGAAGATGGAGAATGTCCGAAGGTGGATGGTTTATTCAGGACAGGACATGATTAAAAGTGGGAGGTTGTAGGAGGGTGGGTGTTTGCAGCAGCGGGCTGGGTGGCTCAGGCAGGAACGGCGGTGGGGATGGTGCGTAATACTAATGCAAGTATCGCTCAGGGTTGGAGGAACCGATCCGTGCGGTTTCAAAACGAGCGGAAGCGATGTGCGCGGTTTCGCGACGTGCGTCCGTTCACCGCTATTCCTCAACAAAACATTTTCCATAGATGTAGATAGTAATTTATATTGTAATCCTATACAATTCATTTAATGGAGGGGACTCGTATATCAAATGCCCATGAGTGGCTTGCAGAAAACCCTTCTGAGTCTATAATTGCTGCCTGTCACATTTTCAAAATCCCCGAATCAACACTACGGATGAGCCTCAAACGGCGTGCTAAGGCTGGTAGGAATAAGGTGTGTCTACTGCACAGTTAGAAGCCCTTAAGAAATGGATCCTTGAGCAGTATTACCTAGGGCTTGGAGCTACTAGAAGCATGATATTTTTGCTGGCCTACTAAATATATTAAGAATGAGCTTTAAGAATTCCACTTTATCACTACAAAGCCTATTGCACTACAGCGTACGAAAGCTCAAGATGAGCCTACTATTACACGGTGGTTTCGAGAGTACCATGAGTTTATACTAGAAGTATACAGCTCGAGTCAATTTGGAATATGGATGAAACAGGCTTTAGGATTGGAATTCCTGGAGGTGAGAAGGTTATGGTACCACAAATAGCAAAGGAGCTCTATACGCCTAGCCCTGAAAATCGTACGTCTATTACTATCCTAGAGGCTGTGTCCGAAGTAGGAAAAGTCATACCACCTGTACTTGTCATTCCGAGCAAAATACATATGGATTCTTGGTACTCGAGTACCATACGAACCTCAAAGGCACGGAGCTAGTACTACTCTCAAACTCTGGACTCTGGATTTTCAAATAGCCAGCTTGCTCTTTGGTGGCTAGAGCATTTTGCAAAGCATACAGATTCGGAGGATACGAAGGTTCTACTACTCGACTCTCATATGCAAAAAGATACATCGCGGTACTTCTGTGCCATAACTTACAAATATATATATATACCCTTTTGCGACCGCCACCACCTTCGCGCCCATTTCTCGCCAAAATGGCCAAGTCTAGCATAGCAGAATGGGAATGATTTAAGCGGGTCTGACAATTTTGCCTTCTGGTGATAGTTTGATCGAGTGCAAATTCTCAAATTACGACAGCACTAACACCAGTACCAACACCAGTACCAACACCAGCACCAACACCAGCGTTCTAATGGCTGTTCATAGACAGCAAATACTAATAGCTGCTATTGCTACCAGTCTACTCCTTTTACAGGTACACCGTCGCCGCCGCCAGCTTCAGTTCGAAAGATCTCAGCGTCGATACCAGCCGCTACTCGAATACGAGCATAAGACCTAGAGTCTTACATCGTAGGGACAGGATTCACCAGTTAAAGTAAAGCATTATCTTCGGTAAATATACCTTCTTATTCAATTAAATAGTATACTATACTATACTAATTACTATATAGCTTTTCAATTGAGGAAATCCGACTGCTTCTACCACTCCTTCGCCTTGATGATATCGTATATCGTAGTCAGGTTATTGCCCACCTAGAGACTGCTTTATGTGTTGTACTTGCCCGTCTAGCTTATCTAGGTCAGTGGAGTACGAGTATCTAGATCTTTGGTCGATCTAGTACTTGGTTAAGTATTGTATTTAACGATACCTACTAGTATTTAGTTGCCTGGTTTGGTTCAACTCTTGCCTAGGCGCCACATCTATCATATGATAAGATGAACGAATTCGCAGCAGCTATAGAGGATATTAGTCAATGCCATCAGATTTAGGGCTTTGTAGATGGCACTTTTCGAGGATTCTGCCGTCCTTCTGGCCCTAACGAAGCTTAACATGCTGTATACAATGGTCATAAGCGTCAGCACAGTCAACAGTGGCAAGCTATAGTAACGCCAGATGGTCTTGCGTCGTCGATCTGTGGACCCTTTCTTGGAACTACAAACGATTGGACAATGTGGCAAGAGTCTGGTTAGGCAGACTTAAGCAGATTATAGATGGGAAAGAGGGTCCTAAGTGGCTATTGTTATACGGTGATCTAGTGTATAATTGTACAACTGGTATTATGTGCCCCTTTACCCATTCAAGAGGACGCCGCCACTTATCACTAGAGAAGCAAGTGTTTAATCACGCACTCTCTACAGTATGAATTGCTGTCAAGAACTGGTCAAGTCCAACAGCTATTCTCTTATACAGCTTATAGTAAGGGTTTAAAAGCTGGCAGTTAACCAGTAGCAGCGTACTTGCAGTCGCTATTCTCGTAACAAATTGCCATACTTGTATATGTGGTAACGGAATATCACAGCGATTCAAGGTTACTCCACCATCAATTGAAGAGTATTTACATATATTAGAGTAGCTAGCTATATAGAAGTCAACCCCCTTGCCCCATACCTATCCATACTTGTGTATAAAAGAAGAGAATAGTAACTGCTGTTCTCTTCGAAGATCCCCAAGCTGCATAGCTATTGCAGCTTGAAGCCGCTCTTCTTGCACCTTAAGACGGGCTTTGTCACGGTTCACCAAGGCATAGGGCGCCAGTTGGGTATTATGAATTAAACTCAATCTAGAGAAGAAAGGAAAGAGAAGAGGAGCACTCGAGCAGTGGCTCGATCTATATACAGCTATTGTGGAGTGAATTCTCTTTAGCGAGACTAGTTCTGAGAATTCACTCTATAACTGAAAACTTCACTCTAACCCCGGAAAGCTCCCCACACCCCTGAACCCCCACTCGAGCTGCAAGGCGCACTTGATATCGTAACAGGCTTCTAACTGCTCCTGTAATACTGCTAGATCTAAATACACAGTTGAGGAAGCAGCAGTTGAAGCAGCAGTTGAAGCAGCAGTTGAAGCAGCAGTTGAAGCAGCAGTTGAAGCAGCTGCTTCTACAAGCCCTTCTACTATCAACATAAGACGATCTTCTCGTTCTTCTAGAGCAAGTAGGTGGTAATTCTTAGGACGCTAATGTAATGCTGACTTCTAAACGATAGAAGACAGAGGTTTCTTGCGTAAGGTTGACTTGACAGAGGAGGCAGGGTATTAGACACAAAGGCTTCCAAGTAACATGATACAGTATTGTAAAGAATACTATATTGAGTTGAGCACGAAGCTCCTATCTAAGGAAATACTATCTACTTATATAGTGGCGTCGTGCCAAAGGGATATCCGTGGATAACATGGATAACATAATATCCATGATATCCAATGTTATCCATCACCTGATATTCCGTGGATCGCTGTGGATAACATGGATAACATAATATCCATGATATTCAATGTTATCCATGACGTGAGGTTGCAGCTGTAAGCGCTAGCCATAGCACTAGCACTTAGCCGTAACACCTCCGCTGTAGCACCTAGCGAAGAGTACTGTGGACTTTCTCTGTCTCACTTTGCCAATCAGCAGTAACGTTATTGAAGAACGGTACTGCCTCTGTTGATCGATAGGTAGGCCGTATCTGTAGGCAGATTTTCAACAGTATGATATAGTCTTCTAGACTCACGATCCGACCCTTTCCTTGTATTGTATCCTCCTCTTCCCCTTGCCTTTGCCACTTCTTCGGTCTTCCTTGAATATTTGAATGAGCTCTCCAGTGCGATCAGGACAAACCCAAGCCCCACGAATGAGAATATCTTGGTAGCTGATATATCGATGACATTCCCGGATCAGCTGTTAACGATGAATATGGATCTCTGTCAAATGGTTTTAGAAGTGGTGGGCGAAAAGGTAGCACATCTTGCTCACGTGTTGTTTGAGATGCACCTAGAAACAAAGGACAGACTTCAATACGTTCGTTTCAGCGATCATCGCTCAAAGATTTTGCCTAACCCTAAATTTATGCTCCAAGGGTGTCACTTCGCTCCCAGTCGGAATAAGCAAGTTGTCTTGTGGGAAGCAGTAATATATAGTATAAGGTACTTCATTCAATTTAATATAAACAGAACCTCCGACTCATCACTATCTGATTCTCCATGCCCATTGCTTTCTGCCTCCACCTCTACCTCTACTTCTACCTCTGGATCAGGGATTAGAGTAAAGAGCTCAATTGGGATAAACTCTTTTGCTCGGGTAAGCCTTTTGATCTCCTTCTTTCTCTCTCTCTCTCTCTTCCGTGCCTTAATTCCAGCTTTGTGTAATTCCTTCTGGGCTTGAATAGCTTCTGACCTTGCTATCCTTGCTACTTGCTTTGCTTGCTTGTCAACTTCCTTCTTCTCCTTTAATTGAATTGCAGTATGGGCTTGTGATGCAGTTAAAGCTCCACCAACTTGTAGAGTGCAACAGCTTTTTGTTCTTTGGTTGGTATTTGTAGAAACATGTTTTTGAAGTACTGAATGATCAAACTCTTGCAATTGTGCTGTAAGTAACACCTCTTCTGCATTATCCATGAAATTAGTAAACCCTTGCCTTGATGGACTGCTTAGCAAGTCAGGAACCTTTGCTTTCCATCTTGGAATCTGTTCATCCAACCCTTTAAATGTTAGAGGGAGTTGTTCTTCAAATTGAGATTGTGTTAGAACTATTACTCCTGCATTCTCAAATGCATGAATAATAGTTCTATGCTTGAACGTATTCTCTCTAATCTTTGGTAAATCCTGAAGGAAGGAAGGAATGTTATATTCAAGGTCTAGACTTATTATAGCCTCTTGAACAGCTATCTTATGCCAGTGCTTGTAAGGTTGAAAAACCCCAACATCGAGTGGTTGTAGAATATGCGTGAGGTGAGAGGGAAATGTAAATGGGAATATGTTATGCTTCTCTGCAAGGATTGCAAATTGAGGGCAATGATGACTTGCATGAGAATCAAGCAAGAGGACCTTTGGCTCTGAATCTTGTGTCTTTTTATATGTTTAATAAAGTGTGTTAACCATTCAATTGCAAGTTCGTCGTTGATATATCCAAAGTCTGAAAGTAGAATCCTCTCTTCTTGAAGATTCTTATGGTACCAAGATTCCATATGAGTTTAGAAATGTAGTATATCTTTGAAACCATTCTTCAACTACTGTTTCATCATGTGCTGTTGTTCGCTGTCGTGATATAGGCTTTGTAGTAATTGTATGAAATTCAGAAAGCTCATGTTGGACAAATTTTCTCATCCAACTATCCGATGGCGGTGGTAATGGATCACGTATATGACAGAGAGCAGCATATATCATCTGCTTTGTAGCACCTGCTCCATTCTCGTATTGCTGATGTATCCATTGTTTGATTGCGACAACTTTAGTGTTTGGTAATAGCTTATTGTGCCCTCCATGCTGTTCTTGTTGAGCTGTTGTGTTCGTTTCTCGGAGGATTGATCGACGTAGGGTATCTGCTTTGACTTTGAAAATAGTTGCAGCAGTAGAAACTAATTCAGAAGGATTTGCAAGGAGCCATTCCTTTGCTTCATGAAGTGTAGTCTTGTGGTCAGACATGTTGTTGAATCGTTATAGAATTGTTGTGGAAATTAAATGTTGGGGCAAGACATCTTGCTTCCCACAAGACAACTTGCTTATTCCGACTGGGAGCAAAGCGACCAGGCGGATCCGCCGTCACCAGTGAGTTTCGTCCACCCAATATCGGCATAATCTACGAGCTCACGGATGCGTTCTAGCCGCGGATATGAGACGGTCAAGGAAACAAGAAAGCCATGGTTAATACAAATTAGCATCCCTAATTGCTCAAGGGCGGGGGGTACGCCGGGTCCGCTGAAGTCGCCGGCCAATCCCACCTAGTATTATCTCAGTCATCATGGGGATATTCTGTTTCAACCTGCTGACATTCTCGACTTATGTAGCTGTCGAGCGTGGCTGCTGTCTGTCGACAAGAAAAAGCGGCAGTTTCGGGAACGTGGGGAGCGGCGTCACAGACGATGGCCCAGATTCGGCGGTGCGCTGAACACTACTGGGGCGCCATTGGCGAGGATGGTTTGCGATGCATGATTAGGATTGTAGAATGCTGGTATTAGGGGGTTAGTGGTTAGTTAGTATAACACCGGTTCAAGCCATCGAATAGTGCACTGTTGAAGTCGGTGGTGGGATAGACTGTTGAGGTAAACTGTTGGACTGTTGAAGTTGAACTACGAGCTGTCCAAGTCATTTATCGACCGACCTGTATCAGTTCAATCGCAGCTGTTGCTAGTGCAATGATGTAGCCAAAGATTATAACGGGCCGTTAGCACCTTTATAAGCATCGTAGCACCAATAAGTACTTGTAAACTTAATGACATCTTTCTTATCTTTATATTTATATCAAATAAAAGGCGCCTAGAGGCCCTAAGGAAGGGGTAAAAATGGGGCGTATCGATTTCTAATAATGTGGTGATGGCCGAAGCTATTTCCGCCCCTCCACCCCACTAGAGCTTGTCCCGGTGGGGCAGAGTACCCCGCTAGGCCACATCTTTTACATCTTTTACATCTTTTACATCTTTTAAGTTACATCTTTTACATCTTATTTTTATATCAATAATTTCGTATAACGTTGTCACGTTATCTCTCTGACTTTCCTCCTCTCTTTTCTTCCTTCCTAATACTTATCTCCAAAACGAAATACAAGCGCATGCCCACACAGTAACCATGGCATTGTCAAACAGCGGGCTTAATTCATTTATTCGCATAGAGGGGTCGCCCAGCCTTGCAAACCCCCCCGCCACGGTGCGGAGAGATAAGCAAGGCATTCCAATTCCCCCCTCAGAATTCGAACTTACTGACATACGCCCATCCCCCTCTGCGCCTTTACCCTCCGCCCGCGATGTCCCCCCTAATGATGTCGAGCGGAGCACCCCGCCGACGCCCACCACCCCTACTGGCGTCGACCTCCTCCACACCTTCACCAACCCTCCCATGAACAAATACCGCATGGCAAGCTCAGCTTTCATGAACTTCGCCAACGGCGTTAATGACAGTGCTCCCGGTGCCCTCATCCCCTACCTCGAGAAGGCCTACTCCGTCAACTACGGCGTTGTCTCCCTCATCTTCATCTCCAACGCCCTCGGCTTCATCGTTGCCGCGCCCCTCACCCAAGCCATCGAGACTCGCCTCGGCCGCGCGCGCACCCACCAGGTCTCTCTCTCCACCCTGGCCGTCGCCTACGTGGCCCTCCTCTGCGCGCCCCCCTTTCCGGTCATTGTAATCTCCTTTTTCTTCCTTGGCTTCGGCATGGCCATTAGCCTCTCCCTAAACAACGTCTTCTGCGTCGGTCTCGCAAACGCTACTGCGGCCCTCGGTTTCCTACATGGCGCCTACGGCGTAGGCGGTACGATCGGACCTCTCATCGCCACAGCCCTCGCCTCCAATGGCGTGAAGTGGAGTTACTTCTACAGCATTCCTCTCTTCTTCGCCCTCTCAAACATCACCGCTGCAACTTTTGCCTACCACAACTACGAAGCCGACGCCCCCGCAGCACAACTAATGACAGCGCTCGAGCAGACCGCCTCGAGACAGCAAACCAACACACCAACGCGCATTCAGACTCTCAAGCTTGCCGCATGCAACAAAACTACCATCCTCGGTTCCCTCTTCATCTTCGCCTACCAAGGCGCTGAAGTCAGTATTGCTTCTTGGCTCGTGTCCTTCCTCATCAGTTACCGCCATGGCGAGGCCGGTCAAGTCGGGTACGTCAGCTCTGGTTTCTGGTTGGGTATTACGCTAGGCCGGATTTTCCTCTCGCCACAGGCCGCGCGACTGGGCGAGAAGACGTCCGTCGTGCTGCTAGTCGCATGCTCGCTGGTGCTGCAAGTGGTGTTCTGGTCCGTGCCAAACATCATCGGAAACGCGGTTGCGATTTCGATTGTTGGTTTATTGCTAGGGCCGGTGTATCCATGTGCTGCGGCCGTGTTTAGCAAGTTGCTGCCGCGCGACTTGCAGGTGTCGAGCTTCAGTCTGATTTCGGCGATGGGGAGCAGTGGAGGTGCGTTTGCGCCGTTTATTACGGGGTTGTTGGCACAGAAGCTGGGGACGGTGGTGTTGAATCCTGTGGCGATTATTTTGTATTGCTCGATGGTGGTGGCGTGGCTTTGTCTGCCAAGGATTGTGAAGAGGACTGAGTAAATTCGAGTTGGATTTTTTTTATAACGGCGGCTGTGACGGGACGTTGTCCCGTCAGGGAACAGGACGGTATAATGGTCTCCTTAAGATGGACACGGATGGTGGGTATATTTATTTCACCAACTGACGATAATTACGGCCATGACGATATATTTTCTAAAAAAATAACGATGATATTTATAAAAGATTGGGATAAAAATTCGAAGGGAATTGAAATGTTATAATGTGGTTTATCAGCACCTCGTGAATATCAGCACCTCGTTAATTTTTTTAGAGTTTACCACTTTATAATGCAATTAACCACAACACAAAAAATGAATTAAAACTACTCGGATTCTAATGAACAGACATATATACATGTTCTTGACAAGTTCGCGCATTGTGACCAGCCTTTCTACAAGTGCCACAACGCCGTTTAGACAGTTGCCCCTCGTTCCGATTACCCCTCTGTACCTTTTGCCAATGCAGCGACTGTTTGGAAAATAGGTGTTAGCGAGTTTCCTTAGTGGTGCGCAATACGATTTTTAACTAGAGTTGACTGCAAAAGAGCATCAGTTAGGTTGTGAGGCGTTCGAGAGACCTAAGGGTCAACATTAGTAGATGGGGGCCTAGTAGGTGTAGGAGTCTGTAACTTAACATCTAGCCTTGAAATAATCAATTGTGGATTAAAGGGTACCAAACCAGCTCTGCGGAATCCAGCCGTTGCATTTGAGTTGTTATTGACTAGTTGTAAGCTTTGTGAAAAGCTAGAAAGAACTCGACTTTGGTAATATGGTTTATATAAGCCCTAATGAAGGTCTTAATCTAACGCCCATATATGCATTTTAGAACACTAAAACACCTAACATCAAGTGGTTAGGTTAGATGGGGCGAGTGAGGAGGTAGACAAAGAGTTATAATGCTATTAGCTTTGCAATAATCTTAGAAACCAGCCGACCGTGACTCTCATGCCCATCTAGCACTAGCATTCGATACGTCCCTTTTAACTACGAGTGTGTTTGTCAAAGTGTTTTAGCCATTCTAGACCTGTCTCATTGTTGGTCCATCCATTAGAAGTAGGTTTAATAACCCAGTCTTAAGGAAGGCCGCCCTCTATGTACCAGCTAGCAAGGTGGTTTTTGCCTTAAACTACCAAAAATAGATGAATGTCTAAACCTTCACTATTAACACAACAATTGCTATAGCCTATTCTCGATTGCTAGGCTGAATAGCTTTGCCTCTGCCACGTTAATCGGCGCGTGTAACAACCATTCTAGGACAGACGATACCTACCATAAAGCCAGTCTCATCAAAGTTGTAGAAATCACAGTCTTGAATCCCATATTCAGTGTGGGTAATAGTCCAAATAGTCCGTCCAAGGCCTTAAACTGGACTGGACTGTTTAAATATTGAGCAAACTGGACTGGACTGTATATTTATGTGGTCAAACTGGACGGACTGTGAAACTGACTAATAAACTGACAGTTTGTATATAAATTACATCCAAGATTTCAAACACTCTGTAGCCTCGATAGTCTCCACCCCCAAGTTATTCCTTCTATCAGTAACTGTGAGCAACGCACCTGAAAATAGCCTTTCTGGTTCTGCTGACATAGCTGGAATTGAAAGAATATCAATGCCCATTAAAGAAAGATTAGGATACATTAGCCGCTGCGTAGGTTCTAACCACCATGCAAGTGCATCTTTGACCTCTGACAAGATGGGAGCTTGAAGATACCTAGCATACTCATCTACCTCTGTCTGTACACCGGCTTTCTTCCTTCTCCAAGCCTGATACTGATTTTCCCGCTGCTGATGCTGCACCGTTGTTGCTGTGTTTGCTCGTGGAGGAAGAACAATAGCTTTGGACTTGTATTTTTCTTCCCAGAATTCCTGCATCTTAACCTTTCCTCTAGTGATCCACACATCCTCCCAAGTAGATTCGAAGTACTCCCATTTAAACGCCGGGCACAGTACCGTTGCTGCTATATAGACCGGGGTTCTACCTGTTAGAGCATAGTACTTGTCTAGTTTAGCCCAACCAGAGTTGCAACATGGGGCCATGTATCTATCCTCTTGATATTGTATCTTTGCGGCCTCAAAATGCTCTAATAGAAAGTCCATAGTAGGTAAAACACGGTCTAATGTGCCCACGTGTCCTTCAGTTGATAGTGTGGCGTCCTCAAAATACTGAAGAAAGTCCCTAATCTTCTGCAAATAACCCCAGTCTGTTTCTGAAAGTGCGTCCTTTTCTAACTTGTCTCTAGCTGCAAAGACATCAATAGCTTCGCGTCGTAGTGGATCCAAGGCACAGTCAATCATCTTAAACCAAGAGTTCCATCTAGTAGAATTGTCCCTGATTACACTCAAGCCTCCAGTTTGTGTACGAAATCGTTGAATTCGCTGTGTGCTGCGGCGAATATAAACAATGAGGTTGTGCAGCTTTCCCAGTGGCCCCTTCTTTCTCCAACTGTCCATTTCCAGTTGAGTTGGTGTAGAATATTGACCCTCGTTGTTGTGTTCTGCTAGAGCTTCAGTTTCAGTATTGAAGAGAAAGGATTGAGCAGCTAGATTGATGATATGGCCATTGCATCGCAATCGGTAATGAAGAGGATCGTAGGTGAGATTGTGTTGTTCCTGAAGAGCTGTCCAAATAAGTATTAGCTATAACTTGGACCTTTAAGATGGAAAACAATAAAGGAAATAAAGTATACCGGCAGAGAGGTGCTCCATCATAGTATCATTGTTGTCTGCATTGTCCGTCATCATATATCCAACCTTCGAAGTAACTTGGTAGTCTTCTAAAAGGTCTATAAACACTGAAGCCATGTTCTCTCCACTGTGTTCACCCTGAAGCTCCGGAAGACCCAGAACTAAAGACCGGAGTTTCCCATGTTCATCAGTAAAATGACTGACGATACCAAGTAAGGCGTGCGAGTTTGGTGAGCTCCAGAGATCCAAGGTAAAGTGGATGGGAGACAGTGCCGATTGAAGGGCGAGTTTTGTATATTCCTTTTCTTGTTGAAAGGTCCTCATAATCCAACCGTGAATTGTGTTGTGTGTAGCAGGCAACCAGGTGTTGATATTAGGATTTAGATACTGTAGAAGGGCCCGGAATTCATCTCTTTCCACCATCCGGAAGGAGATATTGCAAGAGGTAATCCATTTCACAAAGAGTTGTTCGAGAGTTCCAGGGTCCAGCTGATCTCCAGTTCCATCATTAGAATTAAGGCGCCGGCGTGAATGTGATGCTTCTTCACCTCTTTTGAAGGCATGGCGAATAGTGGCTTCTACAGCTAGAGAATGTGTCTGTTCTTCGTAGATATTATGACCTTTTAGGTGTCGGGCAATGTTTTTGGTTCCTCCAGATTCCATATAAGTCTGAGGGCAGAACTTACACTTCCATACAGAACTGCCACTATCATTAGTCCAAATACGAGCTCGCCCTTCTTCTGTATCAGGAACGTGATCCCATACCCAGGACGTACGGGCGCGTCGTTTACGTGACCGTGAATGTGAGCGTGATTGGTGTCCAGAAGTAGGAGTAGAAGGTTTCGATTCTTCCTCGTCAAAATCATCACTCAGAAGATCAGACAATACAGCGGAAGACTGTTGAGAAGACATCTTGAATCAATGACTGTGAAACTGTGAAACTGCGAAACTGCGAAACTATTACCCACACTGCCCATATTTGGCTCGCATATTCTCTACTGGTCGGAACCACGCTCTAATGAGCTTATAATCTTCGCAAAGAGCTCTGTGGAAGTCATAAACGTGATTAAAATGCGTCTTTAACTCTAGACGCCGTTGTACAAATAGATGCGCCTAGAGCTTGCCGACGCGTTGTCCTCCACGCGATTCTAGTACATAATTCGCTATATCTTCTACACCAGCCAGCCGGGGTGCAAATCCTCTTGTATCGAGATTAAGGATATATCGAATAAACACCTCCTCTTCTACTTCAGTCAACTTGTGGCAATTAGCCTTAAGTTCGTGACGAGATGTTTGGCTAGTCATTCTATAAGAAAGCGTAGTATAAGGGACATTGTAGAGTTTTGCAGCAGAGCGACGACTAAGTTTCTTAGATAATCGGATAGCCTCAATAGCTAAGATGATTCGTGCTTCTTGGGATTGGATTTCCATTGGTGGTTGTTAAGAAAAAAGCGTGTTAAATTTGGTAGGTAGTAAACTCGGGAAAAGTGATCCGCTCGGTGATAAACCACGTTATTTAAATTTAATAGTGCGCATATATTCTCCTTTTCATCCCAGCCGGATCTGAATAATTCAATGCCACCGCCTATATATATTTATTTTGATGTGGTTCCATGATTTATGACCTTTCACATACACCATCCCGAGTTTTGGCGTCAAAGTAAGCCTCGGAGAACATTGAGCTGTGCCACAAAAGGATGCCTTGGGGATCTCTTCTCACTCCATCAAAACCAAACGGCGCTGAATAGAGCTGAACATAGTGTGCATGATCAGCACCGAAAAGAGTCAAGGCAGACCTAGACAGGGGGCGGAGGCGCCGATCCTGATATTTATATTGTCCTGGAGCCTTCCAGTCTGTGGGCGCAGTACAAGATATAAAGGCCAAAGAACCACCACCCTCAGAAAGCAACACCTTGTTGCATTACTAGTACACAAACAAACCATGGCGACATCCAACTCCCCAGACCTACCCGAGGAAGAGCTTGACGAAGATTTGCTCGACGACATCCTAAGCCGCGCCCAGGAGTGCGAGAAATCAAGACGGTAGGAGGAATGAATTTCGGCTCCAGAGCATCGAGATGTTTGCACAGCATTAACCACAGAATACCGTTGGACTACAAGATGAACCTCGCCTACAACTATCGAGCCCAAGCAAAATTCCCACAGGCCGAATCCGTCGCTCGCGATGTTGTCGAGCGGCGCCGTAGGGTACTCGGTGATCATGCAGACACAGCTAGCGCCATGAACAGCCTGTCGATTAGCATCAAGGCCCAGGAGCGAGTGGAAGAAGGACTCTATCTAGATGAGAAGACTCTGAAAATGCTGCAACGTGTTCAGGGAGACGAGGAAGATGCTACGTAGGCAACCATGCATAATCTCGCTAATAGCTATTTCAATGTCGGCAGGCACGATGAGGCGGCTGAGCTTCACCAGAAAGTCGTCGACTTCCGCGTACAGAAATTAGGAAAGAATAACCGCGAGAGCATTATCGCTATGGATATGCTCGCAAGGGACTTTACCGCACTTGGAGAGTGGGACAAGGCGCAACAGCTACAAGTGCGGTGAATGGATTGGCAAAGTCAAACTTTGGCGACGGCGATAGCACCACCATCACCTGCATCTTGAACCTATTAAAAACATACCGCCATCTGGGTGAACCAGATAAGGCACTGAAGATGATAGAAGATTTATTGGCGTCCTTTCGACAGCTGGGTCGTGATCACACCGAGCCTAGTTCGTCACTCATGAAGCAGCTTGCATTCGCGTATTCCGACCAAGACCGATTCGAGGAGGCGGAGCCGCTGTTTGGGGAGTTTTATGAGTGGATTAAGGGGGTTTTGGGGCCTGATCATGAGGTGATGGAGGAGGCGAGGTTGGATCTGAGGGATAACTTGGTGGCTCAGGGAAAGCTTGTGTGGACAAGCTCTTACCGGGCTATAGAATGAATAAGTCGATCTGGAATCTTATTACGGGCAAGCACTAGGTATGCTATATTCACAGCAGCGGAAATGATTTTAACATAGCACCTCATGCACATAACTGACCTTCTAGAAAGAAAAGGTTACTGGTACAGCCTGGGGCAGGGTGGCCAAACCACCAGCTAGATTCAGTCCTGTGTACGTGATGTAAAGGGCAAGCTAAGAACTTGTTCAGCGAGTTGAATACCAGATCATATTGTCTATTTACAACTGTTGCTAAAGACCGGCCTACATTCAAAATGCAAGATTCAACAAAATATAACCGCTAATAAACACGAATGCCATGCAAAAATCGCGAAGGGAGCGTGTATCCATCTCCAACGAAATCAAACCCACTCCAAACCTAAATCTGCTCTCGTCCGCAATGCATCCAGTATCCATCCCACGCGCTACCCATAATCTCGTGCAAAACTTCATCCCATCCATCTAATACTCACTCAACCGCAGCTTCTTCCCCACCTCCCTCCGCCTCGGTATCGCTTTCTCAACCGCAGCTAGGACCGTGTTCTCAAGACTGCCTGTGCGCGCTTGCAGCGCTTGGAGTAGCATACCCGCATCAAAGAAACCATCTAAGAATCATCAGCTGTGTGCCACAAGAAAACACTGGCAAACAAGGAACAGCAAAGAAAGAAGGAAGAAGGAAGAACACTCACATCCCCCCAAATCATCATCATCACTCCCAACCCTACTATCCACACTCGCCGCCTTCGGCACCCCCTCACTCCTAATCGGCCTCCCCCTCTTCATCTTCCCCTCCCCAACACCCCTATACCTCTCCCTCACCCGACTCGACGCCGGACTACCATCCCGACCCCCAACAGCCCTCAACATCCGGCGAATCTCGACCAGGTAGCTCTCAAGCGCATCCACGAACCTCTTCGTCTGCCTATGCTTCGAGGATGCACAAATACTGATCCCCTCGTCTTTGATGATATACCCTATCCCAAATCCGTCGCCGCTGGTGGGGCCAAAGCCAAAGTGTCGAAGGGAGGGGTTACCGCAGTTCGAGGTCGACAGGATAGTGCTATTCAACCTATCCCATCCGTGGTCCGCGAACAAGCTCGGTAGGGCGTTAAGACGCGCCGGGCTCGGGCCGGGCGAGCTACTCGAGCGAATACGTTGGGGCTTGCCATCATCGCTCTGAGCGCTCAGTGACGGGCTAGAGAGCGGATCCGGACTACTCGCTCCCCGGCTGGAATACCCATCTCCATTACTCGACGCAGCTTCAGCGCCATCCTCATCCAGGCCGCGCTGCCACACGCTGAATAGGGCGTAGAGATGTCTATCGCATCCCTGGGCCTTGGCGCACTCGCGTGTTTGAGCGGTGTGGGCCTGGCAAGCGCGGCGGAGGGCCTCGACTTTGCGTGCTGGCTTGAGCTCGCTCCAGAATTCTTGGACGAAGGCGAGGGACTCGGGGGTGACGGAGCGGATGGCCTCTGTGCGGCCGTGGAGGTATACCTTAGTCATCGCAGGCTCGTATGTGCATTCCGAGCGGCCGTAGAGGCCATAGTACGCAGCTTGAAACGCCATCTGTACGAAAGCGTCAGGGGAGAAACCCATGGAAGTCATGAAGTTCTTTCCGTATGCTGCGAAGTCGAGGGTCTGGAACTCGTTCTGCTGGATGAGGTCCGCCAGGCGAGTTTCGGCGAAGCGAACGGCGATGCTGAGTTCGGAGGTCATGACCCATTCGAGTTTGCGGGGGGTGGTGGAGACGGGGCCGAAGGATTTTGGGTCCCGCTTGGAGGGGTCGGGGGAGGTGGAGGCCCAGAGGGAGGGGGCTTGGCCGTTGATGGTTCGTGCGAAGCGGAGGATGGTGTCGGTGTAGACGTCGGAGGCGAAGCGGAGGACGGTGTGGCCGTCCACACCGGTGTGTTCGAAGTTGATACCTGCTGAGCCGTTGGCACAGACGATGATTTGTAGTTTATCGTACCAGCGGTTCGTGCAGGTTCCGATCTGGATGCCCTTCTCGATTTTAGACGTGCCGCAAAGCATGTTTCCGCAGAGATCTGGGGCGTTGGAGGGGGCGGCATAGTCGAGGCAGACGATGAACAGGGCGGAGTCTACGATGCTAAGGCAATCGGCGTTGTTGGATCCCTCGTCGCGGGTAAGAACTTCTCTCAGCCCAGCCCACACCTTGCGGTTCTCGGTGCTGAGGACGCCGATAGCGCTTTTGGCGGCTTCTTGAATTGGTGTCTGCTGAGCATCATCGACGATCGTTTGGAGGTTGATGGCAATGTCCTTCTCGCTCATCACATGATCAGAGTTCTCGTCCAGAACATCGAACCAGTAGAATTGACCGTGGCAGAGTACCACAATGTGCTGGGAGTCAGGGTCCTGGCCGATGTGACAGCCGTGATCAGTCGGAATCCGAGCTGTACCAAACAACCTCGAGTACTGGTACATGCACAAAGGCTGGCCCTTGATAGTATCTGGCGGCAGTTCTTCCCTCCTAACCGCTCTCACAAACGACAACGCTGATACAACCAACGATGCAGCTCTCGTAACCTGGTTGTTACGAGCTGGCGTCGGGTCATCCTCTAGCAAGAAGAACGGATTAAGGTTGAGCACGACCGGGTTGTCATAGTTCAGATACGAATCATACCCTGAGATATCAGCCCAGCACTAGATAAAAACAGCAAGACAACTTACAAAACTGCTCAATATAACTCGTCTTTCCATTCGCATACTTCTTCAGCTTCTCATTCAGTTCCGGCCCGTCCCCCTTCAGGAACTCCTCCGCCGCCTGCTGAGTCTCGGCATGCTCCCCTGGCGGCTGCAGCGGCTTCAGCGCAGCCAGGTACTTGGCGATTGAGTTCTCGAGCTCGGGAATCGGGAGCTTGGGTAGCGAGTCCTGCGCCGCGAATGTGATGCCCTGCTCAATATCAGGAGCGTGAGAGGCGAGCGGCTTGCGTTGCTCTTCGGTGTACTGCCTTGGAGCATCTGGTTTTGATGGTGCCGCAGCAGGTTGGCCCTCTGCCAATCTCTCGTTGAGTGGTTTAGGCATAGTGAAATGTCTGACACCTGGCGTTGCGATAGGCATTTTGTTAGTGTGGTGCGTTTAGGTATACAACGGAGAAACCGAGGTGGAGATATTGAGACCGCGCAGAGCAGTGCGGTAGAAATAGTGACAGTCTTGCAGACAGTATGGCGGCATTAGATCAATGTAAGAAGGAAGGAAGACATGTGTGTATATTCTCCCCTTGCGAGTGGGTGGTTTGCATGAGGGAGTAAAGATCGGGATGGATATGATTATATCAAGCTCGGACTCGGCAATACCCCTCCCTTATCATACATTATTTTAGCTTCGATGGCTCCATGGCAGATCTCCATAGTGTAGGCGTATGCGAGGAAACTTCCATGCTATCCGTTCCGCAACACCGAGAGGCCGTGGAGACCCACCCGGCGCGCGGGTATGCAGCGAAACAAGCAATCGGGTGCGCGCCATCTCAGGTTTTTGAGGAGACACATGGGTAAAAGTGAGAGCATAGCATATACACACATACCTAGTTACTTGCGGCAAAGCCTGAGTGGTGGCAATAGGTGAGATATGCGTAGCCCAGACCAGTGGGTGGGCGTCTGTGGATTGGTGGCACCTTGAATGGTCCGGATCTGATGGCTGTTTCGGCGCCTTCTAGCCCTCCATCAGTTACTCGGAGAATTCGACACCGGGTTGGATTAGGAAAGGACATACCTGGTGGTACTATGGGATATCACACGCCTCTTCGACCAACGAGGGCACCAACTAACCACTCGCAGACTTCGATACGGCTCCTCATGAATCCCCAACAACCGCCGCTTCACCAGCCGCTGCGTCGTTCAGCGCCCGAGACTAAATTAGCAGCACTTTCCAGTTCCTGCCAGAGTACTCGTGCCTGTAGTATGTAATGCTTCGTAACTCCCCAGGCGTTGGCACGTCCTGGCACGTCCTGGCACACTGACCCACTCCGGACCAGAGGAAGCAGAGAGGAAGCAGGGTGACTCGCCTAGTGCGTGGGGGCGTTTGGGAGGCAATGATGGTCCTATCGGAGCGTAGAGGAGTCAAGGCGCAGTTAGTTCGATGGGAGATCGCTGGATGGTATGTGCAGCGTAAATGCAACTGCAAGGTATGAGGGGATGCGACGATATAAATAATATATCACATGTGGTTGGTAGAAGTAGGCAGAGAGACGTTGCACTGAACAATCCGGACCGGCGTCCCCACCAGCCACACCTGTCAGATCCACTAGCCACACGCTAACAACCAGCTCAGCTCCAGCCACATCAACCTCACACCCTCAAATTCCCCATCCACGCATCCCCATCCACGCATCCCCATCCACGCATCCCCATCCACGCATCCCCACCACTTACCACCACACCCATCACCATCACGAAAATGCACCTCTTCCTCCCCCTCCTCCCCCTCCTCCCCCTCGCCCTCGCCCTCCACCTCCGCGTCCTCCTCCCCCCCACCCCCTCCCTCCTCACCCCCTCCCTCCTCCCCCCCTCCACCACCGCCTCCCTAACAACGCAAGGCCACGTCTACACCGCCCCGCTCGGCGCGTCTAGTACTTTTGATTTTCGGAATGTGAGCGCGGGGAGCTATCTGCTCGATGTGGTGGGGTCAACGCATGTTTTTGCGCCGCTGAGGGTTGATATTACGAAGGGGGACGGGGAGGGGTCGGAGGTGGTGAAGGCGTGGGGGACGTGGAGGGGGAATGAGTGGGAGAATAAGGGGGAAGTTGTTGAGGTGGGGGTTTGGGGACGGGAGGGGCGGGTTGTGGAGGTGAAGGCGGTGGGGGTGAAGCAGTATTTGACAGAGAGAACTGGATGTGAGTTGCCTTATTCCCGGGGACTGGCGAGTGGTGTGGTTGATTGATGGGTGCTAATTGTTGTGATGGAATAGTTTCACCATTGTCGATTCTCAAGAACCCCATGATACTCATGGCCGGTGTGGCGATGTTGATGATGTTCGGAATGCCGAAGCTTATGGAGAACAGTACGCCCCCCCCCCCCCCCCCCCCCCTCCCTTCCCACATCCTCTCACCCATCACCCCGCAAGTAGAAAACAGGATATACTAACGAACACCAGTGGACCCAGAAACCCGCGCCGAATTCGAGGAACGCCAGAAGAGCAGCCCCATGAACGGACTACTGAACGGACAGGCGGCGCAGGGGGGAGCAGCGAGCTTCGATGCTGCGGCTTGGTTGGCGGGTGCGCCGTCGAAGAAACAGGGGGTGGAGAAGGGTGTTACGAGGTGATGATGCTGTGTAGGGAGTGGGGGATGGGGGTTATAGACTGGGGAAGGGGTGTAATACAAGTGTTATATTGAGCGTGGTGCTGTGTACTTAACTGGCTGTGATTTACTACGTGTGGACTATGAGGTGATACCGGGGAGTAGGATGAATAATGAGTCCAACCCACAATCCTACGACTCTACTTCCCCTTCTACTATAAAAACCCCCAGATGTCTCAGTGCTCGGACACTCAAGGGTCAATGTCCGCCGGTAGGTTATGTATCAGTCTGGCTTGCTCCGAGCCGCGTGGCTGGAGATCCGGGGGGTAGGGAAGATTGGTGGGACGTGAACCCCAGCCTGGCGAATCGGGCAATATGGCAGTACGAGTAACTACACCCCCGTTCATGTCCCATCTTATCAACTTTGCACGCTCGTCTGAATCAGCACCACAGTTTATTTGTCAGGATAGTCCGTTTTCTAAGTGCTCCTGCATTCCGTGTCCTTCGTGGTTTATATAAAACCAACTTGTTCGCTTTTCTCGTCATACATGCTCGGAACAGCCCGACTGGAAATCGAGTGTAGAGCCCATTATTTGGATCTGTCCCGTAGCTCCGCACATTTGACGATATTCCATCACTCACTTAGGGATGAATTTCATGGGATTTCAGCGCTGGTGTTTCTAGGTAGTTAGTGTAGGGGATTAAGTTCGAGAGGGTAACAAAGTGGGAGAGAGGGAGTGAGGGGAGGGAGCTATAAAAAGGGCGAGGCTCGCGGAGGGGGGCAAGGAGCAAGCGGAAAGAAAACATTTATGCCCCAGGAGGACGATGTGCCGCCTTCGTCTTGCCGCCGTCATCTTCTCATCACCGCGCTACACTGCTGTCTCTCAGTTTTGTCACCGTCATCGTGCAAATAGTAGTAATCGGCGATCTTGTTATCCTCTCGTGCATCACAACCGCTGCCTCGCCATTTCCCGATCCACACATTTGATCACCCTGGCTATCGTGTTCATGCATGGAAACGATTTGTTTGACACCGTCAGTAGTTTATATAGGATTATCACGAGCCGCACGGCGGTTGCAAAATCTGGTTGTTGCGCTCTGGAACACTGATTAGGAAGTATGCGGATCACTTTTTGGGGAACAAGTAAGTGAAGAGATAACAGATTGCTCGTATTAATCAAGAAGTCCAAACCGGTCCCCCGTGACTATCTACGACTTCATCAGCGCAATCAGCCACAGAACCATAACGACGAAAACATCGAAATGCACGCAACCTCCCAGCCACGAATAATCCAGCCGCCCCTCCTCTCTAACCTCGCCTCAAACACACTTAATCACCACCCCCATCATCTCCACCGCCACCATCCTCATATCCCTGATTATACTGATCCTGGTCATGGTCCTGCATCGCATCAGCAATCAACATGCCTCCAATCAACCCTCCTCCCAAACCTAACGCCGCGCCGCCTGCCATCCCCATACCACCACCTCCCTGTCTCCGCTGCTGCTGCTGCGGATACCCGCCGTACCCGCCGCCGCCATACTGGCCATACATCGGCTGCTGTCCGTACCCCATCGGCGGCTGTCCGTAGCCCTGTGGTGGGTACCCCATCTGCTGCTGCTGTCCATAGCCTTGTTGGGGGTACATCTGCTGCTGGCCATACCCTTGCTGTTGCTGCGGGTATCCATGGCTGCCTCCGCCGCTGGTCTTGGAGCTCGCGGCGCCCATCAGCTTGCCGAGGAACCCGCCCTTCTTCTTCTCCCCGCGCTGCTGCTCCTCTGGAAAGGGGCTACCGCTGTTGCTGGGGTATCCGCCGCCGGGTGCGCCGCCGCCGTAGTTGGGGTTCTGGCCGCGCGTGCGTTGGTCTTCCTCAGCTTGTAGCTGGGCGGCCAGACGGGCGTCCTCGTCGACGGTGCTTTTGGTCGCGTTGGGGGTGTCGTAGGGGTTCACCTTCGCGTCGGAGGTGGGTTGGGTGGCGCCGCCGTAGGAGGGGGGTGCGCCGGTGGGGGGCGTGGAGGAGTCGGGAGGGTAGACGGGAGCGGTGGGCTTGTCCCATTGGGATTTCTTGGTGTAGATGTTGACGAAGAACCTGTGGGGGGTTAGTGATGTTGGTTTCGGGAGATGGGGTGACGCACCATTCTTTATATTGGTCGTTCCATTGGGCTTTCCATCCCTCTGGCACTTTTGGGGGTGGTGGCCCTGGTGGCGCTTCGAAATCCGCCATCTTCACTCTTTGTTGGTTGTTATCTACCCTACACTTGCATGTCGGGCTCTTGGGGTGCTCGTAGTGCGATCAAAGATCGATGGACAGTGTAGTAAGACAAAAGTTCGAGATGGATAACAAAATGTCGTCCAGAGATAGATATTTACAGTCTCAACCCGGCGTTGATGACAGATCCTGTTACCAGTTGGGCTAGCAGCCCAGATCGAAGTTACGCAACCCCGCCGTGAGTGTGGCGGGGCGGGGTCTGAATAACCGCTGCGCCACACTTTATAACATGAGTCGCATAACCTGACCCGAGATCCGATGTTCCTTCAGGCACAGCATACAGGTACGAATATATCAAATTTGAACGTCGTTTCTCACGTTAATCTACAAGTAAGGGTGGCGCTACCAAATGGCCTTAAATCGATGCCTCTAGAATATCAAATACGGAGTAGGACCATAGTTTTTCAACATAGTCTACCACAGGGATCTCTTCACCATCTCGGTGAGGTTCTACCTTCTATGTATAGTTCTAGCTATCTTCATTGGCACTGCCTTGTTGCGAGGGCCTAATAGCACTTCTGTGCTGTACAGGACCGTGGTTCTTATGACTTATATCTTGAGGCATAACGACGAAGGGGGGATGTCTGTACCAGAAATCGAAGCCATCGCAAATGCCATCATGATTGCTGGATCTGAAACCACGGCTACACTTTTGTCGGGGATGACATACCACCTTCTGAAGAATCCAGAGACATTAAAGAAGCTTGCTCGTGAGATCAGGGGCGCATTTGCGACAGAAGAAGGGATTACTCTGATCGGTGTCGGAAAGTTAAAATACCTACTTGCAGTCTTGGACGAGGTATTAGAGTGAATCAATGGGCCTCCTACCACACCGAAAAGAATTTGCGCGAGCCGAACTCCTTTATTCCAGAGCGCTGGCTAGGAGACTCACGCTTTGCATCCGATGCGAAAGATGTACTACAATCTTTCTTGGTGGGACCAAGAAATTGCATTGGTAAAAGGTATAAATTACACCTGTCATCTGAACATTTTCTTTTAAACCGTCATCGACATGTTAGCTAACTTCATATGATAGCCTGGCCTACGCTGAGATGCGCTTAATCCTCGTACGACTGTTGTGGAACTTCGACCTCCAGCTATTACTCAAAAGAGTTGGGAGGGCCAAGAAATGTACATCCTGTGGCAGAAGGACCCGCTATATATTACTCTCACAGCGAGGAAATAATGGAAGTTCAGCATATAAGGTCAGATATATCCGAATATAACAGCTTGTTTGTACTATACACTTCCATAATCTGAGGTTCAATAGTCAATATTCACTCAAGCTATGCCAATCTTCCCCTCCAAACTCTACTCTATCTCCAAACGAAAATGCCATATGCGTGGCGTCTTCTACGCCAGGCTCCAGACTTCAATATACAACTCCCCTCCCGCCCTGCATACGACACCTGACCCTCCCCCCTCCCAACAATACCAAAAAATCCAGGCAACATCTTACTCCCTCTCCTCCTCCCTCCCATCCCCAAACAACCACCCAGCCTCAAGACAATACCTCCCCCCCCCCACCGTCCCCCTCTCAATCCCCCAACACACAACCGCCCCATCCACAATCCCCGCCAACACCCCCTCCATCGCCCCCAGCACACCCCACCCAATAAACCCCGCTACCATCCCAACAACATAAGCGTACACGCTGCCCCTTACTCCATTGCTGCCCGCAACCTCCAGCTGCCGCGCCGTGGCGACCCAGCCGCCGAATCCTAGCGAAACAGCCATAATACAGCGCGTCGCGTGCAGCAGCAGCTTCGCGAGGCGATACGGCAGTAGTGGCGCGTTCCCCTGGTTCCTAGCTCCGAATGATCGTGGCGCCAGGGTGCTTGTCGGGCCCTGAAGACCGAGATATGTCATGTGGCTCAAGGCGCGCGCGGATGGCGCGAGAGGCTGCGACTGGATGCCGGCGTAGGTGAGGGTGAGCGGGTTTGTGAGGGAGGCAACGGGGGAGGGAATGAGGCTATATGCGAAGAGGGATGCGCATGCGAGGAGGCGACGGGGAAGAAGTAGAACGGGCAGACGGATAGCGAGCGCGAGGAGGGTAGCTAGGCAGATAGTGCCGAATTGGGTGGTTGAGGCGTGCGTGAGGCCCGCGAGGACGATGTCACGCGATGACGGGGCAGGCGCAGCGTTGCGGTGGAAGTACCACTGGCTTGCTGTGGCGGCGGTGGCGACACGCTGGAGTCCGCTGAGGACGGAGAGCGTCCAGAGGTACATGAGGACGAAGAAAGCACCGAGCCACCAGGTGGCGAAGTCGATGATGAAGATGGAGGAGACGAGGTGGCCGCCGAGGAAGACGCGGGTGAACATGGCGAGCCAAAGCCAGGTCCAGAGGATGACGGCGGCGAGGGTTGCGAAGCCGAGGGTGAGGAGTGCGGGGTTGGCGGCGAGGATGCGAGAGGAAAATTCGAGGATCCCGACGGCTTTGTGGAGGGAGTGTCGGCCTTGGAAGACGGTGTAGGACCAGATTATGGCAGTGAAGAGGGGGACAAAAGAGAGCCAACGCATGGCGCGGTCTTGGATAGAGGTCCCGTGCTCGACTCCTTTGTAGGAGGAGATGAGTGGGTAGAGAGAGAAGGAGAAGAGGATGACAGGAACTGCGACAACCAAAATGTAGACTAGCGGTCGTACGAACGAGCGGAGGAGTGCCAGCCAAAGTAGTGAGATGATCACCGCAACGACTGTGTCGACTGCCAATAGGTGAGATGACGCCCGAAGTGCCGTGTATATAGTATCGCCAAGCGGAACCTTAGAGCTCGGCGTCGACGTGTGCAAGAACACGAGGAAGAAGGTCGAAAACAGCGCTGCAAGTCCGATGAAGTAAAGTGATCCCCAGAAGACATCGTGTTTTGGCAATTCAGCCATTGCCATGGGTCCCATCGTCGCAGGAACCGTTGACACAACACTGGGAGGCCGGGTGCTATCCATCATGGCAGCTTCCAAATCCCTATTCCCGTGAAAGATCTTCGAATCCGGCATCCTCCCAGGGCCGCTCTCAGGCGTGCGGAATTGCTGGAAGGCCGGTGGAGAGTCATCAACAGCCTCACAGGTCAGGTCGTCCGGCGGATCGTTATCGTCGATAGCTGATTCCAGCCCGATATCCACCATATGTCCCCTCTCATTGCTGCTCGCATCGCTATTCGTCCGCCTCTGGCTTTCCTCATAACGTACTCCCTCCGGCACCTCCCTCAGAGTCTCCGGTTCCGCACCCCTCTCTCTCACGCTCCCCCTCCCTCCATGCCAACTACTCTTAATACCTCTCCCTCTCCCCACGCCCATATCCTCCTCCCTGCTGAACTCCACCGTACTCCCACCCTCCCGCTCCGTCTCCTCACTCTCCTCCATCCTCGCTCCCACCACCCTCCTCGACCTCTGCAACGCATAAAAGTCCGCTAAATCCCTCTCCCTCTCCTCCTCGTCATACTCTTCCCTGAACTCATCCAGCGCACTGTGAAACAGCGGCGCATCTGGCGCCGCCGACAGCCGCGACGCAAACGGGAACCCGCTCAGCTGTCCCCCACCTCCGCCTTGATATGGGTTCCCCAACGCTGAGCGTCCGGCGTATGCATGTCCTGTGCTGGCGAGAGGGCGGGAGGAGCGACGTGAGCGGGATGGGGCGACCGAACCGGCGTCGCTTTCGGGGGGTTGGACGAAGCTGGAGATTCGAGACTGAGACTGGGCGAGGAAACGAGAGGCGTCTGTGGGTGGATGGAGTTAGCAGGTTGTTTGTGGCGAGGAGGGAGAGGAATGGTGGGTGGCAGGCAGCTTACATTCCGAGAACATCTTGGAAGGTGTGTGTTGGTTGCGACAGTTGTTGGGTTTTGTCGACTATGGCCGCTTCAGGTCAGCCTCTTGCTGCCTGGGATGTTATCGTTGGGGCCACTGGGTCCGGAGCGTAGACGGTGTCGTCGACCTGGTGAAGTGATGATCCGTTTGTCTGATCTGACAAAGGCAGCGATTACCACGCCGGGTTTCGAGTTTCGAGGCCTCAGCGAAGGCAAATAACACAACAAGAAAGAAATTATCGATATATATGCTTCTTCTCGTCTGAGGAAGAGCAGCAGGAGTAGAGAGGGTCGTGATGTCGGTGGTGTTGGATTTGGAGAGTTGTTGGAGGGTTGGGCGGCCTTGGGTGGTGCTACGATTCCAAGAGCTAAACCCGCGATAACAGGTCCGGACATGGATTTGGTCATTCAGAGGTACGAAGGTACCTGGCTGAGGCGGTGACTGATGCGGCGTGGGGGGGCAATTTGGGCGCTAGGCGCTAGGTATAGCGCCGGCAGTAATTAGCGCCCAAGTTGGCACATGCCAAATTCAGCCGAGCTTGACGTAGTTGAGGTCATACAATGCTACAAGCAAAAGATCCAGGAACATTTAAATACGGCGTTTAAATCTTCTTGGACCTTTTGCTCTCTTATATCCTCGACACGTCCATCGCCAGTATTGCCATCAACGCGTCCATTCCCATCAAGGCGCCCATTACTAGCACTCAAACGTCGTTTGTGTCGTCTGCGCCGCCATCGCCACCAACGCCGAACCAACCAAGCTATTAGCAGAATCAGTAAGAACCCTCCCACTGGTAGACCGCTTTAAGACCAACTTGTTTGTCTGTGCTAGAGTTTTGAGGTTCAGGTGTGTCGGGTGCCGACGGTCCTCCAATATGACCCGTAGTAGAAGACAAGCTAGGGTTGCTGAATTCAGGAGTGTCAGTTGCTAATGTTGTTGATGGTCTTTCGTGCTGAGTAACAGTTGAGGACATCCCAGCATTATTAGATTCAGCCGTGTTAGGTGCCAATGTCGATGATGGTCTTTCAGTCTGCACGGGGGTAGAAGAGAGGGTGGCAGTAATGGCCAATTTAAAATAAGCAGCCTCGGACTGCTGCCCTTTGCAAGTGGCGATGGAATGCTGCGGAGCAGAAAATAGTCGGCTGTATGCCCAGAGTTGGCATTTGGCAACGAGTTGAGAGGTCCGTATGAGCCATATTATAGAAAATAATTGCGGCTCGCGGAGAGTATATGTGGAACAATATCCGTAGGATCCGTGGCAGTAGGTAGAGAATATAAACTGAAAATATAGTCATGAAGCAGTAGGGCCCGAAGTGATAATTTTGTAATGCATGTTTTTATAATTGAAGCTATTCTAAGTACTATATATACTGTTACGGGTGTGCCTATTCGTGGTTCGGATCCTAAAACCCTCCTGGTTTCGGTTCGTTCCCTGGAGCTTCAGAATCGAAGCTTTAGAATCGGAAGATCCAGGATCCGGAGGATCACGAAGCTGGCTGACACAGCTTCAGTATCAGGGCCGTGATCCCTGCTTCCGGGCCGAGGATTCAACAGTATATTATAAAGTATAGGTTGCGGCGGCCAGAAAATATAGAGGCCTGCCTCGTTTGATAGGCTGTAAAATGTGTAGAAAAAAGTGTGACTAACGAAAAGAAACTGAAGAAGACAAGTAATGTTGCAGGAATCGGGGTTCAGAGCCACGGGAGCCACTGGCGTGGCACCCACCCACATATATAGTTCTCAGTAGTTGTAACCTATATACTTGAACTAATCAACAACTTGTCTACCACCAACACTTCCAATGACCTCCAGTGACTATGTGTTACAGGTTATGAGCCCGGAAGCCTATTGTTAAGGTATTTACAAGATCAGAATTATCATTGAGTGTTGATTTGTGCAGTCCAATTCACCAATCCGTCAACAGACTCGCTGAAGTCAGTGTTTTCGTTACAGCACCACAATGTAATGGTGGGTGCACCAGATGTGAGAATCTAGCCACCCAAGGAAGGGATGAATTTACTAAGACAACACACTGTCTTAGGAAAAAGAGCCAAAGGGTCGTAGCTTAGACTATTCCACAACGCAGCAATCAGGTGTGTGATGTAGTGAAGTGGTTCAGACAAGTTGCAACAAATGTTGAGTCTGGGAACTCAGGGGTAAGTCAGAGGTTAACACCTCACTGACTTTTCAGAAACAAGGAGTAACAAGATCAATGCTTGGAAGCTTGGAAAAGACGTGGAAGTATGTGATAGTCGATTTACTGTATTGTCTGCTTGCCCTTTCTTAAGGAAAGGGCAATCCTATTTATGCTAAAGGAGTGTAGTTCTCTCATTTTCCAAGACTTTCCATGACTAACCAGGCTTGGTAACTGTAGTCAACGTAAGAGAATCCCATAGAACCATCTCCTAGGTTCCTAGCCTATAGGAAGTGAAAGGAGGTCCAAGGTCAGAGTACCCCTATAGACAAATTATGTCATAACTTAACCAATCTTGTGGGTAACTAAAGAGCGATGACATGTAATGAATCATAGAGGTTCGTAGGAGCTTTTAGAGCTATCGTTCATGCTCCTAGGCCTCTAGTTGGTAGAGATATGTCATGTGGTAGTATGAGTGATGTCATGTAATGAATCATAGAGGGTTGTAGAGATATGCTATGTGGTCATATCGGCCCAGTAACTAAGGAGCAATGACGTGTAATGAATCATAGATGGTTGTAGCAATCGTTGAGTAGTATTGCTCTTGTTGTTGGTGTGATAAGCCAAAATATGTATAGTGACTTGTAGGTTTGAGGAGGAGATTTCCAAGTTTGCTCTTGAGTTTGATAGCAAACTGAGTGCAACGAATGTCAGTATGACACACAACCTCAACCTCAAACAGTTTTGAAGTATGGTGAAGAGGATTGTGGCTCTCTTTCTTTGAGTTATATCCACACTGTTTATTTCACTTTATGTCCTCTGCGCTCGAGCCAGAAGGACTTTCTGAGATCTTTGAAGACCCAACAGATCAACTCGGAACTTCATCTCAAACTGAATTTCGAACACGACTGCGACTACACCAATAGCCAATATGTCTTCTACAACTATGGTGAGTCTGAATACGACTTCGCTGCATCTTCCAGAGCATTTGAAGCTCAAGGGTGAAGAGAATTACACCAACTGGAAGGAACTTATCGTCAACATCGCCCGAGGCAACGGACTGGCGAAATACATCAACGATAGATGCAAGAGGCCAGAATACATTAATGAATTTCATGAGGACTATGATGAGGCCAAAGATGGAGACAAGCTCAGGAAGTATGAAGCTTGGGAGAAGGGCGACGCTCAGATGCAGCTCGCGATCCAATATAACTGCAAGACGATTCCAGGAAAAGTGGCGTCTGCAAAGGACACAGCGCTTGAGATGTGGAGAGCCCTACAACAGCAATACGAAGGCTCAGGTTCAGTCCTGAAGTACAATGCAATTCAGGATTATGTTCACCTCAAGTACGAGAATTTCTCTTCGCTTGACACGTTTATTATCGCTGTCCGTGAAGCTATCGACAAACTTGAGAGTCTACAATGCCCTCCTCATGATGATTGGCTTCCTGTTATGTTTATAGCTTCTTGTGCGAACAAGTGGCCAACTTGGGCAGAACGCCAAAGATCACTCCTTCGGTCTCCAGATCACCGCATCACTCTCGACTCTCTTATCGATGACCTCACAGATGAGGCAAGATTGAAATCGACTCCTACAGGCTCGAATGCCTTGTACGGAAACAAATCTCAAGGAACGGGTAAGGGCAAAAACCCAAGCAAGGTGTTGGAAAATGATCAATGTTGGCTTCGAGCTTGAGGCGAATTTTCACAACCCAGTCTTCAAATGCTGGCTCTATCCCATCTGTGAGGATTGGAGGGTCTGGAATCCGAGCTGACAGTCGACTGTGAGAGTGGTTTCCTGGTTCATTCTTCAGAGCTTGTTGGGTTTGCTTTTCAAGATATTTCTGAATCGTTTGTTGCTCTGTGATTTGTTGCTCGTTGCTCTAGATCAGTTCCTGTAACTGGAGAATGGCATCATACTTTTCAGCCAGTATCGAATTCGAGTCCTTTGCTAGGCCAAATAGTCCTGAAGAATGTTCTTGTGCAAAGTCCATGCCATTTTTTGGTTGGTGACAGATAGTTTCTGGAATTCGTCAAAGGTTTCAACATTCCATTCAGCCTTCTCATGTCGATTTGCAAGTATAGATTCATGTCTCTCTTGAGCTGTTTTGCCCAGAATGTAAAGAAAGGTTTCAGATTTGAAATTAGGATCATGAAGTTCATCAGTTTAGTTTGCAAACATGGAATTGATGCTCCTTCTGCCAGGGATTCCTGGTCTTGTTCTGGATCATTTCGAGCTGCCATTGCAGCTTTTTCTTCAGCTGTATAAGCCATAGCGAGTTGCTATTTCAATTTCGGTTCATATCGTCAAGTGAGACACATATTGCCAATGGCCCTATTGTGCAGTTGTCAGCTGTAGGAGCCACTCGAGAGTAGCGCACTTCCCTCACAGTTATATCCTTGTTGAGGGAGCGTTGTAAAAGGTCTGACTTGCAAAGGTGGTGTGTGTGTGTCGAGCTGACTGTCGAGAGCCAGCTTTGTAGGGTTGCCTCAAGATCGTCCTGGAATCGACTTCAGGATAAGGTTTCTGGTTCTGGGTTTTCCAAAGAGTGGATTTTGATTTCGATTTCAGAAGAGGGTTCAGCTCAAAGAGCAGGAAAAGAGGTATAAGAGAGATTGAGTTTTATGTCACGGTTCACCAAGGCATAGGGCGCCAGTTGGGTATTATGAATTAAACTCAATCTAGAGAAGGAAGGAAAGAGAAGAGGAGCACTCGAGCTGTGGCTCGATCTATATACAGCTATGTTGTTGTGGAGTGAATTCTCTTTAGCGAGACTAGTTCTGAGAATTCACTCCACAACTGAAAACTTCGCTCCAACCCCGGAAAGCTCCCCACACCCCTGAACCCCCACTCGAGCTGCAAGGCGCACTTGATATCGTAACAAGGTATATGTCGAATTGCCTCCTGGATGGTGTGAGAATGGTGTCAAGCTTTCAAAGGAGGATGTGTGCAAGCTATCACGTGCACTTTACGGTCTCAAGCAGTCACCACGTCTCTGGCAGAAAAAGCTTCGCAAAGCACTCCAATCTCTTGGATTTGAACCATTCGAAACAGACCAATGCATCTTCATTAACAAGGACACAAAGATCATCATTGTCACTTATGTTGATGACTGCCTCATTATTGGCAAAGATAATGAGGACTTAAGTAAGTTGAAATATGAGTTGCAGACAAAGTTCACAATTGAAGAACTCGGTCCTGCACAATACTTCCTTGGAGTCCGCATTCATCGAGATAGAAAGAAGCGAGAGATCTACCTTGGACAGGATGCATATACTCAAAAGATCAGCCGTTTTGGAATGACGAATTGCCACACACACGGTGAAGACGCCTTGTGCCCAAGGATGGGAAATTCTCATGACTCCGTACAAAGACAAAGCTACAGCTCACGAAATCAAGCTGTATCAGTCTATGGTTGGATCTCTAATGTATCTAGCCACGAACACTCGACCGGATATCAACTATTGCACGTCCGTTCTATCTCGTTTTCTCGCAAACCCCTCGCCACAGCATATCGCAGCTGCTCGTCGCTGTCTGCAGTATCTTGCAGGCTCTATTCATCTGTGCATCTGTTATGGAGGCGATTGGAAGGATGATGAGGCTATGGCATTAAGAGGATACGTCGATGCAGACTTCGCAGGCGACAGAAGCGAGCGCAAGTCTCACACAGGATGCGTCTACCTTTTCTGTGGAGGCGTCATTGTGAGCATTTCGAAGAGACAGCCAACCGTTGCAGTTGCGACTACTGAAGCTGAATACGTGGCTATGTTTAAGGCTGCACAGGAAGGAGCATGGCTTCGACAGGTATTCAAGGAGCTTGGATATAAGAAGAAGGATGCACTCACAACGGAAATCATCGGCGACAACCAAGGAGCTCTTGCACTTGCAGAGAATCCAGAGTTTCATCAGCGAACGAAGCACATCAACATCAAATACCACTACATCCGAAATCAAGTGAAGGAAAACCTTGTTGATCTATATTATGTGTATACAAAGGAAATGGCTGCAGATGGACTGACGAAGCCACTATCAATGATGGATCATCAGAGATTCATTGAGCTGATCAAGCTTAAACAGCTTCCAAAGATGGACTGATTATAGGTTACGGATGAAGAACTAGGGGTGCTACTAACTGTTGATATGTTTTCTACAATATCACCAGAGGGGTGTGTTGCAGGAATCAGGGTTCAGAGCCACGGGAGCCACTGGCGTGGCACCCACCCACATATATATAGTTCTCAGTAGTTGTAACCTATATACTTCAACTAATCAACAACTTGTCTACCACCAACACTTCCAATGACCTCCAGTGACTATGTGTTACAGGCCTCGAAAGAGATTCGGTTCATTCATGATGGGGAAGGCAAGGTTAAGTTTGGGAACGTAATGATTCAGGAAGGACTGTTCGATGCCTGGCCAGAACAGAATGGGTGTATTAGCAGTGCAAACGGGTTATAAATAAAAAAATTTGATTTGTTCTGCTTGGTTTGGGCGCCCCTTTTATTCTTTCATAGTTTTACTAAATCAAAATTTAAAACACCGCTGATGTAAATTTTACATGTTGAACTGCATCACGACGCCCGAGCGAATCCACCAAAAAAGTTACCAATAACCTCGTGATTTTCAATCTTCGTGATCATTGAAATATCTATTACCAATAGCGCCGAGCCTTTGCAAGCACTGACATAGTCAGGAACGAAAAAAATAAAGGGGAACACCGACAATGATCTGGTCTCACAATTGCCACCGCGCCCTTGCTTGGCTCAATACCATAGAACCCATATACCTTTCCATGTCCTGAATTATAGGTCTCATCGTCAAAATATACTTTATGCAAATCTATTATACAAACATTGTCAGCTCTGCCCATTTTCGAGAGGAGGTTACAAACCTCGCATCTTCCACTTCCCAGTTATAGGCGAGAAGCAATCCAGGATCTGATCTTGCACGGTGTTGACACGCTTGCCCGAGAGAACCGCTATCGGCTCAATGAAGAAGTCGATATCTGCAGAAGCAGGCGTGTGAGATCTAATGGGACCACCGGATGAATAAAGATAGGCTCCCAACTCCACAAGTCTAGTGGCACTACCAGGTTCACTAATGTCTCCTGCCAAGATAACAACCCGCCAGAGCCCATCCGACGGCAAAGCTTTCACAAGCTGCATCGCTTTTGCATCACAGAACCTCACCACCTGCGCGCTTGGGAAGCGCATCCCTACTATGAGATTAGCTGCCAGACTCTGCATGCTGTCCTTTGCATTCGTGATCTGCGAGTCTCCGTATTTTGCAGTCAAGCCCGCTGTATACTGTCCGGCCTTAATGAAATGCTCTTTAAACTCGGTTAAGCCGTCTTCCTTTGCTGCCTTTGAGCTAAAAGCCTTACAAATGCACGGTCGAAGTCAATCAGGTCAGCAGCCACTTTCTGACGCTCCTGGACGTACGTCTCAAGAAGTTCTGGCGGGGATTGGCCTTTTAGGACCTGCGCAAGCTTCCAACCAATGTTGTATCCATCTTGTAAACTTTTGTTCATACCCTGCCCTGCTTTTGGTGAATGCGTATGGCAGGCGTCGCCAGTGAGGAAGACGCGATTGTCCTTGGCGAAGAAATCTGCCTGGCGCTGGCCAATAGCGTAGGCTGACCACCAGAAAGTTTCGGCGATTTCAACCTGGTAGGAATGGAAAATTCGCGATGCAGTAGAGTGCAGGTCAGAGAGTTGGACGTCCTTGGCTGGTTCCGGATGGCAGCTCAATGTAGAAGCGTACCATGGAGCCACCTTCGCGCGGGATTATCGAGAGATTTCCTGAGCTGGACTGGAGGGTTGCTTTTTTGCGGATATCAGGGAAGTTTGTTCGAGGAAACACGTCCATTACATCTCACACAACATCACTGCTATCGCCGACCATCTTATAACGCAGAGATCTGCGCACAGCGCTATGTGCGCCCTCACAAGCCTGCTAGGATGAGAAATAATACTGTATCAGGGCCAGACACCACTTACTAGGGCATACTTTGCCTTGAAAAATGCCATTTAAATGGCATTGTGGGGAATCATCACTACAATTTTCAGCAGCTTTCTAGCTCTCACATCATCAAATGGGGCAATCTCGAATCTAAGCATATATACAGAGACGCGCTCAGTGAGGCTGTTTTAACTCGACGACCTGCGGGAGCCTTGCGGGAGCTCTCTTCTCATTCCGGTATCCAAAGCCGCTATGCATCGTGTCTACCGGCTATTGGCGTCTCAACGCAAGGGGGCTATTGGAAGTGAAATATATATTAGACACCATGAGAGCCGTCTGCTTTGCCAGTTCCTACCATAAAGACACCCCGACCAAGGCCATTGTTCAAGTCCCAAAATTATAAATGCAGCCACAGCTGAATGAGAAACCGCACCAGCTCCCCTCCAGCCTCCACAGCCGCGCACCATCTATCCCGCACCAGGCCTGCATAGCTGAACCCTTATGCGCCATTTACACCTCCCTGCCATTGAGCTAATAGCTTCTCCCCTTGCTGCTACTTCCTCACCCGCGGCGCTATGATCAATCGTGACGTGATGCCAAACTTGGCATCCGTGGCGTAAGCGATGAGGCTGTGCACCTCCCACCACCCACGGACTCTTACGTGTGCGCCAATTAGCGCGGCTGCGACCACTCCTCCCGCTCCACCAGACAACAACCCTCACTCGCCGGATCTAGTCTAAATGGGATTTTGTGCGTTTATTTGAAGAGGAGGTTCTTTACGATTTTTTGACCTGACTTGTTTCTAGAGAATCAATCAAGAGAGTGATTTTGGGTTTCAGAACGATTGCACAGATAGACCCTGTGACGTACGACAGATAATATCAGGACCCTAACAAGACCCGAGTTCACGAAACTGTACCCCACGAACCCAACGAAACGAACAAACGAAGCCTCAATAAAAAAACACTCGCAACAATGAACGAAGGACCCTCGCACGAACCCCCGGCGCTGCCAGCGGGATGGATCGCCCAGTGGGATGCCGAGTCGGGGAAATACTACTTCGTCGAGCTCTCTACCCGGCAGACGCGCTGGGATGTGCCCACGGCCGGCTCCTCAAGCACGCCGCATGAAGAGCGCTCGAATTCGGGCTTTGGACAGCAGCAGAAGCCCGGAGAGGGCACGAGAGGCATGGGAGGAGATGGACCGGAGGGAGAGAGAGGATTGGGGGTATGTATTCCCTGGCTTCTCAACGCTGCACATCAAGCGGTGGGAGAGAAGCTAACGAATAGCAGAGCATGGCCATGAAATACGCCATGGGATCCGGGTCGGGAAAACAGAGTAGTGGTAGCAGCGGACTCGTCGGGATGGCGGGGTCTTTGCTGGGAGGTGGGAAACAAAGCAGTAGCAGCGGTAGCAGCGGACTTGTTGGCCTCGCCGGGTCGCTGCTAGGTGGCGGAAAGCAAAGCAGCAGCAGCGGCAGTGGAGGGTCAGGCGGCCTGGCTGGGATGGCCAGCAGCTTCTTGGGAGGGGGGAAGCAGAGCAGCCAGAGTCAGAGCCAGAGCCAGAGCCAGAGCCAGAGCCAGAGCCATGGACAGTATGGAGGGTCGTCGCAGCAGCAGAGCGGGAATTATAGCGGTGACCAGACTGGCAATTACAGTGGTGCTCATCAGCAACAGGGAAGCAGCAGCGGAGGAGGTCTGATGGGGAGGGTTGGTGGACTTATGGGCGGAACTGTGAGTATCTATCAATTAGATTCGAGGGGTGAGTGCTGACGATTATGGTAGCATGGACAGCAGGGACAGGGCGGGTATGGATACTCTGGCAGCGACCAGCAGGGCAGTTACCAGGGACAAGCACCGCCTCCTTCGTACACCCCTGGTGGTTCATCATCGACGCCCACATACGGCGGCGCCCAGGGACATGACTCCAAATACGGCAGCGACAACAAGTACAGCAGCGATAACAAGTACGGCAGCGACAACAAATATGGCAGCGACAACAAATACAACGGCAGCCAGCAGCAACAGCAACCTCCCTACGGCGGTCCTCCACCAAACACAAACTACAACTCCCAGCAGCAGCAACAGTACCCGCCACCACCACCACAGCAGCAGCCCTACGGCCAGGAGCAGCACCAGTACGGTGCCCCGCCCCCAGTCCCAGGCGCGTACGGCCAGCAGCCTCCGCATCAGCAGTACGGACAGCATACGCCGGGCGGCTTCCCGGGAGCGGAGCAGGGCGGGACAGTGCCAGGGAACCTGCCGAAGCCGGAGGGGAAGCATCACTTTGGGAGATCGCATGAGGGGGGGTTGTATGGCGGACAGCAGGGCGGAAAGAAACATGATGAAGGCCATCAGGGCGGACAGTATCCGCCGCAGGGGGGGTACCCTCCGCCGCCACCTGGTGGGGGTGGGTATCAACAGCAGGGAGGGTATCCGCCACCACCACAATACCCACCGCAGTATTGAGGGGGATAAGGGGCAAGGCAGAAGTGGTAGATATTGAAGATCGATTAGAATTTAGCAAATGACTATGTTGAAATTATATGGTAGCTGTAATACACCACCCTTCATTCAGCACCTTTGTGAAAGTTAAGAAGCTTCAAGTAACAGTGTCTAAATGAGACATCCAGCTGGTTTTGGCCTTTTCCAACGCCTCGACATCTCCATCTTTCCGTATCTCACAATGCATACGTCCAAAGCCTTTAAATAAGCCGTTATCGTTCGCAAAATTCCATTTGAGACCACATCCGCCATTGCATCAACATGGTACCCAGGTTGCCTGGTTTTTCAGAAGTCGGAAACGCTTTTCTCGGTCGGATCCCTTTATATCTTTCGGTCGTTTATTCATCTGAGCTTCAATATGAAGCATGTATAATATTGCCATAGTATATCCCTTTGAGGCTGACCGAGAGTATTTGTATCGCAGGGAAGACGTGTCCAGAGTTCTTCTATTTCTTCAACTTTGATTCCGTAGTCTTCTAACTCGAGCAGAAACGAAAAGACTAGACACGAGATTTATCTACTTTGCTTACGGAATTGGGGTGTTATATCACAAGGCGACGACGAAGACAGCGGCGATGATGCAGATAATGAGAGTTAGATTAGTATATATCAATTTCTATTTTATATGCGAGTACTACTCAGGGTATAATAGTACTGGTATTCGAGCTTCAATTATGAGTATTCTACTCGAGGATGCTCGAGTAGTATTCAGAGTGGTATTCGGGCAACACTGGGTAGGTTCAGTAGAATAGTAAAATAAGAAAGGCCCAATTAATCAGAAGTAAAAATGCATAGTTATCGATTAAAGTAGCTACCATAACTACTCTATATACTGTGACACCGTGCCCCTGAGCTAATTCATTGATTGCTTGTATAGCGAAGGTGGTCCTTCGCTATACAAGCAATCAATGGATATTGGTATTGCTTACTCTGCCAATACTTGAGAATATCTGTGTCCCTACCAACTGTTGGCTCCTTCATCCATCGCTTCCATTCCGGCTCAGTATCGTGATGGCTTTGTGATACATATAACTCGTCTTCTGAGTCTACATCGATATTCATAGCTTGCTCTGTATCTAGATCCTCATCTTCAATACTATTAATAACGTTTGCTGCTTGAATATCAGACTCGCGGCCTGAATATCGGTAGAAGCAGTCCTGCCACTGTGCTTTCGCCCTGTTCCTTTTGGTTGACTGTGTTACGATTACAGCTCACAGCTTGTTACGGTTGTTACGGTTGTTACGGTTGTTACGGTTGTTACGGTTGTTACAGTTGTTACGGTTGTTACAGTTGTTACGGTTGTTACGGTTGTTACGGTTATTACGGTTGTTATGGGGATTACGGTTGTTATGGGGATTACGGGTGTAGCCTTAGCCACCAAGGTTACAACCGCTAAGCAGACAACTGTATGTTATGAGGAATAGCCTCACCTTCCTTCCTTCTTCTTCTTCTTCTCTCTTTAGATTCAATCTAGATTACTTTTCCTGGACTGGCATCATGACCTCTATGACCATCGTAACATAAGATTGAATCTCATTTCTTCATTAGCTCATCCTGAGCAAGAAACCAGAAACCAGCACAAACCTTTGAGCAACAGAACCCTCAAACCAGACACCAACACAAACCTTCAAGCAACAGAACCTCCAGAACCAGAAATCGAAACTCAGACCAAGACACTGCTCTTTAGCAAAGAACTAGATCTAGATACAGAACCAGAAAACAAGCCACTCATTTTCACAGTCAGGAAGTAATACAGAACGTGCAAGGGAAGAAAGCTTCATTTATCTATTCTATTCTGTGCTCAGTTACCCCTCACTGCCAAGGGCTTGGCAGTATTCGGAGTATTCGGAGTAGTATTCGGCGAGTTCCTGAGTACCCATAAATATCATCCAAATACCAGAGTATGGGGGACTTGCCGAATACTACTCAGGGCGAGTACAACTTGGGCAACACTGAACCTACCAAGCACACTTTAACATTAGCACTAGTGATATCCCCTATGAACTTTACCTTATAGGTTCAATGTACAAGCTAAGAAAAAAAAATCATCTACAATTGATATTGTCGCTGTCGTTCCCACTTTCGACCTTGCATGACTTATATATTGCTTCGTATATCTCATAGGAAGCCATAGTCAGGTGTTGGCAGAATGGCATATAGCCAGGGGTTGAATTCGATCTATTGCACAATATCATTAGTTCTTTCTCTTTTCTTAGACAAAACTGTTATAATTTAAGAAAATCAGGTGTTTAATTACTGTGACAACAGGCTAGGAATATTCCATGCGCTCACGCGCTTTTCCCATCATGTCCGTGACCTCCCTGCACACAATGCTAAAATATTCATCTTCCGGTGTCTCAAATTTGTTCATTGCAAAATGATCTTGACTAAGAGAGTACTTATCCGTTGCATCAAGGCAGCCCAATGCCTCGCTCACTGCAGTTTCCTAGGGTAAAATCAGTAACATGCAATACATGATAGAAAAGCGTACCATTTGTTTATCACTGCCTATGACAGCTCTAACATTGCTTTTTTTCAACTTGTAGAAACAGGTGATTTTAGCACTATTTTGTAGCTTCCCAAATTGATACACGACCCCACCTTAGCGCCCTGTTGCTATCTTTCTCATCGTTCGCGTCGAGAAGTGCCTAAAGAGGAGTTGGTCGCAGAGAGAATCAATGTAGTTTAACTAACCTTTAGAACTACCAAACCACCGAAACAGTGTGCTATAAGTATCATGGGTCGATATGGAGCTTTCTAAAGAGATGTAGGTGCACCAGATGTGAGAATCTAGCCACCTGTCATACTGACATTTGTTGCACTCAGTTTGCTATCAAACTCAAGAGCAAACTTAGAAATCTCCTCCTCAAACCTTCAAGTCACTATACATATTTTGGCTTTTCATACCAACAACAAGAGCAATACTACTCAACGATTGCTACAACCCTCTATGATTCATTACACGTCATTGCTCCTTAGTTACTGGGCCGATATGACCACATAGCATATCTCTACAACCCTCTATGATTCATTACATGACATCACTCCTTAGTTACTGGGCTAATACTACACATGACATATCTCTATCAACTAGAGGCCTAGGAACATGAACGATAGCTCCAAAAGCTTTTACAACCGTCTATGATTCATTACACGTCATCGCTCCTTAGTTACCCACAAGATTGGTTAAGTTATGACATAATTTGTCTATAGGGGTACTCTGACCTTGGACCTCCTTTCACTTCCTATAGGCTAGGAACCTAGGAGATGGTTCTATGGGATTCTCTTACGTTGACTACAGTTACCAAGCCTGGTTAGTCATGGAAAGTCTTGGAAAATGAGAGAACTACACTCCTTTAGCATAAATAGGATTGCCCTTTCCTTAAGAAAGGGCAAGCAGACAATACAGTAAATCAACTATCACATACTTCCACGTCTTTTCCAAGCTTCCAAGCAGTGATCTTGTTACTCCTTGTTTCTGAAAAGTCAGTGAGGTGCTAACCTCTGACTTATCCCTGAGTTCTCAGACTCAACATTTGTTACAACTTGTCTAAACCACTCCACTATATCATACACCTGATTGCTGCGTTGTGGAATAGTCTAAGCTACGACCCTTTGGCTCTGTTTCCTAAGACAGTGTGTTGTCTTAGTAAAATCATCCCTTCCTGGGGTGGTGTAATGGTGGGTGCACCAGATGTGAGAATCTAGCCACCCAAGGAAGGGATGATTTTACTAAGACAACACACTGTCTTAGAAAAATAGCCAAAGGGTCGTAGCTTAGACTATTCCACAACGCAGCAATTAGGTGTATGATATAGTGGAGTGGTTTAGACAAGTTGTAACAAATGTTGAGTCTGAGAACTCAGGGATAAGTCAGAGGTTAGCACCTCACTGACTTTTCAGAAACAAGGAGTAACAAGATCACTGCTTGGAAGCTTGGAAAAGACGTGGAAGTATGTGATAGTTGATTTACTGTATTGTCTGCTTGCCCTTTCTTAAGGAAAGGGCAATCCTATTTATGCTAAAGGAGTGTAGTTCTCTCATTTTCCAAGACTTTCCATGACTAACCAGGCTTGGTAACTGTAGTCAACGTAAGAGAATCCCATAGAACCATCTCCTAGGTTCCTAGCCTATAGGAAGTGAAAGGAGGTCCAAGGTCAGAGTACCCCTATAGACAAATTATGTCATAACTTAACCAATCTTGTGGGTAACTAAGGAGCGATGACGTGTAATGAATCATAGACGGTTGTAAAAGCTTTTGGAGCTATCGTTCATGTTCCTAGGCCTCTAGTTGATAGAGATATGTCATGTGTAGTATTAGCCCAGTAACTAAGGAGTGATGTCATGTAATGAATCATAGAGGGTTGTAGAGATATGCTATGTGGTCATATCGGCCCAGTAACTAAGGAGCAATGACGTGTAATGAATCATAGAGGGTTGTAGCAATCGTTGAGTAGTATTGCTCTTGTTGTTGGTATGAAAAGCCAAAATATGTATAGTGACTTGTAGGTTTGAGGAGGAGATTTCTAAGTTTGCTCTTGAGTTTGATAGCAAACTGAGTGCAACGAATGTCAGTATGACAAGATGTATGAGATGTCAACTACAGAAAGCCTTACTGTAGCTAGCAGCCTACCTTCCTTAACAGGCTCGAGCCTACCAAGAATCAAGTTGCTACACGTGTCGTGTTTGCAGCGATAACTTTGTGAGTATCTCCATACCAAGTTAACTAATATCCATATCGTAGTATTCGAGCGTTTGGTGCTACAGAGGTGTAATGGTGGGTGCACCAGATGTGAGATAAAAATGCAGGGAATACAGAGGTATATACCATTGTAAAGGATTGTCTTGAAAATTTCTAATGATAGTGTTAATGATGCAGCTACACAAATAATGCTGTTAAGGGGCGTTATGGTGTAGCTGTCCTGTAATCGGCGTAGGCTTAAGTTATAGGCTAATCTTAGCGCAAGCTCCGTAACTGTAGGGATGCCTGTAGCTAGCCCTACTCGGCTAGCGGCAGGTATCCCTGCTGATGTAAAATGTTGTATTCATATCATGAGCACAACTGCGCTGCTTAAAAGCGCAAGGTCGCAAGCATCGCGTTGTGACCCATTCTGTATTGGATCCCCTCTATCCTCAATCCTCCCTACGAAGACTGTCGCAGTAGGTATCCTACCTGATTTCCAACAGCTATGAAGAGCATTCTCGAAGTTGTCCACGAGTGTGATAAGTAAATTCGCCCTCACATCGCATCTCCCTATCAACTTGGGCTTACTAGTGCTTCTCGAATCTCAGCTTCCCGTACTACGAACCATGGCATACAGATGACTGCAACAGAGAGCTAGAGTCGTTATGGCTTTTCTTCCTTCCCGACGATCCTCAACCACACGGCTTTCTCCTGGACTCCATCGTTCAACGCATGCCATGGACGTCCGATTTCCGCCTCATTACGACCCCATATAAAGAAGTCCATCTGATAAAACAGGATCTCGATGACTGGAAAGAAGCGTGTCAAAAAGCGATTGATGACCTACTCGATCTCACCCGCGAGAAGAAGGTTTTTCCTGGACTGGGGAAGAAGCGCGATGAACAATTTCCAATTGTAGGTGCAAGTTTCGATATTGGTATCGAACGGTCTGCGAGCTCGCTATTCGGTATCGTGGGAAGAGGGGCACATATGACCGTTTACACACGTACGAGCTCGGAAATGAAGTTCTGGGTCCCGCGAAGAAATGCGAAGAAATCCACCTGGCCGAACATGCTAGACAACACTGTCGCAGGAGGCGTGGCAAGGGGTGAGATGCCCTTTGAATGCCTTGTTCGTGAGGCTGGTGAAGAGGCCGCTTTATCAGAGGAGCTTGTACGACGAGACACGGTGGCTGTGGGAACTGTAACGTGGTTCAATATATCTGACGAGAAGGCTGGCGGAGAACTGGGGCTTATGAATCCGGGAATGCTGTATGTGTACGACCTGGAGGTAGGCGAGGACGTGGTTTTCAAGCCAGTCGACAACGACGTGCAGAGTTTTCACTTGCTTGGCGTTGATGAGGTAAAGGAGGCGATGAGGAATGGGGAGTTTAAGCCTAGCTGTGCAACAGTGATGATTGATTTTTTTGTAAGACACGGCTTCATCACCGCAGAGAACGAGAAGGATTATACGGAGATTGTGTCGAGGCTGCATCGAAAGTTACCCTTCAAGACAAGTCCTGGGTTTTAGACATCGTGGTTGAGGGGCCAAGCAAACATAGAATATTCATTTATTTTACAGACTTAGGGACATGCACGTTCATAATCATAGTGGTCCGTCACTTAATGATCCCTCCAATGGTCCGTCACCCAGTGATCCGTCACCCGATGATCATTTATCTAATGTTTCAGCGTCGGTACGTGGAGAGCTGCGTGAGAAGGACAGCAGAGCGAAGATTGTATCGGGATTCTGAAGAGTTTGAGCAAAGAGAGCGCCTTCGGTACATAGGTTAGGGATGCGGATGAGGGCGGGGAACGAAAGGATGGTAGTGGAAGGGAATTGAGGAGGACGGCGCACCAGCGGATGGCGAGAGACTGGACGAGGTCCAATAAGGGAGGCAACATGCCCCTGTGATATTGTTGCTCTACGAGGAAAAATTCTGTGTGTGGTGAGGCCGCCATAACACATAAATTATTAATTCTTCTCCGCATTTATTTTTCTGTCCAAATCTTAAAACCCTGGGTTATTCCCGGGCAATGTTGGACACTTACGGCTAAATCACTGCTACAGTTGAACCTGGATATAGGGATGCCCTCGGGACCGGGTGTGGCATCCCTATAGCGAGGTTATCCTTATGTGGAGGTTCACGGAAATCTCAGGAATATATGTAAAAAAAAAAAAATTGTATGCTACTTTGACACCCAGCCATCTAGTAAACGTTAGGTACTCTTCGCGACTTTCTCTTGCGAGATATCCTTGCCAATCTGTTCTAATGCCTTTATTACTGAAATCCGACCTCCATCTTTAGCGAGGGAAGCAAATAATTAAAGGGTATTTTCGAAGCTATAGTACAGAGATACACTATTACAGAGGAGGATGGGATTGCAGACAGGGACGAGGAAGGGGGAGATTGCAAGTGATGGTCGGATCTCTTCCTCTCCCCCTTCCTCGTCCCTGTCTGCAATCCCATCCTCCTCTGTAATAGTGTATCTCTGTACTATAGCTTCGAAAATATCTTCATCTCTGTCAACTATCTCTTTGCCTATAGGGTTGAGAAAATCTGCAATTGGCATGACATCTCCTAGTAGCCTCCAGTGTTCGGCGGATACATATCCGGGTAGTATCCGTGAAGCTCACGGGTAGGGTATATACCCGGCGACGATCTGACGGGTAGGGTAGGGTATATATCCGGATACATGAGGCTGAATATTGTATATAAAAATAGAATAGCGTATATAAAAAAGAATGAAGCTTTTGATAATAGTAGTAAACCCCTTTCCGCGAGCCCCCTTTCCGTGAGACCCCCCCTTTCTGCGAGTCCCTATTCAGGTGCTTCATCGTCAGCATCATCGCCGTCGCTATCAGCCTCCCGTATTTTACCCCAATTCCGTAAGCAAAGTAAATATCTAATAGTTGGCGGTGATAACCTATTCCGCTTCTTTGTAATAATATCACTACCATTACTAAATACTCGTTCCGATGCTGCAGATGTTGCTGGAATAGCTAGATGATCACGAGCAATACGGGCAATAACTGGATATTGGTATTGCTTTGCGCACCAATATTTGAGAATATCAGTATGCTCACCGGGCCGTGGTTCAAGCATCCAGCGCCTCCATTCTGGCTCTTGAAAAGCCAAGCCTTCTGACGCAAATAGATCTTCGTCAGAATCAGGTTCTTGATCTATTGTAGCAGTAGCACCTATTGCTTCTGCAAGAGCTGTTTCGTGAGTAATTCGCTCCATATCAAGGTGATACTCTCGCTTTTGGTACGTTCTACAAACGTCTTCGAACTGCGCTCTTGCTCGTAATCTTCGTGTATCGTCTATAGCATTTGGATATATCTTCTTAAATACTGTATGATTCATTCGTGGGTCGCAAATTGTAGCAACAGCTGAGTGCTTACATTGCCGATTCGTTGTAAGAGTATAATACTCATTAAGCTTTTGAAGCGCAGCTCCACAAGCTACTCCGATCGTAGAGCTTCTACCAAGCTCTTCTTGTAGTAATGTGACCTTATTTATCATCTTTAAGTAAAGAGGAATTGTAAAGTTGAGCGTTGGATATGAATCGCTTTGTAGCCGTCTTGACGGCTTTAAGAATACTAAGAATAATCGTTCAAGAGCTTCGATAATAGCCCAATCGTTGCTTGTTAACGCAATATCCTTCATACTGATATCAAGCTTCTGCGTAGAGCATACTGCAGTAATTGGTATTCGAAGCTTTATAGCTGTTTCAAGCATATAGTACGTTGAATTCCAGCGTATAGGCATATCAAGTGATAGCTGGCGTGGCTTCTGGCCTGCAGCTTGTATCTGCTTCTGTAAAGCATCCTTCCATGCTCTTCGGTTTCGAAAGACATAAATATGCCTTCGGAGCTTCTCAAGCGTAGCTGATACTTCAGTAGAAGAGTTATCAATATGCTGCGGAATCCGGGCAAGCCCTTGCTGACACCAGTACGCTTCTGTTTCTGTATCCGGGCTAGCTTTCAAGCTCTTTAGAGTAGCTTGAACTGCAAGATTGATAATATGAGCAATACACCGAACGTCCCCTTCCTTTACAGTAAACGTCCATGGCTGTTGAATAGTCGTCTGCTGCTTACTGGCTATTTTCTCATATTCTGAAAGCATCACAGTATTCGCTGAGGCATTATCCCGCGTACAAGTAAATATAGCACCTGTAATTTCGAAGCTATCTGTTACTGCAGCTAACTCTTGAGCGAGATATTCGCCGCTATGAATTGGCTCTTGAAGGTGGATTACATCAAGTAATACGCACCGGTGCTGCCACTTCTCATTAATCCAATGGCCTGTGACAGCAGCGTACTCTGTATAGTTCCGTGCAGTCCATGCATCTGTTGTAATAGATATCCGGCCGCCATAGGTAATATGAGCCTGGAGTTCTAATTGTAGCAATCCTCGGTGATATGAGAATTGCCGCTGTAGCTCTCGGTGTAGTGTTCGCGACGATATCGATAGAGTACTTGGGCTTAAGAACTGTACTAATTGATGGAACGAATAGCTCTCAATAAGTCGTAAGGAGAGGTTATTTGATACAACGAATGAGAGTAATAACTCTCGGTATTTCGCTCTACTATTTGATGCTTGAGCTTGAGCGGGCTGGACTTGCGGGTTCCGCGGCCGTGGCTCAAAAAATGACGATGCACTACTTGATGGGCTTGACGGCGTAATTGTATGACCTTTCATTGTATATGCTACTGTTGGATGCTTCTGCGTATAGTGCTTCCAAAGATTACCGGTTGAAGTCTGACTTAATAGCTGCGGAGTAGGTGAATATCCGCAGCCTGGTTGTAAGCAAGTTACTTTGACTGTAGGTGGGTTACTATCAAGTATCAATCGCGAATATAATAGCTTCGTAAATAGTACTGATGACGTTGGTGGCAGCATTCGTCCTGGAGGCTGAAGCCGGAGCGGTGTAGGATTAATATCCTGTTGAATATGAATAGGGGGCGGCAGCGTTGGCAGACTTGGCTCATTATGAGTATCATAGCTATTATAGCCCTCAGGCTCCGTTGGTATATCTGATAACGACGAGTCGCTCATTCTGAGGATAATTATCACTTTATACAGCATCAATATAGATCTCACGACGTTGGAAAAAAGAGGTCTTGGCTGCGCTTGGCTATTCTTGGCATGTATCCGGATATATACTCGAGAGTATCCGGATACGCCGGATACTCCTAAAATATCGCCGGGTAGGTATATACTCGAGGATATACCCGGATACCACGGGTATATTGGTATCCGTGCCGAACACTGGTAGCCTCGCAACTTCCATTCCTAGTTCCTCGACCTCAGCAGTATTATCTTGACGCATATCCATATTTTCTGGTTTTTTTATGAGAGTCGATCGCCACCAACACTTCTGGATTTTTGGTGCTTTAAGTGCTTCCTACGTAAGTCGACTCCACTGTATCACCTTTAGAATATTAACTGTTTTATTAGGGTTCTTATTAGCCTCGAGCAAGCGCACATGTAATTAATCCATTGTTTTCGATACCTAAGTTTGAAGCTTGCAATTATTCCCTAATCAAGAGGTTGCCAATGAGATGTTGTATTTGGTAGAAGCCAAGCAATTCGAACATTCGACAAACCTTGTAATCCACTAACAAGTTCAACTCCGACTTCATGTCTAGAGAAGTTATCAAGTAATAACAGTATCTTGCGATGCTTCATTTTCTCATTTAACCAGTCTAGGTATTCTTTCATAATTAACCCTGTCATCCATTTTGTCTCATTGTATCGATATTGAATCCGCATGCGCTTAACATTAATATTTTTAAAACATCGAGGATTCTTCGACTTTCCCACAACCCATATATAGCTTCTCAGTTCTAGTCGAATTTGTCGTAAATGCGAGAGTAATCCTATCTTTGGATTTCTTTCCCCTACTCGAAGCTTCAGTAGCTAGCGTTCGAGTTGGTGTCATCTTCTGAAAGAGCCTAGTTTCATCTATGTTGAAAATATCTTTTATCTGCATATGTTGCGTATAGTGTAATGGTGGGTGCACCAGATGTGAGAATCTAGCCACCCAAGGAAGGGATGATTTTACTAAGACAACACACTGTCTTAGGAAACAGAGCCAAAGGGTTGTAGCTTAGACTATTCCACAATGCAGCAATCAGGTGTATGATCACTGTATCCATGGAGCTGCGTATCGCCTTGCATGCCATATTCGATTCCAAGCATCTTTGTGCCTTGTAAGTAGTGAAGGATTCGATCTGCTGCTTTCATGTGAGCTGGCGAAGGATTGGTGAGGAGGACAGAACAGAGACTCCATATGAGATATCTGGTCGAGTCTGGACAGCGAGGTACATGAGCAATCCAATCTTCAATCCATAGAGTTCAATTTCTGCGTGTGAAGCCTTGCCTTCAAATGGGATCATGACTTCTACAGCTCCTGTAGCCACAGGTGTGTCCACTGCCTTGCAATTCTCCATGCCATAGCGGTGTAGAATCTTTGTGACGTATGCATCTTGACAGAGGGAAATTGTTCCTGCCTCTCTGTTGTGCGTGTGATCCTCACCCCTACAAAGTATGCTGCTGGCCCAAGGTCTTCAATTTCGAATTTTTGCATCAGCTCCTTCTTTAGCTTTTGGATTGTTGTGATTTGTTTGCCAATGATGAGCATATCATCCACATATGTGACAATTAGGATTCCAGTCTCTTGATTGCAATATACGCTATAATCACTTGCACATGCTGTGAATCTGAGTCCATAAAGTGCCTTTGCAAGCTCTCTTTGCCAAAGTCAAGGCGCTTGTTTCAATCCATAAAGTGCCTTCTGCAGTTGGCACATCCAATTTGGCGCATTTTCCAGTATGCTACCATTGACTTCCCAGTCTGGTGGAACATCCATGAAGATTTCTGTGTCCGTA